GTTGTGGGCAATTAAAGATAGTTGTGGTTCTTGTATATTGCATTTCCTTTCAATGTGGTTGGCCATTGATGAAGTTTTATTGAATTACTCTAATAAGTCCAGAAAGACAAAGAAAAGGAACAAAGGGCAATAACTCTATAAATACTGAAGATGGAGTTATAGTTCTTGTGCACTGCACTTCCTCTTTTTGTGCTTGACCATTGTATGAGGTTGTTTTGAATTTCAACCAGTACGTTTTAAGTTATGCTCCAGACAAGGAAAAGTATCAAAGGGCAGTAACTCTGTCTTTTGTCAAAATGGCGTTATGGCTCTTATGCACTGCACTTCCTTTTAATGTCCTTGACAACTGTATGAAGTTGTATTGAATTCCAAACAGTAGTTTTCAAGTTATGCTCTGGACAAGAAAAAGTAACAAAGGGCAATAACTCTGTAATTTGTCAAGATGGAGTTAGGGTTCTTGTGTGCACTGCACTTCCTCTCAATGTGCTTGACCATTGTATGAAGTTATATTGAATTCCAACCATTAGTCTTCAAGTTATGCTCCGGACAAAAAAAAAAGCAATGGAAAAGTAACAGAGGGCAGTAACTCTGTAATTAGTCAAGATGGAGTTATGGTTCTTGTGCACTGCACTTCCTCTCAATGTGCTTGACCATTGTATGAAGTTATAATGAATTCCAACAATTAGTCTTCAAATTATACTCCGGACAAAAGAAAGCAATGGAAAAGTAACAAAGGGCAATAACTCTGTAATTACTTTAGATAGAGTTATGGTTCTTATGCACTGCACTTCCCCTTTCTGTGTTTGACAATTGTATGAAGTTGTTTTGAATTCCAACCAGTAATTTCCAAGTTATGCCCCAGACAAGGAAAAGTAACAAAGGGCAATAACTCTGTAATTAGTCAAGATAGAGTTATGGTTCTTGTGCACTGCACTTCCTCTCAATGTGTTTGACCATTGCATGTAGTTATATTGAATTCCAACCATTAGTCTTCAAGTTATGGTCCGGACAAAAGAAAGCAATGGAAAAGTAACAAAGGGCAATAACTCTGTAATTACTTTAGATAGAGTTATGGTTCTTGTGCACTGCACTTCCCCTTATTGTGTTTGACAATTGTATGAAGTTGTTTTGAATTCCAACCAGTAGTGTTCAAGTTATGCCCCGGACAAGGAAAAGTAACAAAGGGCAGTAACTCTGTAATTAGTCAAGATAGAGTTATGGTTCTTGTGCACTGCACTTCCTCTCAATGTGCTTGACCATTGTTTGTAGTTATATTGAATTCCAACAATTAGTCTTCAAGTTATGGTCCGGACAAAAGAAAGCAATGGAAAAGTAACAAAGGGCAATAACTCTGTAATTACTTTAGATAGAGTTATGGTTCTTGTGCACTGCACTTCCCCTTATTGTGTTTGTCAATTGTATGAAGTTGTTTTGAATTCCAACCAGTAGTTTTCAAGTTTTGCCCCGGACAAGGAAAAGTAACAAAGGGCAATAACTCTGTAATTAGTCAAGATAGAGTTATGGTTCTTGTGCACTGCACTTCCTCTCAATGTGCTTGACCATTGTATGTAGTTATATTGAATTCCAACCATTAGTCTTCAAGTTATGGTCAGTTTAAGTAAAATCTGCTATCCGGTTTAAGAGGAGTTGCGTTCACAAGATTTCGGGACGTACGGACGGACTGACGGACGGACAAGTGCAATGCTATATGCTCCCACATTGTGGGGGCATAATAAAATTGAAATTATGGCTTAATTCTGGATCATCCTTGACAGTAAAGGTGAAATCAGAATAACTTGTCAGTTTTTTCAAATCTGTTCTTTTGTCCAAGTATGAATCAAATCCAAAAATAAATAACAAAGTTATGACAATTTAAGCAAATTTCAATAATTTGACCTTGACTGTCAAGGTCATATCAGGAAAATACAATATGTCAGTTTTTGTCATGTGTTCTTTGTCCAAGCATAAATCAAAGCCATATAGAAATAACAAAGTTTTCACCAACTGTAGCAAAATCACAAATTTGGACGTAAAGTGTCAAGGCCAATTTATGGTCAAGGTCAATTAAATCTCTAATGTCTTGTTCAAAGGATTGTTGTGCACAAATATGACAACAATACATTAATTAATTACAAAGTTAGAGCCAATTAAAGAAAAAAACAGTGAAATCATAACAACTTGACCTTCAAGGTCATTGATAAGTGAAGGTCATAATCAATTTGTTCTTCTAAAAGGTCTTGTCCAAAGTATTGTTGTGTCCAAGTATGAAGACAATCCACTTATTAAAGAACAAAGTTTTAGCCAATCAATGTAGGAACTAGATACCCAAGGGCAATTGAGCTTTGACATACTAAAACTGTTCTTGCGAGGGACACGTCATGATGTTGAACATTTGTGCCACTTATTTGAAATTTTGCCAGCTTATGATAAAAGTTATGGTGCGGATAAGCTGTTTGAGACCACTTTTTTGCATTTGGCCTTAAAGTAAGACCTTGATCTTTGACCTAGCCACACGGTTCATGCATACAACATGCCATCTCATGATGTTGAACATTTGTGCAGGGTATTTGAAATTCAACCAGCTAGTGATAGTTATGGTGCGGACAAACTGTTTGAGACCAGTTTTTTTGTATTTGACCTTAAAGTATGACCTTGACCTTTGACCTAGCCACACGGGTCTTGCCTGTGACACTCCATCTCATGATGTTGAACATTTGTGCCAGGTTATTTGAAAATTGACCAGCTAGTGATAGTTATGGTGCTGACAAGCTGTTTAAGACCATTTTTTGCATTTGACCTTAAACTATGACTTTGACCTGGCCACATGGTTCTAGCACACAACATGCCATCTCATAATGTTGAACATTTGTGCCATGTTATTTGAAATTCAATCAGCTAGCGATAAAGTTATGGTGCAGACAAGCTGCTTGAGGCCATATTTTGCATTTGACCTTAAAGTATGGCCTTGACCTTTGACCTAACCACACAGTTCTTGAGTTTGACACACCATCTCATTATTGTGAAAATTTGTGTTAAGTTATTTGAAATTCTGCCAACTAATGATTAGAGTTATGCCCTGGACAAGCTTAATCCTGATGGATGGAGGCATGCACGCACATACATATACACGAAACCACCATTGTGACAACTATGTCTAGCTCTCTGCAAGCAAACCCGACAAAAATTGAGCAAAATTAAAACATTTTACTTGAAAGTCAAGGCCATTTATGAGTCAAGGTCAGTGTGGTCTAGCTAAAAGGGTTGTTGTGTCCAAGTATGAGGACAATCCATTGGAAATGAAAAATTAATAGCCAACATTAAAGTTTCTGGATGGCAACAGCAACCTTAATGCAGCAATAGCTTGAATTTTTTCTTGAAAACATCGTTTTTTAAATAATTAAAGTGGACTCTCCATTTCATTTTCTTGCCTTACCAATACTGGTGTAAAATGAGGAAACCCAGACCTTACCTGGCAATCTTCTACGCAGTGATCTCCCTTATCAGTACAGAGATCTCTGCCACCACAAACATTTTTATCAATATTTTGAATATTTTTCATTATTTTGTATACTTTTGATAATTTTTTGATCAACTTCAACGAACATAGGTACAAACGAAATTTTCTATGTAACAGTCGATATTTACATTCGAATTTCAATGTTAAGTCATGTGACATTCATCATCATGTGACATCTGTGAAGGCAGTGATTACAATTCTGCCAAGGGAGGTAATCACTGTGAGGAGTTGGCTTACTTGGTAGACACATTTACCACAAAGTTACCTGTTGCTAAATCTGAATGTTTATTTTCTTTTTGTAGGTCATGTAAATGAATAACATTATCTTTAATTGCCTTATACTTTCTATCTGACCAGATTCGTCTTTTTAAAATTGAAAATTTAAACCATGACAAATCTTATATTAAACAAATTCAGCAAAGGTTAAATGATCTTTATTCACCATGTATGTTGTCACCTTATTGCAATAACTGGTTAACTCTTATTAAATTTAGAAGGACTTAACCCATTACTGCAAAAGGTGACAAATTTATATGTGGGCATTTGTGATTTACATAATCATACACCTGAAGTAACATACCTTTGTGACCTTATAAGGTGTGTGGTAACATGGATTATGTATAGATATATAAATATCAGTGCTAATCCTTACTCCAATAGTAAACCAGTAATCTGAATCTGTCAATCAATCAAGAATGAAAGCTGTGAAATTTTCACATTCACCATTTTTTGGCATCAGTGACAGATTATCAACATTCATTATAGGTTGTATTAAGAAGAGATCTGTATGTTTAAAAGAAACCATTTACCTTCAACAAAGACCATGATGGCATAATGCCAGATTCTTTATATTAACATTCTAAACAGATTTTCTGTTAATACAATCAAACAGTATGTCAAGTCTGTCAGCAGAATTTTATAGAATATTTTGTGCATAATTATGTGTGTGTAGTCACTCACCAAATATGAGGCATATCCAGGCTACACCCATGTCTTTTTTGTAAGATATGTTTCTTGTGTTTACCATTTTGATCTGTATAGTTTAAAAAATGCTCTTTACATGTTTTTTTTCTCAGTTTAACTGAACGAATACAGTTTAGCTGTTTGTATTTGATTGTGCACTTTCCTATTCTTAATACTTGAAAGTGGAACAGAACAAATTGTTTTTCCTTAAATTTCGTCAAATAGTAAAATCATCATTTTTTTAAATCCACACAAATTCGAAAGTTTTATCTCTGATATAAATCTCTTCCTTTAATGCCATGGTCCCCATACAACATACAACCAGAAACTGATCCTAACTTTGGTACATTCTCCTGTTTGTAGATTTAATATGTTTTTCTTTACAGTCACAGACGTTTTTCTCAAGTCAGAGATATTTTTATAAAACATGTTTACTTATATTTATATATATCAATATTATCAAAAGGAAATTCACCAGGGAAAACATTAATGTAACAAGTTGAAGAATAAAGTCACACCATGTTTTTATAGTATATATTTATTGTATAAATACGGAGTCATACTAAAATGAATCACAGTGTCTTTATATAAAGCACACAAATTCAACAAATTGTAGAAAAAAACAAACTGAATAATAGTTTATTTTAGTATAAATATACTGTAAAAATACACACAAACTTTATGTCAAAATTCAAACCAAAGAATCAAGTTTCTGGCCCAAAACTGACTAACAGCCTAAATCTGACATAACAGTTTGAAGAAAACTTGTTAGAAAACACTGTACTCAAGTCATAAAAAATATCTGGACGGAACCCAAACATAGATTATAAAAGCTATAAAAATCAAACAACTAAAATACTTTAAATTTAACTAGGATACTTTTGTTTCAATACTGACTTAGCTAAAATACAACATCATCTCTAAGAGTTATATTTCAAACATATATAAATAATCTAAATACTCATCGGTACCCTAAACTCTATCACATTAAATATACATCACTAAAACTCCTTCCCTGACAAGATTCCTGGGGGATGTCACTGGGAGGCGGAGCAACAGTCATGTGACCAAATCACATGATTAATTAAAACACATAATGTATGATATAAATGTATACATCAATAAAAAAAATCTATCATAAATAAATGACTAAAACTGATCATGTATACTGTGTAAAAACATGTACAAAATAGAAGACACAAAGGAGGAAGTGTTGATATCATGTCAAGTATCACACAATACGCAGAGGAAAAATATCACATATTGAAGAATGTAACTTTTTTTCTTTTTTAAATATTAAGTAACATTCCTCCTCATTTATAATTATGCATTTTTTATTCAAAGTTATGGTGTCGATGATCAAATCTTGAAATTCCTAAATCTTTTTGATGTGTTAAATATTATTAAAGACGTTAAAGAACTAAAAATACAAACTGACCTGCACTCATGAAAACAAATAATAGATACAAGTTTTCTCCCTTTTATATCTCCACACAATTTGCAATTTTAAATATAAATATCACTTTTAATACAAATATCAATGTGTATAATGAATGGAGGGTAACAACTAGAAATGATAATATTAAACCGAGGTTCTTATGTTAAAGCACCTTATTATCAACAAATGCAATATGGCTTGGCAGCGTTATGCTCTAAATGAAACTCAATATATCTCTAACTTCAAGTATACAAGTACTTCCAGCAGACAATCTTTGTTAAATATATCCTCAAGATGAATTTTCATGAATTATAATATACTTGGACAAAAAATATTATCAATATATTGTTTGTTTTTTGTTTCTTAATCAAAATAATTGTTGTTACATGTTTGGATACACAAGATTATTTTTTTATTTCATTATAACTTTTTTTTATTATAATCTCAATTTAGCATCTGAATAAAGAGATCTCTGTGTCATGGACAGTCCCCTTATAGTATACTCTTAAATAAATTAACTTTGATATACAAATATTCTCTTTTATATATGTAAAATACTTTAGTAATAACCAAAAATACAAAAAAAGTTGTGGACAAATCATTCCAAATTATCACAGGCATAATAAACATCACAGTTCTGATTAAAATAGAATAGCAAACTAAAATATCAAATAGGAATGCTGTAAGAACAATTAAATGATCAAATATGCTTATCATTTCTACAATATAACAGCCCTTATTCACAATGCATTCAATAACAAATACATGCAAAATCCTCAACATGCAAACAAACTTAACAAATAAAGAATGAAATAACAAAATAAATTCCATGGATGTACATAAATGCCTCAAGATCAATGTTTATAACTTTCATTTGTATCACAGTAATTTCTTTTAAACACTAATGTTTATAGAATAAAACAAAAGTCTATCCTAACTTTCATCTTAGTTCTTTTCATCTTCGATCACAATGTCACAATATGGCAAATTATCAGTTAGTTGCGTTATTTTGGTGAATCAGGAGTTATTTTCTCAACTGTATCACAAGAAATCATACTGCATATCATCCCTGAGAGAGTCTCTCATACGCTTTGACATTCTCTTCAGTTGAAGAGCAGACCTTGAAGCCTCTTCAAGGGCATTTGCAATGGCAGGGTTAATACGGCGTCTGCGAGGGGGTTCAGCTTCTCCATATTCACTTTCATCTGATAAATACGCATCCTCCCGAGGAGCTCTGCGTCGAGATGTGGGTGGAACTGCGTAGACAGGTACAACATATTGTGGCTGAGGTGGAGGAGGAGGTGGTGTAGGTCGTCTCGGTGCCGCATATCCTTGAAGTCGTTCTAAACGCTGGCTTATGCCATTCAAATCATCTTGTGTTACCATTCTCCTACCTGCTATGAATGGTGGTGGTTGCATTGGTGGATTCATCATAATAGGTGGCGCTGTCATGTTTAAGTTTTGAGAATATGCTGGATGGAAACCATTCTGTATTGGTGCCTCCATGGTGGTATTCATCCTTGATGGAGTTCTTGCCCTAGGTCTGCTCACCGGAGTTTCACTTCTTGTGCTTGCTCTAGACCTAGATGCTGGAGTGCCAGGACGACTACCTTTCATATCCTTTACATCATCCATTATGTTCTTAAATTTCTCAAGTCTAGCATTTCGTATTGGATCACCCTCTGGGAATAATTTCATTGATGTTTGTGTTCCTTCTTCGTGAACTGTTTGTGTGGCAGCAGTGCCTGTAGCATCAGCTTCACGTAACTCACGCATGTCATGAAGTACATGCTGTAATGTTTCCTTCTTTATAGTAGTGTCACTTCTCACAGAATTAGTATCATCATCAGTTCCATTGTAACTACTAGTGTCTAAACCACGCTGCTGTTTCAAACCTTTAACTTCAAACAGAATGTTACGTAAAAGATCAGCTCGCGCTCCACTTGACCTTCTGGTCTGATTTCCGATTGAATGAAGTGATGTGTTTGATCCTGTTTGAGTTTGCATTCCACGTGGTTTACTTTTCTTCCACATCTCAGCGGGTGTTTGGGTGCTGGTATGTCCGGGAGTCTGGGACATAGCATCTCGCAAATCTTCTGGATTTGCCCCAAAAGCGTGAGTAGATAAATAACTGACAGTAGATTCTCCATCAGAGAATATTTGGTTTTCAAGTCCAATAGGTGTGCCCCTCATTGTGTTAGGTGTTGGTTCTCCAAAAACTGAATTATCTAAAACATTGTCAAAACTCGAAGCATGCATAGTATAGTAAGTTTCACCATAACCAGATTCTTCACTGTCCGATTCAAGTGCAGCACCAGATGCAGATTTTTTCAAATTGTCAAATCTGCTATTTGGACGACTGCCTCGACTTTGTCTAGATGGGCTGCGTGGCCCCCCTGGACCTCGTTTTCTCTTTAAAGATGTGTTGCTAGAGTAGCGACTTCCTGGTGGGCGTGGTGGAAAGAGGAATTTATGATCATCATCACTATCACCATCAGAGTCGCCAGTCAGAAAACTTCGATTTGGATTCTTAGCTGAGCCCCGTGGAGTTTGTGTGGATCTGCATGGCTTTCTAGTCTGTTTAGAGGAAGGACAATAAGTAAGTGAAACATGCATTATTCATGCCAACAATAAAAATATTGCACATTCATTAAAGTCATATGAGAACATTTCATGTAAAAAATTTGATTTTTGTTTCCTTCTTCAGAATGAGATCAGTAAAGTTTGAAATTTGTCTAACTTACTGAGTTATTAATTCCTCATCAAGACAACAAAAATCTTAAATCCACTCACCATCCTGCAGAAGCTTAAGCAAGCATTTAATAACACTGATTAATTTAGCTGTTTGCTACATGCGTTACAGAAGCTTTGTGAAATTAATTGAACAATTCAGAGAGAATATCAAATATGCAGTATTCAGACCAGGAGGGTAATGAAATAATCAATTTAAAAGAACAACTGGATGGATCAGTATTGACAAACTAAATCAATAACTTGTCAATAATTACATCTCTTTTCCAATCATTGTAAATATTGTTCTTTATGGAACATGTTTTGTTAACTGTAAACCAAGTCATAAATCATTTGCTAAATAGATTCTACAGCTTGTTTCCAGAAATCATTAAATTACATTTCCTGCTTGTTAAATTGTAAGTAAAAATTATATGTAAAACTGAAATTCAATAATTAGAAAAATATGCAAACTCTTATAAATAAAAGTTGCATATTCTTTTTGAAAGGACATTGTCTTCAGCCAAGAGCTAGGTCAGCCTGCACATCACTGCAGTCTATCCAGAACTCCCTTCTGCTGACTGATTTATTTTATTACCTTAAATCCCTTACAGCTCCAAATTTAAAGCAGGAAAAGCCAACATAAATAGCAAGGTAAAGTTGTATTCCCATGGTTATAAAAGAATTAAAACTTTTATAATCACTTTCTCTAATTAGTAGATAAACACAAGACATTTACAGAATTGGTTTACAGTTTACTATCACAACACATACTAACATTACTAAGCATTTACTTATAAGCAAACAATATTCATGCTTTTACCAAACATTTTACCATTGATGCCATGCAATTATTTTAATAAGCTTCTGCAGAACCATGAGTAGATTTTTTTTTAAGCATTTTATGAGTATGATTCATTAAGAGAATGATTCCCATTAGTTATCAGCAACTGTCATGAAGTTTGATTAATTGGAACTGTTTTAAATATTTAATTAAATGATTGTTAATGTTTAATTAGCAAGAGCTATATATACATATTCTGGTTATAGTAACATAACACATTCAGGTGATTACTTCAGATACAAGTGACTTCACTTAATATACAACACCAAAAAAATGGGGTCAAATATATCTTCCCAGACGCTTAATGAAAAACTTGGAATCTAGATGCGAACTTGCTTTGCATGGGGCAAGAGGGGGGACCTATGTCACCACTGGGAAAGTAGTAAAGCCTACTACATTTCTAATGATTAGAAAACTTTTGCACAATCGGAGTTGAGTCATCTCTAAGGTAACATAGAAGGAACATCTCTGTTTAATGTTCAAGATAAAAAGCTATAAATAGAAGCATAATGATGAAATATGATAGCAGGATATAGATAGATATATAAGCATACATGCATAATATATAAGTTTATTAATGTTGTGTGCAATAAGTTTTCTTTCAATTTTGAATTAGAAATACAATGTATCATCAGGATATTGTGTTCATTTTGTTTTTTAATCATTTAATTTTTTTTCAAGTATGAAACCTATTTGTAAGACAGGCTCCACTATAGCTCAACTTTATTGTTATTGAAAATAAACAAGTGCTTTGAATAAATCAGGTAAAGCTAAACATTATTTTTTATTGAAAAGAAAAATGGGCATAATAAGGTTCCAAAAATAATACCTCATAGGGTATAGTATAACAGTAACATAGTAAAAATAATTGTACCATAGTTTTAAGTAGGAGAAGGGGCATAATTTTGTCACAGATTCTTCACAGATTTATATCCTCTGGTGAGAATGTTATGATGGTTTCACTTACAAGTATTCAAAGTTTCAAAGTAAAATACATTAAAGTTATAGTAATACTTTTTTGAGTTAGGTACACTATACGAAAGAAATTCTTAATCAATAAAGGGGCATAATTTTGTCAAAAGTCTTGAAAGAGTTCTCTTGCCTGGATGCGGGGAGGATGACCACTAAAAAGGGTATAGAAAAAAAAATTGCATATGGTACGAAAAAACTTATCCAAAATTGTAAGTCGAAAAAACTTATCCAATGTTTTCAGTCGAAAAGAGCAGTTAAGTCAAAAAAACTTTCTGAAGTTGAAAAAAGCGGAGTCCATGACAGAGTTATGTCAGCTTGCCATGAAGTAGGGATGATGGTCAAGAACAATTATTCAAAGTCCTTAAATGGTACAGGAAAAAAAATGTTGATTGGTAAGAAAATCTAACCAAAAGTGATGCTGACACTGATGCAGATTCCAACATCCAAGTGTGTCGGACACTTTAATAATATAGTCTAGTATTTATTCCAACCAATATTCAACAAGAGCACCGCTAGGCGGAGCATTATATGCCCGAAAGTACTCTTTCTTTTAGTGAGGAAGACATGGGAATTAAATACAGTATAACCTCCTTCAAAAAGCAATCCTCCTTTATAGCTGAAGAACATTCATGTATATATACAGTTGCTGTTTTCAAAGCACCACCATCAAGTTGTTATCTTGTAAGTAAAAATGCTACAACGGATGGACACCAAGACGTCAGGGGTATAAAGCTGTTAATCCTATAAAATTTTACAGCTGTAGTTCGATTAATACTTGAGTTATTGAGCGAAAACTGTTTCCAGTTTAAAGGTGATAGGAATCCCTTGATCTTTGACCTTGTGACCCCAAAATCAATAGCGGTCTTCTACCCAATACGAACAATCATCCTATGAAGTTTGAATACTGTGGGCCAAATGGAACTTACGTTATGCTCCGGAAACCATTTTCAGTATTAAGCTAATAGTGACCTTGACCTTTGACCTTGTGACCCCAAAATCAATAGGGGTCTTCTACCCAATATGGACAATCATCCTATGAAGTTTGAATACTGTGGGTCAAATGGAACTTAAGTTATGCTCCGGAAACCATTTTACGTATTTAGCTAATAGTGACCTTGACCTTTAACCTTGTGACCCTAAAATCAATAGGGGTCTTTTACCCAATATGGACAATTCTCCTATGAAGTTTGAATACTGTGGGCCAAATGGAACTTAAGTTATGCTCCGGAAACCATTTTCAGTATTTCACTAATAGTGACCTTGACCTTTGACCCCCCAAACTCAATAGGGGTCTTCTACCCAATATGGGCAATCATCCTATGAAGTTTGAATACTGTGGGCCAAATGGAACTTAAGTTATGGTCCGGAAACCATTTTCAGTATTAAGCTAATAGTGACCTTGACCTTTGACCTTGTGACCCCCAAAGTCAATAGGGGTCTTCTATTTAATATGGACAATCATCCTATGAAGTTTGAATACTGTGGGTCAAATGGAACTTAAGTTATGCTCCGGAAACCATTTTCAGTATTAAGCTAATAGTGACCTTGACCTTTGACCTTGTGACCCCAAAATCAATAGGGGTCTTCTACCCAATATGGGCAATCATCCTATGAAGTTTGAATACTGTGGGTCAAATGGAACTTAAGTTATGCTCCGGAAACCATTTTCAGTATTTAGCTAATAGTGACCTTGACCTTTGACCTTGTGACCCCAAAATCAATAGGGGTCTTCTACCCAATATGGGCAATCATCCTATGAAGTTTGAATACTGTGGGCCAAATGGAACTTAAGTTATGCTCCGGAAACCAAATTGCTAACAGACGGACGGACGTACGGACGGACGGACGGACGCCAGGGGGTATAACATAATATGCCCGAAATTCTTTCGGGCATATAAAAATCTGGTAAGTACTCATTAATCATGTATTTAAAGGAAAAGTAGTTTATAAAATATTCTTAATACTTTTTTTTATTAAAAAGTCAGTGATATATAACTTTTTCAAACATTATCAATCAAAAGGAGAAAATATTTTCTGTATAAACATCTCTGTAGTGATATAACATAATTATGTGTGACACATTCTAGCAAAAGCAAAAATATACAAGCAAAAAATAATGCTTTGATTTTTCTTTCATCTTCTAAAGAAAGTAAATTTACAAATAAAAGGATACTTGTTTACTTTCAATCTTAATCACGCCTCAAAAAAAAGCCTGACAACGGGCAATATTTCTATGTACAACATCATGAAAATGTTTGGTCTCAAAATATTCGACTGTCATATAGACATAATTCTAATTTTTTTTCAAAATAACATTTTTATAAACCTACTGTCCAATATTAGAAATATTTTAAGACACATTTAAGCTTAAATAAGCAGACATGTTTTAACGAAAGATAAGAATTTAAACAAAAGTCTTTTTATAGCCTTAATTTTTACATGATTGTATCATGCATCTTTTATACTTCAGTATAAAAGGTCTTTTCTGTAATTTAAGAAAGGAAATTCTTTAGTTAATGTTTAGCATCTAGGCAACACTAGAATGTGTCCACTTTTATCGTTTATCATTTTTAAAATAAGTTCATTTTAATACTGATGATACATTGTTAGTGATAAAACTTTCCAGGAGCACAAATCTAGAATGTGTGAAACAAGCTGTTTAAAATATTACTTAGGAACAAATTCCCTATACAAATCCATTAGAATGCTTTAATTTGAAAATATCAGGGAGAATGAAATGTTTAAAAACTAATCAAACTGCATCAAAATGTTGAAAGCTTTAAAGAAAATGATAAAAACTTCTTACTTCAATTGTGTTAACTCCTTTTGAATGTGTTTTATCATTTCTACCAATATTAAAATGCACTTTGGTTCTAGGAACCATGATAAAATTAGCTATTATGTTTGGAGTGCTGAACTAATTTTGAAGTAATATTACAGTTAAACATGCAAGTTTCACACAAACATTACAGTTATATTTGCGTTACAGCTTAGCTTTGCCATGTTGCCGCATTAGGCACACTTCAAAGTTTATGTTATGACAAGACTATAATTTTCCCTTTCAAAACTAATGTTTTTCATTACCCTTAATCTTCTTTGGCTTCTATGCGAAGTCAGCAGATAATTTATGTTCCTTCCACTGAACATTGTCATAAAATGTCAGTAAATTTCTTACACAGACAGGATTATGTTAAGACTAAACAAACACTTAAAATTTTGTAATGAAAAGAAATACAGATCTCAAAACATTTTATTGATAAGTTTTCTGTTTATTTTGTTAAACTCTTTACAAATGATTTTTTTGCACAATCAATCTACTTGATTACTTTTACTAGAATAGTCAAACTTTCAAATCAATATTTCATATTACATTTTTTGCATTCTATTTTTTTTTAAATTTATATCATTCAAATATATAATAAGGTAGCATTATGAAAACATTTGCTGACATTCTTTAAAATCAGGTTTTGAAAGAGAAAACTGTCTATTTCACTGCATTCAAAAACACACACAGCATTAGATATACAAAACACTCAAGAAATACATGGATACTGCATGAATCATAATGTGCATTTGACATGCATAAATAAAGACTTAAATTTTAATAACATTTTCAACTGTTCACTGTACTCAACTAGCCAATGTCTTCATTATTGTTCTAAATATTGAAGTTTCCAATCTGATTTATTAAAAATGTTAAAAATTTGTTGTTATAAAACTTGTTACTAAAACAAAGCAGTATAAATGTATTTCCATGATAAAATAATTATACAAGCTATAACATGTGTGATACATGGTGTGAAGATGGAATGAAGACAGAAGAACAAATGAAACAGAATGAAAGAAGAAAATACATGATATCTTCTTATTAATTAATTTTCCACTTGGAGCAATTTATAATACGAAACTGAGCCATTTTTTTTAACTAATCCAAAACATGTAGAATTACTTTGATAATCCATGAAACAATGCAATTTACATCCATAAAAACAATATGCAATATTTAATTGTTAACTTACTTTAAAGAATAAATTTTAAAAATCAATAGTCCAATTGTATGGTATATCAATAACTTAAATGTCTGTGCCGTTGTGTTACCTATCAACCATGAAATACCAATTCATTAAAATTTGTCATTAACTGTACAGAAATCTCGAAACGTTGTAAACCGCCACTACAGTGGTCAATCTATTTTGTAAAGTGATATCAAAGTGAAGGTGTATGAGCACTGAACAAATATTTGTCAACATTGAGCCACCGAGTGCTCTATATTGGTTATAACTTTATCATCGTCGATTCACCGATTCACAGTAAACATTTTAATCCAATATTTTACATTAACAGGTAACGTTTAAATCACGTTTCGGCATGTCTTCCTATCACTGCATGCATATGTTAATGGTTCGCGCCAATTTATGGTATAACAGGTCTCCCGTAAATATTTCAAGATCAAGAGATCAATACACTCACAAAGACTTCCAAACTTTGGATAATTGCCGTCAACAGTTTACATATCTGATCATATAAATGACGGTTTAATCTATGCCAAATGTATTCTGTACAATATATAATTAAACAAAATTGAGCTTTTAGTATATATTAATGAAAAGTAAAATCTGCCATATCAAGCATATCCTTTTAACCTTAGAAAATTTGTATTTTAAGTATCTATTGCTCATGAATGGAACAAGTAATAATGCAAAAAGAAAAGAAAGATTATTTTTATTTTTTGAAGCAAAATATGAGATTTAATGACAGTATGAAAGTTTTAATAGTAGAATAATAGTGAGAAGGGAAGCAGTGCAGTGCATCTGGTATAATCTAAGTTAACGACAACTACAGTAAATATATGTATAGTAGGTTACAATAACTGTAGACTGGTTCTCACTTATACTGAACCAATAACTACATGCTGACTACTTACATTGTAAAATTGAGAACAAGTCCAAAAATCACTTCATGACAGTGCTGATGTTCCAATCACCGTAATGCACTTTTCTCATATTTGTGCAATATTTTTTTAAGTTCTCGTGAAAAAAAATTCCCATGAATCAGCACAAAAACCAACGAAAAAATGTGCAATATTTTTCAAGTTTGTATGAATAATGCATGTGATTGTCCTTCCTCCAGACAGTGAAAGGTGAGTCTCACACATAAAACCTGGTCACTAGCATCTTATGGATGCTTTGTCAGATCACTAAGGTAACTTTACATTAATTATTTATTCAAGGTTTTAAATCTACCTATAATCATATTCCAAGTTAGAACTTTGCCTTAGTACATGGCGTAATAGTATTACATCTGATTTAAATTGGCTTTCAATAATGTTAAGCAAGCATACTAAGGACTTTATCTACCCAGCAATCATTGATTCGCCAATACCCGTATTATACAAGTCTATCGCAACTGGTGAACTGCCAAATTCCTTTTTAGCAGACGACACTCAAAATTTATTTCAATCATTTATTTTGATATAAAATTAAATTCTGAAGTGAGTTCCTCTACAGTTGTTTTGAAAAGCTTTCTTATCTCTCCTTTATATTTATGTACTTTTTCATAGACAAGCCTATAATCCAGTTAAAACTACTTTTAGAGGACGGGATTTAAATAATTTAACAAGATCAAAATGGTACGGGAACAAGATTTAAACTGATTCCATTCTAGAGGTTAAAGGATAAAAATAATATTGGGACATTCATCTACAAATATATTAAGATATGAAAAATATCAGCTAAAATAATATTGGTCTAAATATATATCAGGAAATGTGTGGGGAACTTCTGGAATATAAACCAAATACATTGTAGTACAAGGTCAATTAGAGATTTCTGAATAAATTATAAATCCCATTGCATTGTAAAGACTAATATATCTAATATTAAAATGGGCAATAAGAAAATAAATATGTCAGTATAAAAAAGTGACCTGAAAATGTTTAAGTGTGAAGAAATTGTAAATAAAAAAAGAGAAATAAAATAACTAAACTGCATGCAAAGCAAGTTGGCAACTATAAATAAATGTGAAAAAAAAATTAATAACCTAAATTATGTTTAAACCAAGGAGAATGTTGCATGTAGGAAACATGTTGTTCCTTTAGCTATGAGTTCCAGGTCATTCATATGTGTCAAACCACACAAATAAAATACTATAATAATGCAATCCCCATTTTTGTGTGACCAAAGTCATTTATATATAGTCTGAAAAAAATGTATAGAACATAACTAAGACTGTGTCAAGTTGACCATAACCAGAACAAATACCATGCTACTGCCCATTTTATGTCATGCATTTCTCTTTCAAAGGTCTATTGTTTCTCTATATTTTTCAAGCTCTCTCTATTATATTATATTTTATATTAAAGATGACCACAGCTACATTATTTCATTCTAATTGTTTAAATATTAAATGGATGATGATGAATGACATGTGTAGTGAATGCAAAACCTTGTTATAAACTCAACAGTTTTGTAATCACATCACCGTATTAACTGGCACATAATGTATTAGCACACTATAAATTAAACCTTGCAAAAAAACGTTTTAACGATCAATTGAACATACACCTTAAGTAGCAACACACAAACCAAAGTACTACCAATTATCCGGTCATTATCAGCTCACTCCAATTTAGCTAGCAGTATTAACAAAGTTATACAAATTGCAAACTCAGCACAAAACCTTTGTGAAATTCAAACTTTCTATAGAAATACTGTCCCCAAATATTTCTACAACTATTTCACAGATTCCCCTTTACCAATGTAAATAAAGTAAAATAGTTCTACTCTGAAGTGTTGTGCAAAAAAAACTCTAGATCAGCTAAGATCTTAAGTTCAGAGTGTACAACATCAATGTCAAAGAAAAATCAACAATTTCTTGGGTACATTATCACCTACCTTCATCATTGCAGATTTCTGCACAGTTGCTACATCAGCTGATTCAATCTTCTCAAGGGCATTGATATAGTTCTCAAGATCATCATCCATTTCATTTTCTCGGGCTTGAAGCTCCTTTGCTGCTTGTAGTGCTTGTTCTCTATCTTCTATCAGGTTCTCAATTTGTCCTAGCAATTCTTCCCAGTCTTCCTTGACAGCTACGACAACTGGGTCTTGCAGGTCTGGATTATGTTCAGTCAGTTCTCTATATCGAGCTAACAGGCCTTCAACAGCCGGACCTCTGGCTTGAACCTCTTCTCGGATACCTTGAAGCTTGCCAATATCAACTTCACATGCTTCTGCATGGAGTTTCGATGGTTGTTTCTCAAGGTCATCTACCTCTTCTTGCATGTCATGAAGCCAGGCTCTCAAGTCAACTCTCATTCTATCAACAGCATCCCATTGTTGCATATTGTCACGTAGCTGAGTCAAGCGACGCTCAACCTGCAAATACACAAAAACAAGATTTTTGGTTAGTTCAATTGTATACAGACTTTGCAATGATAGAAAAATTGGCTTATTCATATAACTTACAGAATTATTATGAAAAAACATGAAATTTTAATTAAAAAATGTTTAAAATATGCTTAGCCTGTTTGATTTCTCTTTCTCTCTTTTTTTTGTTCTTTCTTTCAGCAACATAATCATCAGATTTTCGATTCTGCTGTTTGGCTTTCCCGTTCCTGTCCTCTAGAAACCTTAATGTTTGTCTATTCTTTGAATGTCTACCATATTTGTTATCTTCCTTATATCTGTTACTTTTGTCTCTCAAGTTATGTTCGTCAGATTCACTTTCTGAATTATTGCTATTTTTAGAAATGTTTATGATATCTGCAATCTTATCAAAAGACTGGTTACTATCAGTTAGTACTTCTTTTACAGGCTGTAAGGTATTAATTGATTTTGATTTCTTTGACTTTTGTTTATTCTCTCCTAGTTTATGTTTCTGTGACTTGGTAAACCCTATAGTACTCAAATTAGTAGTAAAACATAGACTTCCTGTATCATCAAGTAGTCGTGGTGTTGAATGGGCAAGCAATTGATTCTTTCCCTGAATATCTTTATCTAAATTACTATTCATATCATTTTTTACACTCTTAGTTTTTGCAACCCTGTCTTTTTTGTTGTGATGACCACCATCGTAAGTAACATTTTTATGCCTCTCCCCATGCTTTTTTCTATCAGACCAATTTTTCTTACTTTTCTTGTACCAATTTGGAATTTCTTGTTGCATTAATTCATCCTTGATTTCTAACTTATACATGTCTGGAAGTTGCTGAAAATAATCATTTTTCAGAATTTCTGTGTTAGGTTGACTTCTTCTAAACTCATGATGAATTTGAGCTTTTTCCTTCTTTAAGATTTCTTGATTCTTTGATTCATTTGTCAATTGATTAGTACTGCTTTCTTCTTTCATGATGTAATTTTCATTTACTGTTCCGTAATTTTCATCATTCAAGCCATTACATTCTTCTTTTAAGCTATTGCATACATCTTTCATGCCATTGCATTCATTTTTCATGCCATTACATTCATCTTTTATGCCATTGCATTCATCTTTTATGCCATCATTTTCAACTTGTGCATCAGCAGTAAGTTCATTTAAACCAATTACTTCAGCCTTTAAATCATTATCAACATCTAGTATTCTATCTTTTACATCAATTTCATATTCTTTAGGACTTGTGCTATCCTCATGTGCTACATTTTCAAAGCTTTCTTTTTTGACATCTTCTTTCATTGCAATACTTTTCTCCAACACCTCTTCTTTGTGTTTTTCACTAATAGTTTTGGTATCTGAATCACTATCTCCATCAGAATCTGAAAAATCTAAATCAAGTTTGTCCAGAGGCGAGGTTGCAGAAGAACCATCTTTTACAATACCAACATCTTCTTTTAAAGCATCTCCTGTTCTATCTTGAAATGGAGAAGGTGGAAGGGGTGATAATTCAACAAGTTCTTCATCAATGATAGAACTTTCTTCTGAGATATCAGCATGAATTAAAGCAAATTCCCTTCTTCCGTCACTTGCAAATTCACCTCTGTTATACTTTTCATATGCATTAAATTGATAATTTTGATCAGCATCGTCCATTTGTCCATAGTTGCTATTCATATCAGTGTCTGTCATATACCTCGTCTTTTCTGGAATAAAGCTTGTGAATAAGCTGGTGTTTCCAGCAGAGGTTTGTTGGTTTTCTGCCCATTTTTCTGACTGCTCATAATCTGTATTCTTCAGTTTATTTCCTGCTGATACCATAATGGATTCCAAAGCCTGGAGTGCATTTTCTTCTCTTATTCCAGAATTTTCTTTAATCTTCTTTTTCTTCAATTTCTTTTTAGCTTTTAATTCCTGTTTTTTGAGTTTCTTCAGCTCCTTTCTTTCCTTTTTGTCCATTGTGCCCTGAGCTTGTCCCATTTCCTTATATGTTAAACAATTTTTTGTGCTTTAACTAAGTCTGTATATCTTTTTATCTCCTTAGTATTTTAATCAAAATTTGCCAGTATTTTTATTTTCATGCAATCCCTTTTCTCCAATTTTAAAATAACTTGCAGTGATGTTTCGATACAATCCAAAATTTCAACTTTTAAAAGTTGTTTGATTTAAAGTAAACTTATTGGCATTGTTAAAGATTCCCTTGGTATCATAGATCACAAGTCTTTGTGTATTCAATATAACAATTTTGTGACAAAGTAACATTATTGACACTTTGTTCAAATATAGATTAGATAATGAGGACTTAATTTACTTTCTAGTAATAACAGGAGATTTCAATGGCTGAAATATTTGTGTAAAATATTGTTAGTTATAACTTTATTTCAACAGACAAAGGAATATCTGGGTACTTCAGAAATTAACCTTATCTCTTAAAAGAAAAGAAAACAAAAACAGTAATTTTAATATTTTGAGTTTAAATACCCAGTAATTTTAATATTTTAAGTTTTAAATACCTTATGGATAGCAATTTTGTCTAAACAACCACAGGACAATTTTAAGCTATAAAATAGGTTTTTAGCTTGTAAGAATCATAATTATGGGAACATACTCAGGGTAATGGTTGCAAGTAAAAGGATTTTTTTGTAATAAAAGTCAAGCATTTGGGTAAACAGATTTCAATAAATCTTCATCGAAAATCAGAATGAGGGTGCAAGGATTAATATAATTATTACAAAAAATATATTATTTGATTACATATATTTGGTCAAGCTTACTTAATAAAGGCTGAAAGAATGAAGCAGACAAGTTTCTAAAATTGTCTACAAAAAAAAGCTTGATCAGGTGAAATTTTATACATATTTATCATTTTCCCATTTAATTTATTCATTCCAAAACAACCAAATAAGTAATGTTTTAATCGATAAAACAAATATGGGTTGAGAATTTGACTGACTGCATTATTGGGATACTATGAATGGTTATTTCCTTAGGAAAAGAAAATGTCAGGTTATTAACTTCATTTTCAACATTTATCAATTCTATGAAACTAAGTCATTAAGTAGTAAATTTCTAAATAAATATTCAATTTGATTCTTAGGAATAAATTTGATCAAATTTTGTGAAAATAAATCTGAATTTCTTCTTGTACTAATGGACAACTCTGGGTAATCTAGATCAAAGATCCCAGTAACTGTTGCTTCACAAACAGTAAAGAAATGGTCATTATCATTGTACTATAACACACATTTTTAAGTAAAAGAAAAATAAATAAACCCCAGTAGGTACAAACTTTCATCAAAACCTTCATGTTGAACACTATAAAACTGATACAAGGAACATAAAACAGAATGATATGGGAGAATAGTTTATGATAAACAGAAGCAAGATTTGACATTATTGACATAGGAAAAGATAGTAAACATTGAGTGGGTCTATAAATTGTCTGTACAAACTATTCACAATGACATTATAGAGAGGGATGAAAAGAACAAGTACACAAAATTACAGTAAATCAATAACAATATTTATTTACAAAGAATTGAGAAAGGAAAAGTCAAATGCTTCCTAACAATCAGAAAGAAATAAATGTTTAATTTAACATTTATGGGCATATAATCAGAAAGAAATAAATGTTTAATTTAACATTTATGGGCATATTTGACATGTTAAGAGAACATGTACAAATGTGGCTAAGTTTAAGTACATTGTAGAATATGTCTGTTTTGATTTGTAATTTCCTTGTGAGGTTTTGGCAATAAAATTCAATGCATGTTAAGTTACTCTGTCCAATTCTGGTAAAGCACCCATTTTTCTTACAGAAGAAACACTGTCTATTCATGTTTATGTTTACAATATATTTCAAACATGAAAACCCTTAGAAGTTCTACTTATATGACAAGTGTTTACAATGGAAAATTCCACTATCTTTATTATCCATTTATATCTTAACAGCTTATTTTCAGAAACATGCCCCTTTCATAAGGGGTTGAAAGTGGTTCACAGTCCACTTTCAAAATTCATGCATCCCCAATATCTGTTGAAAACTGGTTGTCTTCAATCATTATTTCACTTACATTATTGTCAAACATTTCAGTAGGTTCTCCTAAATTTCAAAAGTACATGTATATAGCGTATCTTCTAAGGTTTTCAGCATTCCTTTCAGATGTTTCTCTTATATACTTTATACAACCATTTCAAACATTTGTCATTAACACTATGAAGATCCATTACTGTTTTGTATTCTCTCTCACAATCTGCATTACCCATTTCTTTCATGGGCAAAGCTTAGTTCACTCATATTCTTTCTCCCTCTTGCTGCATTGATAATATATCACTCACCATAAACTTTATAAGATAGACTTCAGGTCAATCAGACATTAATAAGCTCATACTACAACTTTTCAGCTTTACTGTTGGGACATAATTTATGTCACCCATAAGCAAGTAATCTTTTTATTTTATATATGACCCTTTCTGCATGATTTCAGCATCTTTGTAGAACCACCAACCAACTGTAAGCTAATTAGACAGCCTCCTCTCATAAAATAATTCGATGTCACTGGAGGGATCCAAATCAAGAGTTGTATTTTGTTCATAAAGGTATGGATAAATTTGAGGAAATCTCATAACATATAAATATAGATATCTTACCTCGCCTGTTGCTTGTTGAAGATCAGTGTTGACTTGTTCAGCCAGGTTATATATAGGTGTATTTTCTGGTAGATCTGCCTCGTCCAAGTTCTCCACACTGCCAAGGTTCTCACATCGCTGTGCACAGTTATCAATATCCTGTCTCATTGTGGACAGTCTGTCCATCATTCCCTGTTATAAAGAAATATCAACATTAAAAAATTCCTGATATCTTGAAGCCCCACAGTTGATTTTGATGAAATAAATATTTGAACAACAGATCTATCAATTCTACAGACAACGAGTAAGAAACCAATGACTGCAAGCATTTTATCAATACTTTCTCACCTATTCTTAGAATGTCATTTTTTTATCATATTCATTTATACAAGAATACTAACACAAATGGAGGCTTAATAATTAGTTACTACAATTATCATATTGCAAATTTCTCCTTATTTTTCTTTTAAATTTCAAACTAAAATACAAGAATGACCAGTGATTGTGTCAGTGTTGCTGTAACCTACCAACTTTAAACATTGACTTTGAGGTTAAATTGAAAGTATAATTCACAAAGTACAAACCTTAACTCCCTCAACTTTCCTCTGGGCATCATTTTTACTGTCTGGAATGTCACTGTCAGTCTCCTTCAACCAATGAGGGAATTCCTCCTTCAAGAACCGATCAGTGGACTCAAGGTGACCCCGATATTCCTGCCAACGTTTCAGGACATCATTTAGACGATCCTACAGTAATAAAACAAGTTAACAGACTGAAAACATGATCATTTCATGCAAATCATGATAATAATTGTATCATATTTTTATGTTACAGTATCAAACGTACATTCAGAAAAATGTACTCAATTACTTAGACATAAAAGTAAGTAAAGATCTGTTACTTATTTTATAAGAATTTCTAATTATAAAATTTAAGAAATAACTTTTCATATCTTTAAGTATCTAGTAAAAGTGGAACAATAAGAATTGCATCAATGTTATAAGTTTTCTATTTATGCTAACCTTGGAGCATCTGTTCACTTTATAGAAAAGGCATGATAAATCCATTTGGAACAAAACACTGTATACATTTTACTATTGTATATTTCCCTTTACACCATACATGGGTATATTTATAACAAGGGTAATTTTACTTTTCATTGGGTTAAAAGTACTTAAATGAAGGCAATTAGAGATATAACAAAATGTGAATTATTAATTCTGCCAAACAATATTTTAAAACCAAATCATTGTTAAACTATTATTAGTGTGCTAAGAAGCACACGAGTTAAGTGAATATTGAAAATATTCGTTTTTTCAGTGCTTTTTTTCATGAACAGTTTTGGGCATAAAATTTTGAAGACATTTAATATGTTTTTTTTTATTTATCTAAAGTTGCATGTTACATTTATTTACCCCAATCATTGTGACATTTACAGGTCATGGCTTCAAATAATCTGACAGAAATTAACATATCAAGGGTACCAACACAGCTGTCACAATTGTATGAGCTATCAGAACATCCTGTGACAGTTCTGGCAATTTAACCCTTAGTATGTTAACTTTATTATATAATATGTGTAGAGTTTTAAAGCTCTTCCTCCTTTTTTTACCAGGCTAATTATCATATCTAATTCTACAAGAGCAATTGACCAATCATCCATTGTTGCCATGCCTTCTATCTAAAAATAGCAACCAATCAACTTAGAAAATTCCCAGAGAAACTCACAACTTCTATAGAAAAACATTACTAGCTCTCAAATTGAAACAATGGGCAGTATGATGAAAAACACTTGTGTAATAAATTAATTGTTTTATTACATCTCAATACATAAATAAGCAAATCTTACATAAATAAATTATAAAATACAGATCTATAGAGCAAAAAATGCTATCTGGAGTCCATTTAAAATATCACAATACCTAACAAATATGCTGTTAGTTTAAAAACAACATTTCAAATACAATGTTTATATATATAAAAAAAACAATAAAAGATATCACAGAAATTAATTTTGATATAGATTTTAATTACTGACAAGACAATAATAACTGTATTAATTCACTGCAATCCAGACAATAAAACCAGGGTTTTATCCCTCTACCTAGCTCTCTAAAGAGTGAGTGTGCTTTGGTCATTTCTGTGTAACTATGGTAACATATCACCATAAATTCTGTGCAGAGTCTAGATCAGGAAAATAGTCATATTCGGGAGCCAATTTCTTTTTGTCAATTAAAGAAAAGATTTGAGTCAAAGAGCTTGCAATGTTTCAAGATTTTGTTTCAAATTTTTTGTTGAATAATTTATTTGTTTGTGTGCTACTAAATGCACTTAGAATGCAGTGAACAAGCTAGAAAGAAAATTACAAGAATTAGGCAAGCAGTTCACTACAAGATGCGTAGATTGCTTGTAAACAAGGGTTCTCTAGGTCAAGGTCATGTGATATGGGAAGGTCAATCATGCAAAAGGTCAATGATAGGAGAAGGGTATTTGAAATAACAAGTATAATAGATGTCTGATCAAACTTTGGTAAATACACATTCTAAATAACATTGCTATAATAAGGCATTGCTATGGTTACCAAAATATGAACAAAGCTATTAAATGATGGAACTAACAGAATAACAAGAAAATACAGAACAGAATAAAATAAGAAAACAGATTGGAAAGGTAATAAATACCAATAATTCATCACAGATTTCATTAAATCAATCAGGAAATATATTCCCTGACCAACACTGCACAATGATTTACAATAGCTACATCATCAACTACAGGTATTCTCAGGTACAACTACTTCTTTCTAATTTTGAACAGTTAGAAAATATATATATTTTTTAAAAATCACTAAATGTCCATTATCCATTTTCAGAGATACTGGTGAAAGAAAGAAGTTGTTAGACCTGATTATACCTCTAGTTTACCAACAATACACACACTCTACAAATGATACCAACTATCCAGCAAAAAAAGAAGATATTTCAAATTGATTCAACAGTCATTGCAGTAAATGTTATATAAAATAATTGAGGAATTAGCTTAAGTCATTTATATAAATGTTACCACCATCTTTATCAAAATGCCAAATTAAAAGTGATAAACCATCAAAAAAATTGAAAAACCATATCAATCCATCACCTAAGTGGACAAAATTAAGCAATATTCCTTTTCCAGGGCAAATCCAGATTAAGCAATTTCAATATCTATAAATTCTAGCAGCAACAAAAGTCACTTTATACTGTTAAACCTTTAATAAAATTAAATTAAAACATCTAAAAAAATCTAAAGTCAAACAACTATCTACCTGCGTATTCTAAATTGTTTTTGCAATGAATTAAAACATGCAAAGGTGTGAACAAAATAAAACAATGGACGGATTAAAGTGCCAAATTGAAACTTGGTGCAGAAAATGTTAAGAAATAAACAAAATCCCAACATAATAACAGCACCATATGATGACAAAATAGTGAAATAATAAAAAGTGAAGATGATATAATTTTCACATAACACCATGTCAATTTTATCCTTTATATTCAAAACCTTTTTCTTTGTAATAAAATCAAAATTAATAAATCTCTCTAAAGTGTTGTTTTTTTTTAATCTTTTCTGTCATAAATATTTATTGTGCATTAAATCATCAAAAAAAATCATTTTTTATTTATGAAACGTTTTTTCATCTTGAAAGTAAAGTTCCTAGCAATATATATACTCTGAGAAAATAGCCCAAAATTTGATAATAATAAACATGGTGTATGTTTCTAAAAAATGATTGTGTATAAAATACATGATGTAACAAAACAGCCAGATAATCATAAAAACAGCACTTTAGGTCAAATTTGAACTCTGTTTTCTTTTTCCAGATAGATTATGGCACAAAAAATCTAAAATAAATATTTGACTAACATATCTTTTAAGCATGTGTATCTTTTATATAATTTAGAGACATGACTTATGTTTATAAAATGATAAAAATCACAGATCAAATAAATACACACCAGCAAATATTGCTGGAAATTTTGAGATTTCTTGTACTTTTCACAGGCATTTGGAATAAAATCAAAATTTCAGGTAAATGAAGCAAAATCTTCATCCAAAAACAATCTAACTATAAAATCTGTTTATGCATTCTAAGATTCCTGAATACCTACTGCTACACAATTATTTATCAATAAAATGCTGTATTTATAAATAAGTTTATCACAGTACAATAAATATATGAACAATATATAAAATATAAATGGCCCCAAACTTCACAACCATATAAAAAAATTCAAAATAGGAAGTTCATCATTTCCTAATCACATTTCTTGGTAAATGAGAAAATGGCATGTCAGTGTAATTAAATACCTTTGGATAAGTATTGATTTGAATTATTTGCTTTGATGTTAAGTAAAATATCCGGCAATTATAACTTTGTTGTATCATTGGCCCTATGAACAACAAGTTAATAAAACAAGATTAGAAAAAATATATTTCATCAAAGGTATTTAATGACATTTGACATTTATAACTTCAACAGCTCTCCACTTTGTTGATGGGTGGTATTAATACAAAGATTGAATACTTTATAAGTAAAATGTTTGTAATACTGTCAATTTGTGTATGATTTCAGTCACTTCCATAACACACATTTTTTCTTTAGCTGCCACTTAGTGTATTTTGGTGTTAAATTCCATTAGTCATTTCGAACATCAATTTAATAGTTAAAATATATAACTATGAAAACACACATTTCAAACTCTTTAAATTAAGAGCACGTGTTCACACACACTATATGCTGTGTATTCAATTATATTAAGTGTGTATAACTACTGTGTAATAATCACACTGTCATTTTTTTTTTGGTCCAATGTAATGTTTTCATATTTCACAATTTTGTCACAAAGAGTCAATGACAATGAACCCCACTCTCCATAAATGAACAAATGAACAAAGGTGAAACAAAAATGCCTTATGCACGAGAAATTTGATGTTAGGATTAAAGTAGATCAGATGTAAGCAGCAGAACAAATAGGAACGAGCTCACCCTAGTACCAGTAGAGATCTATATGATCCAGTACTACCTGCGAAGAGCAAATAAAGTATCTCTTGTCATTTCCTACTTGCATATTTTAAAAAACAGTTTTCTACTTTCACTTTCACAATGAACATATATTTCTACTTTAACTTTCATTTTGAAAATTCATTAAAGGAAATAGTTTTGTATACATAAAGCTTGAATATTTTAATATTTTTAATAAGTAAGCAAAACCTTGATAAATTCTTAGTAATGCTTGTTTAAGAAGAAGCAATAGAGAACAAATTCTAGATTAACAAATATCACACATTGAATAAATATCAAATTCTGGCAAATTTGCTAAAGTATAAATAATTTCTTGGTTATGTGAAATCCTGATAATTATTTTTTCAACTTTAAGAATACAGTAATTTGTTTGACACCAGAATTAATAACCTTAATATTTTACATATTTATTTAAAAACATAGAAAGTTACAGCTTTTATATTTTTGTTTGGCCACCCAGATCAAGAGTTGCAAAGTAACTTTGAGAACTACATTATAAGTGAATAATGCACTCATCACTTCAAAACACACACCCCACCCACATAAGACAGAATCTTTTTGTCTAACTATCAATCTACTTTAATAAGCAAGACACAGAGCCTTATACTGTGCTGATGTAATCTATGTCATTTAACTGATCAGAGTTGCTCTTTACAAAAAGTATATCATCTTCAGTTTATACTATCTTATTTGAGTTTGTGTTGGAAGCTATAAGCTTATTGAAACACTTGAATCTGTTCCTGGAACCAACCAGTACTGAACAATGAGTGTAAAGTTTCTTGCTCAAGCAAGCAAAAGCTGGCCCCTGACAAAATTTGAACCCACGCGGCCAGAAGTCCTTATATTACTAGTCCAGTGTGACTCCAGAAAATTTCAAAACATGATTTCTTCAAAACTTTAGATTTGAAATAGGGATGACACAAAATGATACTGACATTTTGATGAATTTCCAGTGCAACATGTGATAAATGTGTTTCCTTTACATAGACATAGATCTAATAACAATAAAGGTGTTTTAAAGTGAAGTTATCCAAATCCATCCCATTTCCTCTAAAAATCTGAATAATGAACTTTGCAATGTGGTCCCAACATGCCTTCCATGCATTTTTACAAGACATAGAAACCCAAAAACAGGAAGCAGTTCTCAAAGTTGGCCAATGCATTATGGGAGCTCTCTACTGATTTGTCAGCAAAGAAAGCACATTAATGACACCACAATGAAAGACAGAAACAGACAAACAGATGGACAGACAGACAGAGAAGAAAAAGACAAAACATATTTTACAATGATTCAAACATCCATGCGTTTACTTCAAATGCATACAAATTCTGACTGTTAATAAGAATCAACTATCACTGTAACTTCTGCCTGTACAAAGACCTATGAAAAATACTGATTATAAATATTTTTTATTCAAATGTTAGTTATGTAAATGATTAAGATATATTAGTGATTATTTTCACACTTATCTGTTTAGTTAGATTCAACATTAAAGATATATATTGAAAAGCTTCAAATTTCTGTGTAAGTGAAAAAAATACATATGTGAGCTTCAAACGTGATTCACAACAAATAAGACACTTTTTTCTATTTTTAGAGTCAAAGAAGGCAATGGCAACAAAGAAGGAGTGCAATGACCTTGAACCTGCAACCCCTGACCTAGGTCGCGACCTCGACAAATATTTCCTTAACTATAGCCCCCCTGATTTTAGTTTATTTCACTTATTCAAGCAAATTTTGCTTCAATAGTTTGTTCCTTAATCAAGGAAAGCATTTTCACTAAATATTACTGATAGCTGCATGCAAGTACTTACTCGTATTTGTTCTGCTGTTTTCTGCAAGTTTATGTAACTCTCTTCAAGGTTTTGTAATTGGTCTTGCATTTGTTCTGCAAGCCTTGGTGTCCGGGCATTGTTGTCAATAAGTCTACGTCCTTTCAGGTTAACTCTGTCAAGGACAGAGCGATACTCCTCTATTTCTCTGAGCAATATCTATAACATCAAACAAAAGCAATTAGATCAAACAGTTTTGCTTAATGATAAACCATCTAAAATACCACATGTGATGGATTCTAACTGCAAGAAATCAACAATATGACAATAAATATGTGCCTTTCTTCAGTTATGCAGTTGTTATATTTAATTAAATCAATAATTTAAATGTACTTCATTTTAATAAACTAAAATGTCATTTTTAAGACATACAAATGTGCTGAGGCAAAATAAGAGTAAAATAACAACATATGGAGATTATTTTTTTTTTTTTTGGGGGGGGGGGAGGGGGGGGGCATATAAAGAGGATACTAAATTCTGTTAAAACTAAAGTATGATCAGATTATTATACTAACCCTATGTTTCTCCAGCTGTCTGTTGGTCAGTTCCATGGTACTACAGTTCAATGAGTTATGATTCATTAAACGGAATGAGGTCTGTAGCAACCATTTCTCACTCTCCTGTTGAGCCTCGTGGAAACCAAGATGTTCCTGGTAACTGCGGTCCAACTTATTCAACAGCTCCTGAATAAAGGAAATATCAATACTTTCACTTTATCATTTAAACTGTTGTAATACTGGTTGTGATAATGACTTAATGCCACCAGTACAGGCTCAAATACAAATATGTGCAATCTCACCATACTTTGAACTGTCAGCAACTCAATTTTATCTATTTATTTTTTTTTAAATAAGTAACAGAAAATAGTTATTATTTCTAATCAAAGTAGTGCACAATACAAATTTAGAGGTATAAGGCTTAAAAAGAAAGAACAGAATCCAAGTCTACAAATTCTATGTAGCACTAAAAAAATTCAAAATAAACGAAAGAGAAAAGTTCATGGTTCAAAGTTCATTGTGCTGAAAAGCTTTCTTTTATGCATGTTGTAGTGTTTATATTTGTTGCAGTCTGGTAACTCACTGGACTGTTTCAAAGGCCATATCCTGACAATGTAATTGTTTCAAGACAAAGTCATTAACTGTTTCTCAATGTGAAAATTGATACACAAATATAAAGACATGGAAATAATTCAACAATATTTACCCTACAACGAGAGCGAACTCTGTCATATCTATTCTGTACATCTTGTAATGAGTCTGTAATTTCTGGGTTCTCACTGAGGGCCTCCAGGTTAGCGACTCGTTCGGCCAACTCATTCACCATTCTCTGATGATTCTCTATATCACTCATCATTAACTGAAATTTGTTATCATATATCATTAGAGAAAAAAATGTTAAATCAGCAATACATTATGTCTCGGCTGCATTTATCATTAGTATTCACTTAACTATGACAGAAGTTATAACACAATCATTTCTAAATTCTTACAGTTCTATTTTGTGAGTGATTCAGACTTTATCCTAATTTCACACAAACAGAACATCTATGAACAGTAAAAATAAACAAGACAAACATTATAGATTACTTATTGTGATTTTAAAAAAAAACTTCATAGAAAAATTATTTAAAAATATTTATTACAACAATATCACTGACACCAAATAGTAACAAACCTTGTATTTGTCTAGTTGTGTTTTCTTTTCCACCAGGGTGGCTTTTGGTTCTGGGTCCATGCCTAGTGTATTCTCCATGTCGGCCAGCCATTTAACCAGGCTGCCATAATATTCCTCATAGTCATTCCATCGTTCTTGTACACCCTGATTTATATAACAAACATTCAAATACAGAACTTTCTATATTGAAAAATTTATACTATTAAATAATAGTAGTAATAAAAGTTATACAGAGACCTCATTTATCCTTAAATACTATGAACTAGAAATTAAGTTTTAATTGTCAAATTTGAGGCTTCTGGGATAAGTTGCTATTCAAACTGTCAAAATGAAAAAGAAAAAGCAATTATGGACAAATTAAGCAGCTTGTTCTATCCTTTATTTCCATTTTTAGCAATCGTGAAGGTACGAACATTACTTTATAAATCTTTACAATACTAATTGTTATTTTGTTAAAAACACAGACACTGAATTGATTAAAAAAAACAGAATAACTAATTACCTCTAGCATGGCATTACAGTCTGTAATAGACATATTAAGTTTCTCCCATTCATTAGTTAGTTCTGTGACTTGTTGTTCTATAAGACGTTTACCCTCGGACGACGTGTTCGGAAGTATTCTCTCAGCAAGATCACACACACGATTTACTTTCTGTAACCCTTCATCCATACCAGCTGTGATACTCTGTGAGACAATTAACATCAATTAAAGCAGCTGTCAATCAAATTACACTAACATTACAATAAATGTCTAAATTCTTGGTCATCATGACTTATCTTGGATAAGAAGTCTTCAGCAATATGGCCAATAACCGTTCAAAGTATAATCCCTCAATTAAAACGTACTTCAATATGACTTTAAAAGTTTCTATATAAAACTGTCTAATTTCAAAAGGACAAACTGTAACTAAAAGTTTTGCTATATACGTATAATATATATGTAATAATGCTTCATGCTTTATAAACTTATTAACTTCTAAATTGTGAAAATATTTTTAAAAGGAGGACAATGATGATAATGCTAATGCAAAAACATGCTTCATGTTAAATAATCATTTTCTTTATTCACCCCAAAGTACATTTTGAATGATAATCATTATAGATAAATCATTATGATGTTACCTTGATAGCATCCATCCTATCTTGTAGAGTATGCCAGTCACCAGCTGTATCATTACATTCCTGTACACGTTCCTCCATGTTAGCTAACCATTTTGTTGCTGCATGGAAAGCATCGTTGTATTCCTTGTGATCTCTAGCATTCTCACTCAGGTTAGACACTAGGGTCTAAAATATGATAGGAAAAGTTAATTACAAACAATAACCATACCAAATATGAAATATCACTTTTTTTAATTATACCCATTTGGTCAATTATCTTGCTTGAAAATAGTAATTTTTGTATTAAAATAATTTCTTTAAACTTACAGCAGGATGTACTTTCCTTCAAGTTCATTTATATCAAGTTTTCTTGCATCAAAAATACGTTTTAAAGAACACAAATCACTAATCAAATAATATCAGATCTTACCTTGGCACCAGAGACAAGAGCTTGGTATCTGGTTGCTAGCTGCATCATATTGTTGGAGAGTCTAGGATCCGTGCTACGCTGGGCAACAGCTTCACCTTTCTCCCTCACTAGTTCCAGAGAGGATTTCTTGCTTACTATCTCACCCAACAAGTCCTAAATTATACAATAAAATCTATGCAAATATATAGTAACAAAATGTGTGAAATATCACATAGCTGTCAATCATTGGACAATTACCCAGTATATGTAACAAATCTGAGCTAAAATATTCTCATAAGCTGATCAACCTTCTAAACAAGTAATAGTTTGCCTACATCTGGTTTTGCAATTCACTCTAAACAGAAAATATCTATTTTTAGTTAAAAAACAGTCCTACATTCTCTTTAATACACAATTTTTAGCCTTATAAAGGAAACAAACATACTGTAAAACACTTATTATTCGCGAGAAATTTATTTTCGCTAATATTCGCGAGTTTTCTAAGACGCGAATTCATATTTATCGCGAATATTTCACTTTGTCTATACACTTGTCCGAAAATGAACACTATTCGAAAATGCGTACACATGGATATATATCTGCGGGAAAGTATCGAAGCCAGAACTTGTTACATCATGTAGCTATTCAAGTGTTTCAGAATAACTGTTTTGGTATTTGGTACAAATGCTTTAGCACCTGCGAGTTATTTGTAACATTTCGATTTATTGTATCCTATTGTATTGTACTACAGTTTAAGCCGGAGGGTAAACATAATTGTTTACTACAGGTTAGGCAAATTATGGTAACGTTTAATTGATTTTCGTCTGCTTGCCTTTGAATGGCTAATCAGTAAAACTTTAACACTTTGCATTACTAGTAACAATGCTAGAGGCACGGAGTATAATCAGGGACAATACATGACAAACACACACATATCAAATAATTATCAAACTTTGTTGACATATTTTTAGACAGACGGTTTCACTTAACAAGACGATTAGCAAGCTATCAGAAAATTCGACATGGATATAAATGCATCGTCGCACAATAAACGACGCAAAGTTAGTGAACGGACAGGACAGACATTATCCGAATGACATCGGGTTTCCGGTTTCACATTTTTCGGGAAGACGCGAATTCATGTTGACGCGAAATAATTATTTTGGACATTTTGCCTCAAATTCGCGAAATAAGGTTCTCGCGAAAAATAAGTGTTTTACAGTACCTCTGCCTCTTTGAATAGCCTCTCTTTTCTGGAGCTGTCAGATTTACTATCATTCAAGTTCTTCATCTGTCTCTCCATCTTCTCCATCCAGTGTGTGAATCCTGACAGGGCGTCATCCATCTCCACCCAGTTACCTATACACACCTCTAGGTTCGACTCTACCTCATTCACTGCAGCAGAGAAACTTGACCAATCATCTTTCAATGTTTGTATCTCCTTGTGGATAGCATCTTGACCACGAGGAGCTGTTGTGTGGCATACACGCTCGCCAAGCTGAGTGGCATTGTTCACCATGTCCTGACCTTGACGCATTTCACCTTTAAACTCCTACATTAGAAAGTCATTTTTCTTAATTATACAGCACAACAATTATTAACATGGACAAGCATCTTATTTTAAATTAAAGCTTTATTTGTAAATAAATACCTTCAAAATAAAGTCAAATGAACAAACTTCAAAAGAATTTATTTGTATGTTGATTTGTTGATAGTAGAATATTCACTTAACAAACTAAATGCAGAATAAGCATACCTTGAGTTGTTGGAGTCTATCTTGTAGGGTTCTCCTGTCACCGGAGAAGTCACTGAGTCTCTGTAGACGATGTCGTGTGTTGGCCATCCAGTCAAGGCAGCCAATATATGACTTACGATATTCCTCATGACTAGATACTTGACTATCAAGTTTGGCTACAAGTTCCTTTATTGCTGCGGTAACACCAGCATACCGTGACCTGAGGTCAAGGACACGTGACTGAGGATGGGCATCATTCACATTGGCAGCCTTTTCTTCCAATCGCTCCAACAGTTCACGATGAGCCAAACAATCAGCTTGAAGAGCCTATATTGGATATAAGACAAATAATTAAAACCTGATATGCAAAACATAGAACATGTTTGTTGTATTTTGGATAATTCTGTATCACTAGTTATTTCGATTTTTAAAAGAAACATAAATGGTTTGACACCTCATTAACATTAAGATGAAATGTGGAAAGTTAAGATTAAAGTATTGTTACCTTGTATTTTTCAAGACTTGATCTTTTCTCAGGAAGATCAGTTTTATAAGCTGGATCAGCATTTATCTTTGACTCCATGGCTGACAACCACACATGGAACTGTTCAAATGAGCGATCAAAGTCACCCCATTGTGTCAGTGCTGACTCAAGACCACGCTTGGCTTGTGATGTGTCAGTGAGCAAGTTCTCATACTCTGATTTGGCTGTCTCACACTCGTGTCTGATCACCTGACAACCACGAGTGTTTGTGTTGGGTAAAGTTTTCTCTGAGCATTCAAGCACATGTCTAAGGTAGTTGTGACCGTGATCCATGGCTACTTGCATTTCCTGGTGAATAAAATATTATCATTTATTCAAGGTGACTATGAAAAGCTAATTTAATGTTTGTATGCTAAAAACAATTGCATTGTTATCAAATATACAAATAATCACGAACATGATCTATTTTCCCCCCAAAATTTCAAACTTTTTTCTATCATAAAAAGTTATCCCTTATCACTCCACATATAAAGCAATACTTACAGTCATATTCTGAAGTTTAGAACCAATGTCTTCTTTAGACCCTGCAGTTCTATGAATAGTCTGGAGGCGGAGCTTAGTTTCTGACAGCCAATTAATGAACTCAGTATGAGCATCTTTGTAATGCAGATGGTTATTATAATAATTGGCTAGGTTCTTCACAATATCCTGTAAAATAACAAAATTAATTTTTCTTAATTTGATGCTGAAAAATAGTAAAGATGAACATATGCAAAACAAGTTAGATACAAACAGCTACTTCATTTCACAAAATATACATTACCTTTTAATTATTTTGGAGTATTTTGAATTTCAGTCCTTACAATTAAAAAAAAACAATTTTTAAAAATTAAAAAATATAAAAAATATACATTTAGCAGGGTAAAGATTGACAAAGATCTGCAACTTATTTTAAAAATATCTAGACTCAAGAACTTTTCAATTTTCTGTAATATTATTTAATTTCTATTTATTTTGGCATTAACTTCTAAGTTTGTGTGATGATAACATACCTTAGATAGAGCAATAACACCCTGGTAGCGGGTTGTAAGCTGTGTTATAGCATGTGAGGTTTTGGCATCAGCATTAGTTTGTAGTAAAGATTGGGCTTTCTCATTGACCTGGTCTAACTCGGCTTGTTTATACTGAATCTCCTCAGTAAATGCCTGAAAAATTACGGAATCACATTTTAAAGTGAAAAAACACAATGTCAAAGATAAATTTACTGGCATATCAGATATTATTCTAAATTATTTTGTGTCATAAAACTTCATGAGTACTTATTTATATTATTCAAATAACATGATTCTCAATGAAAGTTTTTCTCATTTCTAAGATACAGTCCTTTTTTCATACACTGGAGGACTTAGAGCATGACTACACTTTGTTCTGTTCTTAATTAACCTAAATCAATGCAGTTTAATGTCTGAAGTACTCAAAAGTATGTTTTTCTATAACTGATTGACAATTATTAGTATTACCTGATATTGTTCCCAATGTCTCTTTTTCTCCTCTAGGTTGGCCTTGAAATCAAGCTCTGACCTGAGATAAGTTTCTGTCTCCTTCAGCCAGTTGTTAAAGTGGAGATAGCCATCCTCAAACTGTGTCCATCTTGTCAGACATTCCTCAAGGTCTTCCTGGGCTGACATCAGCTCTGTACGGAACTCCTCAAAATCTTTGTTCATAGATTTAATTTCCTGTCGTATCTTAGTCTGACCAGTTGGTGAGGTGTTAGGAAGAGTGCCCTCCCCTGCCTTCGTAGCCTCAGTTAACCTCTGAGAACCTTCACTTAGTCCTTCAACTAAAGCCTGTAAAATAAAATTAGTTTTGTTCATGATCATTTACTATCACCAATGCTAAAGAATGCTAAAAAAACATCACTTTCAAAAAACATGTTTAGACAAGTTTTACTAATAGTTTCCTGTATTATTAACTTTCATAGAATAAATGATGTTTATTGTAGCTTGTTTATTTACTATCAAGATAAAAAGGCAATTTTTCTACAATTTTTATGAGTAGAAAGTAGCTAGATATTTACCGCAGCTCTCTCAATTTTGCCCTGAATGGCTGATTTCTCTCCAAAAGTATCAGAGCATGTGGCAAGTTTTTCACGAGCATATCGGAGCCAGGAAACAAAGTTGTTACAAGCATCATGATAGGCTGTGTGCTGGGCAACATTCATCTCTGCTCTAGCCAACATATCCTGTAATACAGAAAATGTATATGTGAAATATTGTCAGTTAATTCCTAAAACTTCTTTCACTCAAATGTTGACACACTTTATTATATTGGTCCAGATGGCAATAGATTTTTGTTAAAACTACTTTACTTTATAAAGTAACAGCCCTGCTTCTGTACCTGTTGGAAAGGCATATGCATGTATCTTGTTAAATTAACTGACATTTATATACACACTTGATTAATAAACAAAGAAATATTGAAAAAAAGTTTGAAAATGTTCATTTTTCTAGAAGAAAACAGTAAAAGAAGGTATACCATGGCAAGATCTTTGAGTTGGTGATATTTGTTGATAATCTGAGAGGTGTCCGTGGAAGCCTTGCTGGCTGGACTTTTCTGCATCAGATCCTGGGCTTTCACACCTGCAGACTCTACCATCTGCTCAAATGATACCACATCTTGGTAGATGCCCTGTAAATATATGGTTATCATAAATTAACACAATTTTCTAGACATACATGTTTTATTATTATCATCAAGTTATTTTTTGATAAATGGAGAAAATATATTTTCAACTAAACTTATAACTTTAAAAAGTACAAAGATCCTAGATTAAAAGAAATACCAAGGTTTGACAAAAAAATATTTTTTTTTTTATAAATTGTCTTTTGTTTTGCTATTTTTTCAGTATTGTTGTTTTCTCTTATCTCTTTTACTCTGCTTTAAACCTTTTAGTTCTTTTCTAATCATAAATGAATCAAGTTTACCTTGATTCTCTGTAGTTCAGCCTTTTTCTCCCCTATATCAACCTTCGGGTCACTGCCTCGTAGACGTTTCTCCATCTCTCTCAGACGTTTCTGGATTTGCTCGTAGCTGTCATTAAAGTCTGTCCATTGTAGCAGGCAACTTTCTAACATTACCTTAGTGTCTGTTACTTCACCTATAATATAATATCACAAGTTTGAAAAATATGCTTATATCACGTTAAAATTAAACTTTAATAAAAACCTCCAGCATTTATGAAGACAATCATCAGATATGCCTCTATGTATAATTTCACGCACACACTGGCACATGGCTAGAAATTCCAATTTTTGGAAAGCTAGTATGAAAAATTTCAAGTTTCTAAGATAGAATAGCATACACATCACTCAGAAACAAGGGATTAAATAGCCAGTAACCAAAATAAATCAGCCAGAGAACTTTCAACAGCGAAATAATCAAAATAGGCAGTGAAATTATTACATTTTATGATATTTGTTTGGAACATAAAGAGAGAGCATGTTTAACTGACCAATCATGACATCCCATTCTTGTTGTAGTTGTTGTAATTCCTGGCGGATCATTTCTCGGCCATCTACAGATGTATTGTTCATGGTTTTCTCTCCCCATGACTGGGCTGTATGTATCAATAACTGACCTTCCTCTTTCATAACTGTAAACTCCTGAAATACAAAACATTCAAAATCTTAGATAAAATTTACTGAAATGTACAAAAAAAATCAACTGAACAAGCCTACTTCATTAAAATAACCCATTTGGGGATCAAACCTGCTACCACTTGTATACCTGCAGATAATACACCTTGATGACCCTACTTACCTTTATAACATGATGACAATTGGCTGAAATTAGTCAGAACTTCATCATATTGCTTGTAAAACATGTTCTAAAATTTTCATCAGTATACTCTCTATATCTGATCATATTTCTGTAATTATAATATACATGTATATACTTTCAGTTGTAGACTTACCTGTAATTTTTCTAGTTGAGACTGTATAGTGTATTTATCACCAGAGGTGTCGGCACACACTGAGAGTTTGTCTCGTGATCCCTGTAACCACGTCACAGCCTCTGTAAATGTTTCTGCATATTGCTGATGATCCTCAACATGTTGGTGGAATCTCTTCAGGAAATCCTAAATAAAGTAAAAAATGTATTATCAATTCATATAAACAGAATATAAATATGATGAAATGTTATTTACTTCATACAAATGTTACCATTTCAGAGAAAATTAATTGGTTATTCAGTAACGATGTCAAATTAGATTTATATGAAAACTCAAGTTTTCAAGCAAATTGCAAAATTAAACTGTTCACTCCAAAAACTGCCTGTGTTGTTTGCCAGAGTAATTTTTAGAGAAAACAAATCTCCTTACCTTGGACATAGATATGAGTGTTGTATATCTAGAGCTCATCTGTGTAAGCTGTGATGTCACTCTATTGTCAGTTGTTGATTGGAGCAGAACCTGAGCATGCTCAGTGAGACCATCAAAGTCCGTCTGCTTATTGCTCACCTCCTCATGAAGGGCCTAAAGTTAGACAAGGTCATTGTCAATGTTAATAAAATATGTTAATATGAATAGTGTTCTGAACAGTGAGTTTATATACTCTTATATCAAAAAACATCATCTACAATTAATTAATTGAAAGGAGGAAAGACAATTGATGTCTTTTATGAAGGTGAAGTGTGGTAAGTCAACTCATTCATATATACTTCTCTTTAAGGATTTAAGTACTGATCAATGTATGCTTCTTACAGTACTTATACCAGCAAGCATTTAGCATCCCGAATAATCTATATTTCACAACAAGTAAATGTCACCGTCACATAAAATTACTTTAAGAAGTTTTAAAATACACAATAGAAACAAAATGCTTACATTATGTCTCTCAAGTTGTATGTTCTTCTCCTCTAGTGTAGCTTTAAGTTCCGAGTCAGATTTCATCTCAGTTTCGGTATCTTTTATCCACTGGTTTAGTTTATCGTACTCCTCCTCATATGTATACCATTCATCTCGTAACTTCTCTGTTATCATAAATAATGATCATATTGACACAGTCATGCTAAATTCTCAAATTTTATTATTGTATTGATATAATATGCATTCACATGACACAATAATTGAGAAATTATTTGACAAAAAATGTTGAAATAAATGTCACAAGCAGGCAAAGAACATATTTACAGATTTTTAAGACATTATTTGAATTAAAATTTTTCTATAACTTCTTCTTAATCTTCTATAGGTATATACATATATATATATTTCTTACCCAGATTAGACTGTAGTTCATTAATGTCAGTATCAAACTGTTCAAAGTCATTGGTGAGCATGTTAAGCTCCTCCCTGATCAGATCTTGTCCCTGATTGGATGTTTCAGGTAATACAGCATCTCCCCGAGCTAGAGTATCATCAAGCTTCTGACGACCTGCCTCCAAGGTACCAAGAATATCCTGAAAGTTATATTAATACAATTATAGAATTATAGGCTGCCTAGACACTTGGCTTAAATCTATAAGTTCAGCAGTGGGTCCAAAACGATTCTTTTAACCAACAATATATTTCATAAAAATCTTCTCAAATGATTGATCATTTTCATAATTCAGGCTCAGCCAATAAGCTGGCAATATGCTATAATCTTCATTCACTAAAATATACTTGCAACTTAAATACATTTGTACATTTGGTACCAATAATCTTGTAACTTAAACCTACCAAGACTTTCTGTAACTGAGCTTCTATAGCAGTCCTGTCACCTCGTACATCACTACATACATTCATCTTGTCAACAGTGGCACTCAACCATTCTGTTGTGTCCATGTACGAATCTCTATACTGCTGATGATTCTTCATGTACTGCTCACAGTTCAACTGAAGATCCTACAGTTAATTATATAACAAATAAATTACATGACTATATCTACATTATTTCATATAATAATATGTGTCACTTAAACTTTTATCTTAGTTTTTTAAGATTAAAAAAATATATTTTAGTTCCATTGAGAGGACAGTTAGAAGCTAAGAACAACTCTGGAGTTTTCTTCCTGAAACTAATATGTACAAGTGTCTGACAGTTATATCAGGAAAAAAGGTATTTATCTCAGTAGGTTTTGGCCAAACAAGTACTTCGTGAGAGGCAGACACCTACCCAATAAGCCATCTTTCTGTATTTTTATTGGATTATCTGACTGATCTGTCTCTGTTGGCACATATTTAATGTTATCAATATAATCTATTAAGTTACCTTAGCATCTCCACAAAGTCTGTTATATTTCTCTACAATCTGTCTGATTTGACCATTGAGGTCAGCATCACTGCTGGATTTCTGCTGTAAATTCTGGGCTTTCTCATTCAGGTTATCAATAGTTGACTGCTGAGAGTTAATATTCAGTTGAAGAACCTGCAAACAATTCAATATTTCAATATATTATAACTAACTATATACCACATACTAGGATGAGGGAAACACTTCTTTCTTACTTTGAAAATTAGAAAATCCTTAAAAAAAAGCAGTTTGCAAAAATTACAGACTTGTTTTCATGTGAAACAGGTGACCTGAAACACGCATCAAGTAAATAAGATTGCAGAATTTCAATAAAGCTTAATTAAACATTAGGGGTTTGCTACTCAAAGATTGTCTAATGTAATGTTATCTTAAGAATATAATTCTCTTACTTTAATTCTCTCTAGCTGTAGTTTCTTCTCTTGTAGTGTGTTCTGTAACTGTGTCTCGGTGCGAATCTGGTTCTCAAGGTCATTTAACCATCTTCTCAACTGTTCTACACTATCATCATACACCGTCCACTGTGACAGGGTACCGTCAAGTTTGTTCCTAGTTTCATTAAGATCGGCAGAGAGGGCGTCATATTCGGCCTGCAGTGTCTGCATCTCTCTACGCATATTATCACGACCAGCAACATTCGTGTTCGGGAGGACAATCTGTAGGTTGTCAAGGGCGATCTGTAGCATGTGCATTCCTTCTTCCTTGTCAGCCATCAGATCCTGTATCAATCAAGCACACAATATTTTATAACTCTACTTGATTCACTATAAAAAATTTCCATTCAATAACTTGCAAACTGCTAAATGTTACACTGGCTTTTATATGATTTGTCAAAGACAGATGTAGTAAAACTTGGTCAAAATGACTGTTCCTTTACAAGAAAATGTTCTAATGAACATGTATGTCCTTGTCATTAAAAGAGATGGCCATTATCTATTGATATAGCACATATTTTATACAATTATATACAATATAAGGTCATCATACAGTAGACAGTTGCCTCATTCATGACAAATAGCTTGATTTACATTTCTGTTAGTTTCTGTAAGAGTAATGTTAGAAAATGTTTATAATGGATAATGTATACATAATTATACATGGTTTTTTATTTCCTTTTTTCCTGATCTACCCTGTAACCATGTAAGTTTACACCTGCAGCAAATATACAACCAAACTTTGTTATCATAAACAGTATTACATCTTACATAATTTCAGTACCGGTAGGTTAAAGTTTATTTTAATAAACAGTTTGTTACAATTAACTACACCTTTTTTAATGTCACTGTTTTATAAACACATTTACAGAAGTACATATAAGACCAGTGTACATGAGTTAACATTAAAGTTACCAAGTTAATGATAACAAAGTTTGACTGTTAATAAACTGAACACCTTAAAAGCATAAAGCTGAGAATATGATGTAATAATGTCAATATGTAATGCATGAAATTGTTCTTTAATAATAACATATATGAAATGACCATGGTTATTTATCGTATACATGAAATTACCTTGAATTTTAATTGTAAAGATGAAATGACCTTGGTTTTCAATTGTATATATGAAATTACCTTGAGTTTTAAATATTCACATGAAATGACCTTGGTTTTCAGTTATATACTTGAAATGACTGGGTTTTTAAATGTATATATAAAATGACTATGGTTTTCAATTATATGTATGACATAACTGGTTTTTATATATGTTTTTTTTATAATAAAATGATATTGATTTCACAAATGTAAGTTTGATTTTTCTAAATGGAATGAAAAATAAAGTTCATGATCTGCAAACCAAAAGCTAAATTTCTGAAAATGTAGCCTTTCAAACTTTACAGGCGAAAATAATCCAAACAAATAAGGCACCTTTTGATTCTATTGGACCACAACAATCTATTTTTGCACTAAAGGAAAACAGAAATGCCTGTTGCCTAGAAACCCATTCCAAATGATCCTACATTTTGTGTCTACTGGCCGAAACATAAAACTTAATATACTGTTAATGATTCTAAAATGAAATATGTAAGCTTTGTACATGTACAATAGTGAATGAATGAATGCTTACCCATACATTCTGATATAAGAAAATATAGCATATATATCACACAGAAAATTGTTTTATCAATAAAGCAATTTCATTACCCTGCAGAAAGACCTAAAACTGATTATGCTTAAATAAATTCAAACCAAAAATACTTAATGTTAACAAATTCTAGGGTAGACATGACATATTGCTGTCAACAGAATGATGTTTCCATTTTCTATATTTTTGTTTAAATTAATACTTAATGATATTGTACAAGTTTAATTTCAAACATTTGGCACTTAACTTCATAAAGTCAGGATTCAGTTAAAGGTAAGAATAAATATTTAGTGGAGCGTACCTGTAGTTTTTCTATACGTTCCTGAACAGACCTTCTGTCTCCCTTCACATCACTCTGTGACTGTAATTTCTTCCTCATGCTCACCACCCATGACTTACACTGGTCAAACGAACCACCGTATGCCTGGTGATCTAATACATACTGTTCCCACCGACGACATAATTCCTAAAATACACAATAAACATCTTAAAATTGTAACATTCAAATATTCATTTCCATTCAAACTTCCCTATACCTACACACAACCTTTTTCTTTCCAAACATTTCTTTTCCATAATAATAGTACAAAACTAAATTTAATTTTTTTACACATGCTTTTCCTTAAACAACATGAAATATACATAAAGGATTGTTCAATGTTAGCATCATATATGATCTTAAGAACTGTGTTTCAACCTCACTTTTTTAGATATGACAATAAGAAAGTGTTTTCATACCTGAATTTAAAAACTTCTAAATCTAACATGTCTAAACAGTAACGATTGAATTTTAAAACAACTGACCTTGACATTGACTTTGAGTGTCTGATATTTAGTAGCCAGCTGTGATGACTGACTGATCACTCTTGTGTCTGTACTGATACGGACCAGGTCCTGGGCGGAGTCACTAAGGGCATCAATATCACCCTGTCTAGCGTTCAACTCTTCCTGTAGCTTTCTCAATCTGTCAAGCTGGTTTTGTTTGTCTTTCAGTGTGGCCTTAAGCTCTGTGTCCTTGACTTTTGTTTCAACATCCTTCAACCAGTTACTGCAGCGCTCAAACCAAGAGTCAAATTCCTTCCACTGGTCCATACAGCTCTCTAAGTCTTTCTTTGTCTAAGGAATATATATCATATACTTTTAAATAAAATAACTTGGTCTTTATAGTAACTGTGAATTACCCTTATGCAGTGTCAATTATGAAGTTTCCTTTATCGCTCAGTATATATAAATAAATTTAGCTAGAATTTCATAAGTTTTGAGGCTTTAAATCAAATATAACACTTCTCATTTCTTGCTCAATATAAGCATTATATTAACTATGTACAGAAACAATAATACATCTGAATGAAAGGGTTACCTTCTGTAGAGCAGTAACAAAGGCCTCCCAATCTGCCCTCAATGCCTCTGTTTCCCTCACTATACTGTCTTTACCCTGTGGTGCTGTATTGGGTAAAACTTTCTCTGCTAGAGCTACTATATTCTTAACTTTAGGTTCACCCTCCATCTTTGTGGCAAGAATATCCTATTATAACATGATAAACACACAATTAGTTAATCATTAAAAATAAGTAATGGAAATAAAAATGTTCACAACAAATCTTGAAAAAGTTAATAAGAAATGTGACTAACTACTACAATATTTTAGCCAGTTATGAACCTGTCTAATGACAGTTTTCATGCTAAAACACACAATACTGTTAGCTCTTTGTAAATCAACCTTTTTTACAAAAATGCACATCAAAGCTCATCTTTTAAATATCAATATAAATTTAGAATGAGAACAAGATAAAAACTGAAACATGCAATTTTCATGCTGTAATGGACAACCAATTGTCATTCAAAACTTTATTAAACGATATTTCAAAATCAAATTTTAATTTTAATTTTATCTTTCGCTGAAAGTAAAATATGTGTCTGTAGTACCTAAATGAATAAAAGAATGTTAAGAAAACACTATCAACATCATCATGTACATGAATGACTACTGGCTGTCCTTGATATAGAATAAATCATAAACACTCATGCAAAAAGTGTATATATAAAAAAACCATTATCATTCATTGTTTACTAGCAAATCAAATGTTTCATATTTCAATTGCATGCAATAAAAGTTCTTGTAACCACTGATTTAGTGATAACAAATCAGGATATTTGAAATCATATATAAAAGTAAACACTACTTAAAAATGACAATTTGACAGAAATTTCTAGCAAAATAATCATAAATGTTGAAATATTGTTTGTAATTTATAGAGAAAAAATATTTTAAAGCTAACTCATGGATTGATCAAACTAAATCAGTGGTAATGGGCAAAATAATTATAAATCAATATCAAGAAAAACAAACAACATGCAATTAAAACAGTTCTATATCTTTAGTTTCTACTTAGATGAAATAAAATCTGTAATTGACAACATTAATTGACAGCACTGATCTAAAAATGTGATTTGTTCAATGCACTACAAAAAAGAAATTGTGCTGAAGAAATAAAAAGTTGTGACTGTTGACCAGGTCTGTGCACCATAATGATGCAAAACAAATGAGATGACAGTGATGTGGCTATTTATTGGTTACTAACTTATACCATACCACATCAAATTCTATCTTTCTGGCTTTCCACTACATATATAACACACACTCATGTTACCATATAAATCAAGGATTTGAGTACTGTATTAATATGTTATGTTACACAAACCCATATAATAACCCAAATGTTTAATGCCTTTACTCAGAAAAAAAAAATTAGTATGATAAAAATATTTTAAAAATGGAAAATGAAACTATAATGGTCATGGGTTCCACGTTATAATGATTGCCTATAAAGCAAACTTTCCTGTTACTACTGCTCGAGCAAATAAACAAATCCTTTTCCAAAAAATTTCACAATGCTTTTTTATTACAGGAACATTTTTCTCCTTTAACTTCCAGTTAGTTCAAGCCAGAAACTACTGAGCAACTGGTAGCAAGCAGTGACCAACAAACTAAATAGTTTCATACATCTCTGATGCAGAAATTCTCCCTACTTGTAAAATGTTTATCTATTTTTTCCTTAACTCATTTCTTAATTAATTGACTAAAGTAATTTGTGTTCAAAGTTTTATCAGAAATAATCACAAAACATCCCAAATACATTTAAAAAAAAACACTTTTCCCTACTTAAAAATTCTTGTAAAACTATAAACCCCAAAAACACACCATGCAAAAGATTTTGAGAGACAAATTTCTGGCTTCCCCATGTATAAACTTTGTGCCATGCTAGACTGTATTTGGAATACATTTCAAAAAACTTTAGCAGACGACAATCTTACTATATATAGAACTAATTTCAAAAAGGATAGGAGCAAGCATATAGGATAGAAATCTCAAGGTGTTGTAAAAACAACTTACACAACGACGCTGTTATTTAGATAAAAAATCACAAATATACAAAACATTAGGGAATAAAAAAACAACAAACTTTTAAATGGTTGAAATGTTAAATACAAGAACAAAATATATAAAAAATTCACACACTTTGAATGATAAGTTAAGACATTTTGTGCTGGTATATAATATATTGATATTATTGGGAAATTAACCACTCGAATACCAATATCAAATGTTTCCTACCATTTTCTGTTAAACAGACATTTTATCATTTAATAAATATACAAACTTTAAAGTTTACTTTAATCTAATACATTTTATTGTTTAGAATAGTAAAATACTAAATTGAGAGTTCAACAACAAATTTTTGTATAGCCAAGTTTAGACAGTATAATGTTGAACTTTTTAAAGGTGCAATCATATCACACAAGATTATTTTTCCTCCTCAAACATTTTTCCAAACCCCAACTACCAAAACTCCTTACTTTTTTTAATATTTCTCTATCTATTGACTGTAAAAAAATAATAACTTGTTAAAAATGCAACAATGTCACCAGACTGTAAGGGTGATAGGTAAGGAATTATCAACACATCTCATGCATAAAAGTTTTATTTCATTACCACACATTGCACATTTCATGCAGATAAATGATTTTCATTATTTAAAGCATTCCAAGCATATTCATAAAACAAAACTGTAGCCATTTTTTTATCATATCTAAGGTATATCTTACTGCAAAATTTATTTTACAATCATTCAAAATTACAAAATGAAAAAGTTTTTTTGAAGATGAGTCATAATTAAGAAACAAAAGCCGTGTAAATTACCTGTATCTTGTCAAGCCTGTTCTGTATGGTGTGTCGGTCACCAGCAATGTCGGCACACAGTGATAGTTTCTCTCGTATACTGTTGAGCCACTCGATACACTGGTTGTATGCATCGTTATACTGCTGATGGTCAGCAACAAATCCTTCATACTGTGTTACACGCTCCTGTACACAAATATAACATATTATACACATCATATCATATATAATTCTCGGTAAAATTAAACTATAGAATACAGGGTGTGTTTATTCATATATCATACATTTCAATATGAGCTCCAACTCGACAAGACTATTCAAATCAACACCAAAAGTTCATTTTTAATTTTCATAGGACAAAATTGGAAGTTATTCATATTTTCAACTGCCTACTAACCGTCAATATATAATAATCTTATTCTTCTTTTTCTTAATAACAGTTTCCAGAACATATTTTCTTGTACTGACTAATTAAATGATTACCTTAGCTAGACTACAGAGTTTGGTGTATCTAGCCCCAGTCTGAGAGACAAAGTTGGAGAGTTGTGGATCACTGCTACTCTGTACCAAGGTTCTAGCCTTGTCATCTACAGAATCTATAACACGCTGGTATGATAGTACGTCCTGATGTAACACTTTAAAGTTCTGTAGCTGAGATTTCTTCTCCTCTAAAGTGGATCTTAGAGGTGTTTGACCTTCAAGTTGAACTTCTGCATCACGTAACCATTGTTCAACTTGTCCATAGCTCTCGTCAAATGTTGTCCAGTGTACAAGAGCAACTTCCAGTTTACGTTGAGCTGATGACAGATCATCTGCCAGACTCTCCCATGTAAGTTTGTGTTGACGTAATTCCTGGCGGATCTTCTCACGTCCGTCTGTGGCTGTGTTAGGATATAATTTCTCACCAGCTTCAATTGCCTGGTTCAGTTTAGCAAAGCCAGTGTCTCGCTCACTGATTAACTCCTGTATATATATAAAACAAATTCACATTAAAAATTTTAAGTTTATGACAGAAAATTGTAATAGTTTTCATTATCATTGCTTGACCATGAACATGCATATGTTTTTGCCAATAACATATTCGACTTGACTATTATTACTTTCATTTGTTTTACACAAAGCATTTTTATTCTGTAACAATGAAATTTACAACTGCTTCATAATATGGTTTATCTTTTTTTTTTAAAGATTCATTTAATTTTGATTTGTAAATCCAAGTAAATATCAAACATATAGGTTTTATTTTAACACTGTTAGTAGATTAGAAACCTGAACTCTTCAATAGTTCATCTTCTGAGAAGAGAAATAATTATAATTTACTATTAAAAATCATAAACTATACATATCTGTATACTAACATTTATTCTTTCTTGTCTCTCCTCTAGTTCTTGTCGGGTACCAGTTGTATCAGCATTATTGGCAAACTTTTCTTTGGCACGTGTGAGCCACTGACCTAGATCACGTGACTTCTCCTTGTAATGCTTGTGGTCAGCAACATTCTGTTCACATTTCTTCAGTATGTCCTGTAAAATCATACAAATAATAGTTAAATCCATATAGTAAGTAAAAGAGATATGCATTATAGACAAGGTATATATGGGTTTCACATCCGGCATCAGTCAAATTAGTCATAAAATCTTTTTATTCACATTTCAATGACATGAAATTTACTTATAAAAAGGATGAAAATGAATCTTAAATACAATTTGTTGTGACAAATCACCTTAGACACCTTTAGTAAAAATATTAATGGATTCCGTAACTGCTGGAAAATTTAAGCCATTTTTTTTCCTGCAGAACTTAAACTATTCCAATAGATGACTTATTAAATAGAGCACTTAAACATGATATGTTAATTAACGACACAAACCTTGACAGCTTGTTGTAGTGCCTGGTATCTAGTGGTAAGCTGAGATATGGACGACGTTACACGTGTCTCTCCAGTCAACTGTTGTAATGTCTGCGACTCATCAGAAAATAGGTCAACCTCTCGTTGTCGTGACTTAATTTCCTGCATCAAATCCTGTAATACATACACCAAACTCATTTAATATCTTTGTATGTGAAACATTTAATCTGCTTTGTATCTAAATAAATATTAAAATGTTTCAAACAATCTGGCCTATCCAAAATTATAACATTCTTAACAGATTTATGTTATTTTTTCTTTTTTTATTACTTAAAATGGGGAATGAATGTTAATAATATTAATGACATCAAAAATGATACATTTATGAAATTTGAATTAATGAAATAAAGACTAGAACTACCATGCAGTGAAATCAATATATTTGTCCAGTTATTTAACAGAAATATTCTATATGTTTGTCTAAAATCTCAATTAAGGACCCTTTCCCTTCCCATCATGCATGCATGACCATTTAAGTTTTATTTTATATAAATATTGTACAGTACATCACCACAATGTGTTCTCATAGTAATCAGAAAAAAATCTTATCAAACTTATTATATAATTATACTGATTTCACTGACAATTTTTAAACTGCAACTGAAAATAAAACAAGCTTAACGTTAGATAGTCCTCAAACTGCTGAAAAAATAAATACTACATATCTAAATCAACCCCAACAACACGGTCTACTACTGAAATCAAATGTTGTAATTATAACCCTGTATACCACATTCCAAATATAACAAGCAATAAAGGAACATTCAGATTATTGCAGTCACAAGAATCATTTTTATATTATTTTCATTTCATGCATTATCAGCTGGAAGCCATCATTTTACATTCCAAAGTTTGTTACCACATTAACTTAATAATCGTGAAGATAAACATTTATTCTTCGGAATTTTTCTTTTGTAATTACAAATTATTAATCTATCTCAAACTTAATTATCCAATATTTTTGGAATTTTAAATTGCCTTTCTTATAATTTGTACGAATATTCCTTTAAAACCAGCCATCACCAAAAAATGAACAATGTTGTTAGAATGAAATATGAACAAAAAATGAGAACATTTTGAAAAATAAAATATGCAAAAAGTGAAAAATTAGTTGACAAAATGTAAAATATACTAACTATTGTAAATGTTTTCTGCTGACACAGACTTGCAACTTTTTTTACAATATATGTACATAACAAGACACATTCATTCATGATATTTATTCTGATATTTTTTATGCAGATTAATTGTGTAATCAACAAAGTGAAGCAAATGCAGTAAAGTGAGATTTTTTATCTACATTATTTCAAAGAGAGAAACTGTTGCAAGATGCTTGTATTATCTCACCAATAAAAAACTGTTGCAAGATGCTTGTATTATCTCACCAAAGAGAGAAACTGTTGCAAGATGCTTGTATTATCTCACCAAAGAGAGAGAAACTATTGCAAGATGCTTGTATTATCTCACCAAAATGAAACGGTTGCAAGATGCTTGTATTATCTCACCAATATGATCATACAACATATAAAGCTGGTATGAATATAGATGGATTACAGTGACAACATGGACGGGAATGACTAAGCATTTTTTTGTTTCAGCAAAATGGTCAAAGTATAAAAAACATGCTCTCTCATTTAAGTTCAGAGTAAAATTGATATTAAATCACATATGAAACAAAAATAAAATAACAGGTATAAGATTTATTATTTACTTGGTTATAAAGCCAAGTGACTGCCAAATTTAAATTTTTATTCAATGGAAAATTTGTACAATCAAACCTGTCTGAAACATATATTAGCCCTATACCTTCTGGTAGCCATTGTCACCAGTTCAGAGAGCCAGGTCAGCTTGAACTTCTGTGCAGTCTGACCAGGCTCTATACTGTTTGTAGCTCAATGGTTGTGTTTTGATATTGAAATAACTTAAAATTCAAATGGACCATTCTAAAATCAAAACAGGAGGAACCCATTTCACAAATTCAGCAGGTTAAGTGTTAATATAATTAAAGCATTACTTGAGCATGCACTTAAAATGAGAAGCAGAAAAGCCAAATGATATCAGGAAGTATTTATAATTATTATATTCAAATGTGGTCTACAACACAAGTGCGATTGTACACAGAAGTGTATTTTAAAATCTACGGAAAAGAGCATGTTTTTCTCTACTTTAGAACCAATTAATGGAATATGCAAATGAATAAGATATATGGTTTGCTTGATTAAGATGCAAGGACAAGAACAAGTTCACATGATCATGAGCCAGTTAAAGCTTTCCCACTGCAGGAATATAGGCATGATAAAGCGCATAAAAATAATGAAAACACCTACATGTTGATCTCCCTAGATGAAAAGAGTAAATCAATGAGATGATAATTATGTCAAATTAATGTAAAGGCACAAAGGTTTATAACTGTAATCTGGTTACAAATGTGACAGGGAGCACATTATATCATTGAGTAATTGCTTGCTGGATTAGTGCATAGAATACAGTACAAACAAAGCTGTTCTGACCACCAAACACTATTTTATCATACTTTTCTGTCTTTGATGAAATCTTACAATTTGATCTCCTTATTACTTTTAAATGAACTGGACATAATATGAGCAGATACTGTATATGAATGAAATGATGAAATGTAATGAAATAAAATAATTTTACAACAATATTCTAACAAAAATACTGTAACTTATAAAAACATGCATCACAATGTTCTACCTTATAGACCTAAACCACAAATAACGAAGAATCTATGCCTCTACTTTATAATATTTCAAAATAAAAACTTCCTACAAAATTGTTTCAAACAACTGTGCAACAGAACACAATTAAAGCATGATAGAACAATTAGACTGTGCCCCAAAAGCTGCCATTGACTACAGTGAACCAAGCAGGTTGTGTACCAGTCCACCATAAACAAGATGGCTGCCAACATGGCTGCCAATATTGGATATCCTTACATTTTCAACTTGTGAAAACACAACAATAACATCTTCCCAGTCTTCAGTATCTCGTTGCATTCCCTGAGTTAGCGGTTTAAAAAGTTACATAAATATGCAAAATTGTCAATGACATTCAACACACAAACAAAATACACAAAAGTTAAAATCCATCACTTCAAAAGTTGCTTCTAAGCATATCAAACTAGACTGGTAATTTGAGTTCATATACAATCATTTGATTATTCATTCTTAACATAACAGACAACTGCTCTGTTTCCATCAAAATAATATTTCAAGTCGAAAACGTCAAATAATCAATTTATTCTGGTGTATTTTTTACAAATTTACACTGCAGTGCATATAATATCACTACTGATTTATACCATCCAGTCAAAACTTATAAAAAAAACAGAGATGATCTTTTAATAAAATGAGGAGCTGATAAAAAAAACAACAGATGTTCATTTTACCTGGTATTTTTTCAACTGTTCTTGTTTTTCTTCCAGGGTAGATTTGAGAGGGAATTCTTTGATACGTCTTTCCATTTCTTTGATCCATTGTGATATGATTCCATACTGATCATCATACTGACCCCAGTGATGTACCGCCTTGTCAAGACTGTCTTGTAACGAGGCCAGTTTAACACTGTAATCTTCCCAGTCCAGTTTAAGAACATCAAGTTCTTGTTGTATCATTTGACGACCCTTCAAGGCCGTAGATTCCATGGCTCTCTCTGTACATTGTTCACAAGCACGAATCTTTGCCTCACCTTCTGGCAGAGAGCTCATCAACTCCTAAAATTTTCACATATGAATGTTTATCTCCTTTTATAGTTATCTTATAAATGTTTTAAACATTATGCTATAAAATATAGGTCAAAATATACCAAAATGTATGTCACAGTCTAGATCATTACACTTATTAGGGGAGAGAATGTTTTAGTGGCTGAATAGCTCATTCTGTTGAGCCGGGTAACAGTATTCCCAGGGTTGGGGTTTGAGGTCCAGTCAGGTTGCACATTTCTGTCACCCTGTGACGCAAATATATATCAAAATTAAAAATTAAAATAATGGTCTAACCTTGACCCTGTCTAGTTTATTCTGGAGGGTATGCCTGTCACCAGAAGTATCTGAGCAAGTGCTCAGTCTATCTTTCATCAATGTTAACCAGTCTACAGCTGCCTGTAGAGCATCATGATGTTCCTGGTGATCCTTCACGGCCTTGTCAGACTTCTGTATCTGTACCTATAATCAGGATCAAACTGGTTTAAACACTGGTTACAAATATTCAAATCTTCATATATTCTTCAATATGGACCTTTCCAGTGTTTACAGTTTTATGTAAATTGGCTAACTTGTTATCCAATTGCTACACTGAGTTAATACATAGTCACTGGTTGAGCTGGTTTGCAGAAAAGAACACATGGTTATGTTTGTGATACTGTTTGTGAGCAGTTAATGTAGCAAGGAATGGAAAAGATGTGGCTAAATGTTCCGCTACGAAAAACTGAAATGGTCCATTCCTTAGATTATCTATTTATTGTATTCCTCTATTTGATATTAACATTTTATAAATGAAATAATGACAGGCTTACTTAACAACTAATTAAGACATCTGCTCTTAATCATGTTATGTTATAACAGATTGAAGTTATTGAAAGGAAAGATCTGTATACCTTTGCAGTTTGTGCAAGATTCTCGTATCTGGAGTTGATATTTTTGATGAAGGATGCCACGTCTGAGTTAGATGTAGACTGAAGAACGCCCTGCGCCTTCTCTACCACAGAGTCAACAATACGCTGATGTGAACCCACATCTTGTAGCAAAGACTGAAAACATATAATAAATAGATTTATATTAATATTACCCAATCCATTTTATAAGGTATTTGTTTTAGTATAACAAATATGATAGTTTTCTAGAATTTGCCAGCAGCAAAATGCTTTGTGAAACCTAATTTGCTAATCATAACCTTCAATCAGAACCATTATGAATAGATCTACACTACTGATAACTAAGAGCAAATTTCTAGCCTGTTAAAATTTCAGACAGAGTTTGATATAATTTTGAAAATCATCCTTTTTATGACTTACATGTATTAGAAAATCCTGTCCATTTTACTATCAACAAAGTGCTAGATATATTCCAATATAAAACTCACCCTGTGATTTTGAAGTTGCATACGCTTTTCTTGCAGGGTATTCTTCAAGTCCACATCTGCCCTCAGGGTGGCCTCCGTGTCATTCAGCCAGCGTAATAATGCGTCTTGACCTTCTGCATATGATGACCATTGTAACAGGAAGTTGTCAACACGTCGCTGAGTGTCATTTAGTGTGTTAAATAATCTCTCCCAGTCTTCCTTAGCCGAGCGTAAACTTTGTCGCACTTTCTCACGACCAGCTGCAGCAGTGTCCGGATATAGTTTCTCCCCAGCTTCAACAGCTGAGTTCAATCTCTGTAAACCATGTTCTTTTTCTGCCAGCATCATCTGAAATAATACAAACTTGTATTTAATAAACCATCAAACAAACCTATACACTTATAACACAAATGATTATATGGCATGGCCGAGTGGTAAACATGTCGAACTAGTAATCAATTGATCGCTAGCCGGATAAGTTCAAACCCCGTCAGGGGGAAGTTGTTGTTTCCTTGAGCAAGAAACTTTACACACATTGCTCAGTACTGGTTGGTTCCAGGAACAGATTCGAAAGTGTGTCTATAAGCTTATAGCTTTCTACATAATCAAACTAAAATAAATTCTGTATGAACCAAATGATTGTACAAACAATATTACTTTAAATATATGATTTAACATCCTTTCACAAATTTAATCTTTGAAAAATTAAGTAGTGATATTTTCAAAACATGTGACTGAACTTTTCTTTTACTAAATCTGATTTTATAACAATACTTTAGTACCTGGATCATGGCTTTCTTTTCCTCCATAGTATCCTGATCGGCAGCTGGTTGTTGGCAAGATTCCAACTTTTCATCAGCTTGACTGAGCCAGTTTTTGAACTCTGAATGTCTGTTGTCAAATGCGTGGTGATCTTGTACATATTTGTCCCACTTGCCAATCAGATCCTTGATCAAGGTGAGTAGGCCACGATAACGATTGGTCAGCTGAGATACCTGCGTGCTGAGACGTACATCTGCACTTGTGTGCATGAGATTCTGGGCGTCGTCAGTAAATTTGTCAAAATCTGGTTGCCGAGATAAAATCTCTTCTCTTTGTTTCTGTAAAGTAAAATACAGATGAAAGGATGAAAACAAAATTATTTTTAACTTTAGAAATAACCAAAGTGCAAAATTCTGCAGAAGGACAAATTACATTACAAGTAGTTATGAAAGGACCATGTACCTTGAATTTTTCCACTTGGGTCTTCTTGTCTTCAAGTGTTGATTTTAGTTCATAATTTTTCACTTGTTGTTCCATGTGTTTCAGCCATTGTGAGCAGACGTCAAATTTGGACTCAAAATCTCCCCACTGTAACATGGCATGTTCTAAATCTTCTTCAGCCTGAAAATAATACCAACAATATATCATGACTATTTATTATTTAAACATAAAATGTTGCTATTATATGTTATTTAAACTGCTTAACCAACAGCTTGATTCTGTGACAAAAAACATGCTAAAATCCTTTAAAAATACAAACATTTAAATTTCTTTACTTCTGCAATACTTCATTACTGGTACAAATGCTGTACAGTTAATCAATGTTCTGATATCAAACTACTAAAGTAAATTATACCTGTCTAATTCTGGATACATAATCTTGCCATTCTGACTGTAAATGATCCATCTCCCTGCGAAGAACTTCACATCCTGGCATGGAAGAGTTCTTTGAGGTTTTCTGGCACATTTCATGTGTGAGCTGTAACTTCTTCTCCCCATCACCAACATGACTGGCAAATTCCTGCATGACAAATTGACACATATATTTCACAGCTCTAATGATTTTAATATCAATAGTACATAATTAAATTTAAAAACTAAAATTAATATCAAAATTTTACTATATAGATACTAATATACAAAGATACAAGCCTAGAAGAGCTTGAAATTTTAGCAACTGATAATTTTACATACCCTAAGTCTCTCAAGCTTGTTCTGTATGGAAACACGATCTCCTGATGTGTCAGCACATGCCTCCACCTTGTCACGTGATGAGCTCAGCCAATCAGCACAGTCCTGATATGCATCCTGGTACTGCTGGTGGTCCTTGACTGCTACCTCAAATTTCTCCAACATATGTTTAGACTGGTTACAAAGTTTATCATATTTTTTAGTTGCCTCATCAACAAACTTGTTCACCTTGGCAACAGGTGAGGATTGTGATAGAGACATGGCTTTCTCATTTAGGTTGTCCAGGATATGCTGTCTTGACATAATGTCTTGATGCAACACCTACAAATATAAATGATTACAATTTATGTTACCCAAAACTGATAAGTTAAATGTATAAAACAACAAGAGCTGTCCGTAAGACAGCGCGCTCGACTTTTTTAGTGCTTGCCTATAATACAAAACATTGACAGTTAAGGGCCATAATTCAAATAAAATCTTTGACAGAATTACCTTCTCCTGGACATGTTTGGGAATCATGATTGTAAACAAGTATTCCAACTTTCAAATTAATATCTCAAACAGTTCAGTCAAAAAGTGGACTGGTACTAAAAACTTAACCAAGATTCTAAGTCGATAAAAGGCCTTAATTTTTAAAACAAATCCTTGACAGAGTTACCTTCTCTTGCGTACAGATGGGGGTAATGATGTGAAATAGCATTAAAAGTTTCAAAGCAATATCTCAAAGGGTTAAGGCAATAAGTGGATTTTACCCATATTCAATGTATTTTCTAAGTCAAAAAGGGGCATAATTCTGTCAAAAACCTTGACAGAGTTATGTCCTCTTGTCTGTTGATGAAGGTCGTGATGGTAAACAAGTATGGTCAGTTTCAAAGCAATACCTCCAATGGTTTTGAAATAAAGTGAGGTGGTACAAAAAACTTAACCAAGATTCTAAGTCGATAAAAGGCCTTAATTTTTAAAAACAAATCCTTGACAGAGTTACCTTCTCTTGCGTACAGATGGGGGTAATGATGTGAAATAGCATTAAAAGTTTCAAAGCAATATCTCAAAGGGTTAAGGCAATAAGTGGATTTTACCCATATTCAATGTATTTTCTAAGTCAAAAAGGGGCATAATTCTGTCAAAAACCTTGACAGAGTTATGTCCTCTTGTCTGTTGATGAAGGTCGTGATGGTAAACAAGTATGGTCAGTTTCAAAGCAATACCTCCAATGGTTTTGAAATAAAGTGAGGTGGTACAAAAAACTTAACCAAGCTCAATACACTTTCTAAGTCAAAAAAGGGCCATAATTCTGTCAAAAACCTTGACAGAGTTATGTACTCTTGTCTGTAGATGGAGGTTATGATGGTGAACAAGTATGGTAAGTTTCAAAGCCATACTTGTAATACTTCTGAAATAAAGTGGGGTGGTACGAAAAACTTAACCAAGGTGTGACGCCAACGCTAACGCTAACGCTGACGCCGACGCCGACGCCGGGGCGAGTAGGATAGCTCCCCTTTTCATAGAAAAGTCGAGCTAAAAAGAAATAGTTCAAATAAACAGCTGTAGAAATGAAATCTACTTTTGTTTTTATGGAAAACTACAGTTTCTTCATGACAAATCTGCCCTTTACTATAATATATGTTCAATACAATCATAGGAGTCAATGTATGTAACTTTAACAACCAAAAATGAAGTTTATAACAAATTACTGTGTCTTCATCAGACATGTGAGTAAAATGTTTGCCTACTGTGATAATACATGTTCATACCCTGTGATTTTGTAGTTGAGCTTTTTTGTCTGGTAATGTAGCTTTCATGTCAGTGTCTTCATTTAACTGAACTTCTGTATCTAACAGCCATTTCTGTAACTGTTCATAGTTCTCATCATAATTTGACCACAGGAATAAATCAGACTCCAACTTACGCTGGGTCTCTGATAGCTGGTCACATACAGTCTCCCATTGGTCTCGTAAAGATCTGAAATACATGTCCATACAATATTTAAATCCATCAATTTGGAAAAAAAAATTATTTCAAGCACTAAGGATTTCAATGAACGGAGATGTAACTATATTTATACTGACATATCATTATCAGTTCAACTATTTCTAAGCTAATGATAACACTTTATAGAAACACATCAGTGTTTGTTTGTTGGGTTTTATGTCACATTGACACAGTATAGGACATATGGTGATGTTCCAGCTTTACATCAGTGCACATGGATATATATTTACCTTAATTCCTGTCTGATTATCTCCCTTCCCTCTGCAGCTGTGCTAGGGTATAGCTTCTCTCCACTTTCTACTGTAATATGTATCCTGGTTGCACCTTGTTCTTTCTCTGCCATAAGTTCCTGTAATTTTGTAAGTCTGTCTTCTACATCTTGTCGGTCCCCGGCAACATCTGCACATACCTGTTGACGTCTTTGTAAAGTTTGCACCCACTCTACACATTCACTATAGTTGGTGGAGTAATTCTGGTGCTCCCCTACATAGTCTTGCCAACGGTTGATCAAATCCTACAACAGAATCAAATCAATGTCATTTTATAACTGATTTATGTGTAGTATTACTATTGGAGAAGTTAGGATTTATTGAAAAACCTGAGTTATTGAAAAATCCTAAGTAACATATGAGAAATGCAACCTAAATATGAAATTAGTATTCTGGATTTATTTGCCTTAAATCAATACAGTCTTTTCAAACTTAAGGTACAAATAAATAAAACACTCAAATAATTAAAACACTCACTCTGAGGTTTGTTTTCAAATGTTCATATCTGGAATGTAATTGTGAGCTGTAATTGACGAGTCTAGAGTCGGCACCCTGCATGTGAGAAACCATATCTTGTAACTCGTCAAAGTGTCGTTGTCTTGCCAACACTTCCTGTTGCATCTTCTTCAACTTCTCTACCTGACCTTGTTTATCACCAAGTGTTCTCTTCAGGTCAATGTCTTTGATTGTTGTTTCACATTCTCTCAACCATTTGTTAAGCTGGTCACATGACCCGTCATATGCTGTCAATGCCTGGAGGGCATGCATTAAGTTTTCTTGTGTGTCATCCATTCTAGATGCCAGGGCTTCCCAATCCTGGGTGAGACCTTCAAGGTCACGTTTGATAGCATTCTGACCTTGGTGACCAGTGTGTGGTATTGTTTTCTCACCTTGTACATGGACAGCTTTTACCTTGGCTTCACCATCTCTCATTGATTTCACTAAATCCTATTTCAAAATAAAATAAAATCACATGATCATTATCATTCAGACATTCATACTATAAACAATAAAATATTAAAATTACCAGTAACATTCATAATTATATTTGTGTATATTAACCTTTTTAAACCAAATAATAACATCTTAGCTCCATTTCATTAGGTAAAATAGATATTTATTCATCTTAAAAGTAATAAGATTTAACTGTTAAGCACTATGTTATCATCAGTCTTACCTTAACTTTGTCAAGTCTATTCTGTAGAGCTTGTTTATCACCACTAGCCTCGGCACATACAGCCAGCTTGTCTTTGGTAGCTGCCATCCAGTCCTGGCACTGTTGGTGCATATCTTGTAGTTTTTGGTGTTGGTCAACCTCATTCTCAGCCTTCTTTACCTGAGCCTTGGCATCCTCACAGAGGGCCTTGTACTTGGCGTTGAGGTTGTTTATTTTACCTTTGGCCTTGGTGGAGGCTAGAGCACTGCCTTTATCACCAATACTGTCAATCATACTCTGATGAGACAGAATATCCTGACATTTTGTCTGGAATAAAAAAACAAGAAATATTACAGACTTGATATATAGAAGTATCTATCTTATAAAATAAAGACACACTTTTTTCTGTTTAGTAAATCAGTTCTAATAAGCATACAGATCTGAAATATAACCTTAATTTTAATCTTAGTAGTTCTATTAACATTAGAAGCTTCTTTACAGTAACTACTCAAGTCTTGGTTCAATAAAAGAGTAAGACTGTTATTTAAAAGTAACAATTTAGTACACATCAATTATTTGAAAACTTAAGATGTTGACACCTTACATGAAAATTTTCAATGAACAAATGAAGTTAAAAAAATATTATGGTTTTTTTCTTGTATAAGGAAAGCGAAATATATTAGACTTTTTCATCCATTGAAACTATATATTTACCCTATAATGTTGTAGAGCAGCCTTTTTCTCCTGTAGTGTATTTTTAGGTTCTGCCTCTTCTTTTAGCAGTTCTGTAGATTCACTAACCCACTTCTCTAACTGCTCAAAGTTCTCATCAAATGATGACCACTGCATCTTACAGCTGTTGAGGTTTCTCTGTGTCTCATGTAAAGTATCATTATAGTTCTCCCACTGGTCACGTAGCGAGCGTAACTCCCGTCTGATACCTTCACGACCTTCGTTTGACGTATTTGGATAAAGTCTTTCACCAGATTCAAGAGCAGCACTAAACAATGCTTGACCGTCATCATTAGCAGCTGTGAGGGCTTGTATTGTTTCAAGTTTATCTTCCAGAGCCTCATTATCACTTGGCATATCTGAACATTCAACAAGTTTCTGTTGCTGGGCTTCGATCCAGTCTGTGCCTTCTTTATGCTTTTCATTGTAGGCTACATGATCTTCAATGTTCTGTTCACAGCGCTCAACTTGCTCCTGAAAAATGTTTTCAATAAATGATGACTTCCAAAAACTATAAAAGCATAAAAATTTAAACTGTTTCATAAACTTTTAATTGAAAGAACGATTCAATCCTTAACAAAATTCTTTGGAAATGGCATCATTTCATGAACATTCTTTAAAATCAGGTTTCATAATATGATGGATTATTTTCAAGAAAACCATCTTAAACAAAAATCTGCCATTTGATAAGTAACCAATACGCTGATGTTTATTTTAACAGATGTAACCTCAATTCTACGGATAACTTTGTTTCACAATATGTTTCTTTGTTTTGGTTCTAACACCAATTTTACAACAAAGAAGTCTAAGTATCTTTTAGGAGCTTGATTAATACCAAACCTGAACGGAGTCAGCCAAGTGTCTTGGTATCTAGTCTGGAGTTGTCCAGCATATTGAAGCTGTTTGGCCAACACCAGTTCCGCCTTAATACCTGACCCTGTGGCGTCCTCAAAGGGGGCCTTGATGTTGCTATTACCTCCTTGGAGGCTAGAGCCTGCAACAATTGTCAATCAAATGTATGAAAGTTCTATTCTATAAAAAATCAAGAAATATTCAAATGTTTAGTATCTATCTCAAAAATAAAGCACAATTTTTACTGTTGAATTTTTCTCAAATAGTCTGAAATTAAAAAGTTTTTATTCAAAAAGATTTTCTATTAAAAGAACTTCAAGATCCCAAATCTAGGTTAATAAAGAGTAAAGGCTTTTTTTAAAGTAAAAAATTTGTACAACTCAATAATTTATAACAAGAAAGTACCCTTTAAATAATTTTAAAATAATCAATTAAATACCAGAATACAGTTTTTTCCTAATAAACAATTTGAACTTTTATTAGGCCATGAAAACATATATACATAATATGTAAGTCTACCTTTATCTCCTGTAAATTTTCAATTCTGCTACTTAGTCTTTTGAGTTCTGTCGATTACTAACGACTCTCTATGCCTTCAAACCATTGAGACAACTGTATCATACTACGTTGTTGGGGCTTTCCCTTTTTCCCAATTAAAGTTCTTAAGTTTATGTCCGTAACTAATGTTAATACTCAGATTCATACGTTTTATTAAAGCTTACCAGACAAGAGCACACTAAAAATGCGACCGTCATCTTAATGTGAGCTGTTTGTCTTAAGACATTTCAAGCATTGATATAAAATTCAAAATTTTATGCTGAACCATCTTTTTTATTCGAGTACGGATTGTTTTTTCAACGCTCAATTTTTATAAATGTTTCAATAATAAACAACTCCGAAAATCTAAACGCATCAAATGTAAAAAAAAAAACGTTTAATTTAAATTAAAAATTTTTGGATGGCATTACGATAATTTTAATTTTTTTCTAAAAAAAATTTTTAACAATTCTACCATTGTTTTGCCTTATTTCCAACACGAATAACCATATTTTGAAACTCTTTTCAGTTGTTGATTTTTTAAAATTTGAAATAAACAAACTAAGATCTTTTGGTGTTAGATTAAATTTAATGCGGACAAGTTCAATTAAGATTTCAATTGCAGTCCTGCAATTCAACCAGTGCGACTACAGCGTATACAATCTCAAGTCAGGCGGTTAGCCTTGGCATTTGTTTTTATTTTCCGAAATGATTATTGACATTATAAAATACAAACGTCACGCGTTATACTTAAACTTCATTTTGCAATACGCTAAAAAAACGGTTATAGATAAAAAATTATAGTTTTTCATCAAGTTTATTGTCAAGTTAATATGCAGAACAATGTAACATAACGACAAACGCGTTCTTAAAAAAAACAATTAACTTATAATTTAAAAGGGTTCTTTAATGAAAGTTGATGTCAATTAGTCTATTAGCGGATTTCGCTGAATCGCGTTTGATTGCATTAATACAATTAAAGATATAAGCAGAAAATGATCTGGGGAATTTAAATTGTCGATCTTAAGAGCAAAGTCGCTTAATACAGCCTGTGTCTCATGGGCAAGTTAGACTGTAATAAGGTTCTAGTTTATGTCTGTAATACATAAATTCTAGTTTATGTCTGTAATGCATAAATAGAAGATTCTAGTTTATGTCACTCTGTCATACATAATTAAAACAGTATGGATTTTTTTTCAACAAAATTTTTTCTTATATTTCCTTTAAAGTAAAATATTATGTAAGATTATATAAATACTTTACACAAGATGAATATGATTAATGACTTTGTTTCTATGGAAGACAACATTCTTTTACTATCTAATGTCATCTTCAGTATTTGGGAGATTATAAACCATAATTAAATCTCTATGGCAACAATATGCATCACTTACTCTGTTTCTTGCATAGCTTTAACAAGTTGTTGCCAGTCAGCTTCAGCCTGTTTCTTCTGACGATCCAGCTCAGCTTGTTTCTGTTTAGGTAACACTGCTTTCAGTGCCTCCAGTTTGTCTGCTGCTATATTCTTCTTTTGTTCTCCCTCTTGAGCACCATTTATAAGATCCTATAAACAATGATATTGTGAAAATCAAAACTTCTTGTTTATCATTGATTGTAAATTATCTGCACACAAAGCATGATGTTGATATTTCCTAAATGGTCAAATATCTTATGTAACTTGATTTTAAACTGATTATCTGAAGTGAAATTTTCGCCATGGGTAAAATTTGCTTTTAAGGTTTAAATATGAGAGAAGCAGAACTAAATGGTACCTTAATGGTAGCAAGTTTGGCTTCCACACTGTATCTATCTCCAGCAATATCTCCACACCATGCTACCTTCTCAAGGGCAGCATTCAACCATCTCTGTTGTTGTTGTTGAGCATCATTACAGTGTTGTTCTAGAGTTCCTAGCAACATGTCTTCAACCTTCTCACCACGTGTCATCACAGACTCAAACTTCTTCTTCAGTACTGCAGCATCCTTGGCAAGATTGGAGGTCTCAGCTGATGGGAATTTAGCTTGCATGACTTCAGCTTTATCCATTAAGGCAGCTACTCTCTTCTTATGCTCAGCCATTTCAGCTTCAAGGGCCTAAAAAGTGAAAATAGCATACATTAACCGGTCATTTATATTTAAGATATATATTATTGTGTCAGTGATTACTGTTTTGTGATAGGATTTTTTTTATATATATAAAGGAAGTTCATAACTAGACACTAAGGAAAGGAAAGGAACAATAAAAAGACTAAACATTATGATTTATCTTACTTAGAAGTTCTGCAAAAGTTCTCAAACTGAAAGGAAAAGAACAAACCTTGCAATTTTCCAGTCTTCTGATAATATCATCATCAGTTCCAGAAACATCATCACATTTCCCTAACTTATCTTTCATCTCATTCAACCATTCTGACTCCGCTTCAATTTCTTTCTGTAAGTTTTCTCGTTCATCAGTAAAGTTAGCCATCACACCTTCGAGCTGGTTGGCTAGCTTTGTAGCTTTATCAAATTGTTCCTGAATTTCTTGTTGCTCAGCAACAAGCTGTGGAATGTCTTCATCACGATTCATAGCTTTGAGATCTTCAATTTTCTGGGACATTTCATTTAAAACTTCTTGGAAGTATGGAGCCTCTTCCTGTTTTATAAATCAAGTAACTTTTCGTTATTCTGTTTTTAAGCAACAACATTGATGAATGAACTTTGAAATAACCTTATTGTTAAGCATTTTATTATCACAACTAAATACATCGATTTACTATGAACAAGATTACAACTTTTACAACCTGGTCAAATAAAGTTTTATTTTCTTGAACTTAAGCTTTGTTCATATTGTATCCTATTAAATGATCAAACTCACCTTGAATTTTACAAGACAGGCCTCAACACTGACAGCATCATCAAAGTTTTTGAGACTGTCATCTAGTTTGGTTACCATGGTGTTAACCCATGATTGTAATTCCTCTTTCCCAGACTGTACCTGGTCCCAGCATATAAGCTGAGCCTCCAGGTTTTGTTTGTGTTCATCAATGGCAGCATTTGATGTTTCCCACTGATGATTGGTACCATCCAGATCTTGTTCAAGGACAGAAATGTCAAAGCTGGGTACATGTTTCAGTTCCTCAAGTAACTGAAGTCCTCTTGTGTTCATTTGATCCAGTTGTGACTGGTTAGCATGAAGCTCGAACTCGGCATTCTTTAAACAAAAGCAAAATATTGAAGTATGCTAACTTTAAACACCAAGGGCATCATATGATATACTGATTAAAATACAAATCATTAACATTAGGGCTTTCTGTCAATGGACCTTTCCGGTTTTTCGTAGTGGAACATTTAGCCACACCTTTTCCATTCATGGCTAGGTCAACTACTCACAAACAGTATCACAAAAATAAGCACCCGTTCTTTTGTGCAAACCAGGTCAACCAGTGACTATGTATTTTCTCAGTGTAACAATTGGAGAACAAGTTAGCCAATTTACATAAAACTGTAATCACCGGAAAGGTCCATAAACTCATGAGATAATTACATCATCTTTAATACTGTCTACATATAGGAATAAATCCACTATGTTTTAGAAATGTTGCATATTTTTTCCCATTATATACTAAAAATCTTGACAAAATAAAGAAATATTGTATTACATATCAATTCATATGAGTGTATATAGTATTACCTTATGTTGATCAAGAGCTTTCTTGACTTCAGGTTGTGTGGAGAAGGCAATATCAGACTCAACGAGGGGGGCAACATCATCCAGTGTTCGTACAACACCTTGTTTGAGATCATTGTACTGTTGCCAGGCATTTGCCACTGATGAGTAATACTGAAGTTTATCACCGAGCAATGCTTGAACACCATCCCAGGACTCGTTCACCTTGGACACCACTCTGTACAGCAGAACTTTTGCTAGGATCAGCCTGCATTATTTGACGACCAAGTTCTCTCAGCTGTTCATATTCTGGGTTTGTAGCAAATACGTCATCTCTTATGTCCTAGTAAACAGAAATAAAGAAGCCAAACTATTAAATATATCCAAAAGTAAACAAGAAATTCAAATCTATTTAAACTTTTATCAATAAGATGATTAATACCTGAAATATTATTAACTTATTTTTGCTTTTTTATGCTTAATTGCCAAAAACTTTTACTAAATTATAACTTGTAATAAACGTAAAAAATCTTATCAAAGTAGAAACACTTACTTCAATTTCTCTGACAAGATCTTTCACACCTTGTAGACTAGATTGATTTACAGCAGCTGTTCCAATTCTCTCACCAACATCACCTAGTTTATCTACAAGTTCAGCTTGCTTAGATTCAAATTCTGCCCACAACTGAGCAAGTTCACCAAGATGTTCCTGTTTTTGTTTTGAGTTAAATAATACTGAGTCACACATTGAGTCAAGTGCTTGTAATTCTGAACCAAAGTGTAAAGTTCTTTGAGTGGCACGATCTTTTATAGTTAACTGTGAAGTTGCCATAAGTTCATCTAGTGCATCAGCTTCATCCATCCATTGTCCCATGTCATCTCTGAGAGCTTTAACTTCAGCATTTATCTTTGCAACTTCCTCCTCTTTTATATTTGGAGAAGCTAACTTATTCTGGAGTGTTTTAAGTTTAGATTGAGTATCTTTGTGGGAAGCTTGGTACTCATCCCATTTCTCACACAATTCTTCCCGATTTTTCAATAGATCTTCTATTTTGAAATAACCACTGCTAACTCTGTCAAATCTGTCTCTCAAAATAGCTGCCTCATCATCATTACAGTTAGCAATAAGTTCCTTAAACTCTTCCCTTAAAGCATTAAATTCTGGTTCATTTTCATCATATTCACGTTTAAGAGCTTTCAGTTTCTGCATAGTTTCACCAACTTCGTCAGAATATATTTCACTTCCAGTGTCTAACTTCCTTTGAGTTTTCTTGGTCCATTTTTCAAATTCTCCAAGTTTACTAAAGAAGTTTTGCCTATGTCTGAGAGCTCCATTGAGCATGTTCTGTCTCTCAGTAGTATCTGCTGTAACCTTGTCCCACTTTGCCTTCACACTGTCCTGTCTGTCTTTCAGGTCACGTATTCCCTCTGGTGTAGCATGTTGTTTGACCTGCTCAAACTGACGGTGTAAGGCGTTCAAGTGGGGCTGCTGGCTTCTCACCTCTTCTTGCAAAGTCTGTAAAAGAGAAAGATCATGAATATAAATTTAAAGTTATTTGCTGTTTAAATCAATTATTTTGTGTTGATGAAATCATTCAACCAGGTTACAAGTCTGCAGTCCCCCTTTTTACTAGCATTGCTAGGAAGTGCACATAATTATGACTGCTATAATGTTAGAAGAACTTGAAATCAAACAAAACTTCAAATAACAACAATAACATGAAAATCTTCTTAATGAAATAAACCAATTATTTCCCCCAAAAGAACTTAATTCAACTGTAGTTAATATCAGGTTAAGTTGCTTGGTAAACAGCAGATATTTATGTTTTAGTTGGGTTTCACTGCAAACCAATACTGAAAAGGTCATACGGTCATATTCACGCTTTTCTGGTGAAGGAGGACCTTTTGGGTATTTTTGTCAGGCATGATGGGCACTTGAGTAGAAGCACCAATAATCCATAAGCTGAATGAAATAGCTTCCTCACCTGACAGAATCCAAAGGCCCTGGCGGGATTCAAACCCACAATAGTGAGGGACAAGTGGTTTAAAGTCAACCACCTTAACCATTTAGTCTAGGACGCCCCCCACTAAACAGTAGTAATTACCTTGCAAAGAGCCAATTCATGCTCTAGTACATGAGGATCTGTTGAATTGATGTTTGGTTCCTGGGCTAGACGATGTTCAAACTTCTCAAGAATCTCTTCAATATTGCTAGCTTCCTGGTTGTAAGCTACCCAGGCTCCCTGCATCTTATCTACCCTGTGACTCCGCTCCTCAGATGCCGAGATCACATCAGTCCAACGTCGCTGCAGGGTCTCCAACTCTTTCTGCATGTTTGGTTGGTCAAGAATATAGCCAGCCTCTGTGGTCATCTTCTCAAATATTGGTAGATTAGCTTCACACTCGTGTAAAAATGACTGAAAAATAGAAATTGTATTTATTAAAACTGAAATGACCTTTAAAACTATACATGCCCTATAATTCTGTAAACTTATACATAAATATACTGTAAATAAAAAGGTATGAAATTGGATTTTTTACTTTTTGAATGCTTAAATCTACATTAAATAACTTTTTATGAAAATGAAGGCATATTTACTTTAAGTTTTAATAGGTGGTCATTATCACTACTTTGGTGTATTAAACGCAGCATGTCTCCAGATTACTTGAATCTTTAATCTTTTTTCTTTAACTCAAATTACATTTACATTTAATACTAAATTTAACTCATTAACAGACTGAGCAGTAACACTACCTGATGAAGGTCATAGAGTTGTTTTGCTTCCTCCATACTGGCACATTTAGGAAGTTCTGTGGCACAATATTTCTCAGCTTTTAAAATCCATGGCATCAAATCCTGTGCCAGGTTTTGATACATCTGCCAATGTGCAACACTACCAGACAGGGCAGAGCTGCGGTCCTTGGCTCGTGCACACAGACTCTCCCACTGACGTCTTACTGTTGCCAATTTTGATTTGAGAGCAGCAGTTTCACGAGATCTAAAGTTCTGTGACAAGCCTCTAGCATCTTTTTCAAGGTTTTCCAATGTGATGTGGTTCTCATATACTTCAGTAGATATTTCCTAAAAAAGTGTAACCATAATACATAATATACTTAATATCTTAAATGTTACAAATGATTACAAGAATCAATCGGCCTTTAAATAATGATGACATATTACATTCACAGAGCTAAATTCTTAAATAAAATTCACTTTTTAACCAGTCACAAATGCCCTACAGATGAAACTGTACTGTTTTTTGTTGTTGTTGTTTTTAAAAAAAATGAGCAAGTCAGGCAGAACTATTTTTAAAAATTAAGACAAGACATACCTTGGCTTGTTCAAGCTGATCTTCTGGTGTGCTTGTTTTATTTTCATACACATAATTGAGTTTCTCCTCCTTTTCATTTAACCAATCACAGAAGTGGGTAAGACGTTTGTAATATTCAGTCCATTTAGCTATTGTGGCTTCAAGATCTGCCAGTTTGGCATTGAGACGGACAGACACGTTATCCAGCCTCTTATCTATATCTGTCATCTCCCCCTTGAGAGGGCCTCGTCTCTCTCTACTTGCACCCTCACAGAGTATGGCATTTAATTTCTGGACTTCATTCAAACTACCTTTCAGTTTATTTAATGTCTGCTGCAGCTCCTACGTGAAACAAACAAAATGTTGTAACCATTGTATGATTATAAAGCATCTACAAAAACTAGCTTCATCAGTTCCAACAGAAAGTTTAATAAAATCTTGAATTTGAATGAATTTGTATTTAAAAATATATTGCATATTAAAAAACTCGATTTAAAACCTCTTTTTACAATAAAAATATTTTTTACACTAAAAATGTTTACTTTTTTGGTTGAGTAATCTTTCTTGGCTAGATCTTGTCCTGTAGTTGATGGTGGTTTCTCAAGTTCAGCTTCAGCTTTCTTCAGGTACTGAACCAAATCTGTCTTCTCATTCTCATATTTCTCCCAGTCACCAACAGTTTTCTAAAACAATATTATCATTCATAAACACTTTGACAAGAACGAAACACCTTAAAGTCCTGTCATAAACAAGTACAATTTAAGTGATATATCACCTTAAAACAAATTAGGAAATTTTTAAGTAATTTCATTAAGCTACATTAGACTTGTGCTAGAGAGATGCTGCAAATAAAGAATACATCTAGAAAACCTCAAGACTTTCAAAAACCTTAACTATACAAAATTAATACTCTCATTATGAATAAACTCACCTTCAACTTAGTATGTTTAGCTTTAGCTAATTCATTTGTATCTTTGAGTTTACGTTCAAGATCCTGGATATTTTTAGCAATGAATGATGGAGCATTACGTTCTTTCTGAAGCCTTTTTCCGGCCTCAATGTCAGCCATAATTGATGCTCTCTCAGCATCTAGTCTGCCCATTAAACTCTGAAAACAAAAAATAGAGATATGTTAAATAATTGCCAACTTGTATTGATACTTGATTAGAAATTAAAATATCATAAGCATTTCATGTATTGGCAGTGGGTGGGGTAAAGCGGAGATTTTGTGTTGAGCATTATATATCAGAACGCTGTTTTAACAGGGTTTGGAGATCTTAGACGCCAACATGAGCGTTTTAACACAGTTGCAATGTACAAGGCCTAATTGTAGTAAAACTGATTAGATTCTGTATGGGGGACTGTTTATGATTCTTTACTTACATTGCAGTAAGAATATTACCTCATGTTCATGAAGATATGTACGAGCATCTTCAAGTCCGTCAATACAAGGTTGTTCTAAAACTTGTCTCTGAGCGTCGTCAAGCCAGCTTGACCTCTTGTCCATACCATCACGGAAATCATACGCCTTGGAAAAGAGTGCTGACTTATCATTGGTTTTTTCCATGTTGGGTAGTAAGTTATTGAATCTCGCTACCATGTCATCAAGTTTACCACGTTCACGTCGAGCATCTGTATCATCTGAGTCTGCTAGAAGCTCTTCCAGGTTACTCTTTAACCATTTGGCATCTTCGCCAGCTTTATTCATATTTTTCATAGCTCTCTGTTCAAAAGATAAAAGGATTTTACACTTAATTTTAGGATTTTAACAATTATTTGTGCCTTTCTTAGTCCATTAAACATAGCAAATTATCATAATTGGCAACATTTTAATTAGAAAATAGTTTATAATGTACAAAATGTGGTTTCAATGGGCAACTAAGTACAAGTTATTTACCTGGAATTGAGCTTGAAGATCCTTATATTCCTCACTTGTGAGATCTTCCTTTTGTAACTTTTTCTGGAGGTCCTCTATTTGTTCCAGGAACCCAACAAACTCTCCAAGTCTGAAATTATGTAAGCAAAGGTTCAGTTGGATTTACTAAGCTAAAGTTGTTCAATAAGACATTATGACCTGGAGTCCACAGCATTCCAGAGCCACATTACTCGCATTAAATATATGACTTGGAGTATTCACCATTTATAATTAATATGATTGATACAGTTATAAGACAAAACATCATTACACATGCTTCAAAGCTGAAGCTATGTCATTATTGTAAAATTCTCATTTAATAGTGTAAAACGCTTTTGAAACAAAATGTTTACATTTAAGTGATCTAAAATGTAAGATCATACTTTGTATTGTATTCCTTCCACCTCTCTGGTAACTGTTTCAGGGATAATAACGTAGCATCCATGGCTTCCTTGAGCTTGTTCCATCGTTCTATATGTATATCATACTGGTCTCTTAATGTGTTGTCCCTGCCGTCATGTCGTATCAAATCTTTAGATAGGTTATCCATACTCTCAAGGCACTTCAAACATGTCTTCTGGAAGTCTCCTTGATGGAACATTTGCTGAACAGAACAAAACAATGAAATTTATTTGATATCAATGTATAGAATTTAAAATATTCTAATGATTCTAATAAAGTGTGTTTCGATTCACACAGTCAAATAATAGGCTGTATGGTACTTTTCCACTGTACTGTAACAATGGCCCTCTGGCATTATTTACAATTTTACTGGAAATTTTAGTCATAATATTGCACAAGGATAGCATTAAAATATATGACTGGCTGGAAAGCTTCCATTTATGCAGAATTTACCTAAATATACCTTATATAAGATTTTATCTTACAAAAACTTACATGCAAGTTGAATCTTTCTGAATTGAATTATTTTACTTTTATCTTGGGTTTAAAGTAACATTGACACTATTAAGGTAAAATGGAAACTTTGTACCATAACAAATTGAACCAAGATTAAATTGCCTTTCAATGCATCATTCCGGGCATATGTGGTCACATAAAGACCATACAGACTTATCTCAAGTGAATAAATCATTTCTTGATTATCTTTAAAGATTCAAAGAAATCCCATTATTGACAGTAACTTTTGTAATTCTACACTTTCAATACATATATACACACACCTATGGTAAAAATATTCATGTTCATTTGATTTTAAAATACTAGAACTATCACTAAATGTGATTAATACCCCCACAAGACTGCTTCGGAAATGAGGATGTTACTAGTAACAGAATACCTTGTAAAAGAATTGAAATATACAGTTATGGTTGTGGGCAATTAAAGATAGTTGTGGTTCTTATATGTTGCATTTCCTTTCAATGTGGTTGGCCATTGATGAATTTTAATTGAATTACTCTGTAATAAGTCCAGAAAGACAAAGAAAAGGAACAAAGGGCAATAACTCTATAAATACTGTAGATAGAGTTATAGTTCTTGTGCAATTCACTTCCTCTTATTGTGCTTGACTATTGTATGAAGTTGTTTTGAATTCCAACCAGTACGTTTTAAGTTATGCTCCTGACAAGGAAAAGTATCAAAGGGCAGTAACTCTGTATTTTGTCAAAAATGGAGTTATGGCTCTTGTGCACTGCACTTCCTTTTAATGTCCTTGACAAATGTATGAAGTTGTATTGAATTCCAAACAGTAGTTTTCAAGTTATGCTCTGGGTCAAGGAAAAGTAACAAAGGGCAATAACTCTGTAATTAGTCAAGATGGAGTTATGGTTCTTGTGCACTGCACTTCCTCTCAATGTGCTTGACCATTGTATGTAGTTATATTGAATTCCAACCATTAGTCTTCAAGTTATGGTCCGGACAAAAAAATCAATGGAAAAGTAACAAAGGGCAATTACTCTGTAATTACTTTAGATAGAGTTATGGTTCTTGTGCACTGCACTTTCTCTCAATGTGCTTGACTATTGTATGTAGTTATATTGAATTCCAACCATTAGTCTTCAAGTTATGGTCCGGGTAAAAAAAGGCAATGGAAAAGTAACAAAGCAAAGGGCAATAACTCTGTAATTACTTTAGATAGAGTTATGGTTCTTGTGCACTGCACTTCCCCTTATTGTGTTTGACAATTGTATGAAGTTGTTTTGAATTCAAACCAGTAGTTTTCAAGTTATGCCCCGGACAAGGAAAAGTAACAAAGGGCAATAACTCTGTAATTAGTCAAGATAGTGTCATGGTTCTTGTGCACTGCACTTCCTCTCAATGTGTTTGACCATTGTATGTAGTTATATTGAATTCCAACCATTAGTCTTCAAGTTATGGTCCGGACAAAAAAATCAATGGAAAAGTAACAAAGGGCAATAACTCTGTAATTACTTTAGATAGAGTTATGGTTCTTGTGCACTGCACTTCCCCTTATTGTGTTTGACAATTGTATGAAGTTGTTTTGAATTCCAACCAGTAGTTTTCAAGTTATGCCCCGGACAAGGAAAAGTAACAAAGGGCAATAACTCTGTAATTAGTCAAGATAGAGTTATGGTTCTTGTGCACTGCACTTCCTCTCAATGTGCTTGACCATTGTATGTAGTTATATTGAATTCCAACTATTAGTCTTCAAGTTATGCTCCGGACAAGGAAAATGCAACGGACGTCTGGACCGACCGACCGACCGACCGACCGCCCGACCGACCGACCAACCGACCACCGGGTGACTCCTATATACCCCCCCAAACTTCGTTTTTGGGGGTATAATAAATGAATTGACTTAAAAATATAAACAACAACAACAACAACAAATAATTTGATCGATACCTTATGTTTCTGTAATGTTTCCTTGACATTTTCCCGTCGTTGAAGTTTTTGTCGTTGTTGATTTATTGTCTTCTCAGCATTCTCGACTAGATTGAGGAATTTTTCTTCTTGTACAGCAAACTCTAGTTTCACAAGCTTGATAGGGGCGATAGTTTGTATTTGCTGAAATATTTATCAAACATATTAGCCCTGCACAAAATGTCTCCTGAATAAAATTTGATTTCAACTGCTTAAAGAAAAATTATTTTCATATTCATGAACAAGATAATCAGTAAAACTGATCTCTGATAAAAGAGCACATTATTCGACATAAAAAAATTGTCTGTCAAACCTTTAATGTTTTTAATAAATATAAGTAAATTTGAAAAATAAAATCAAAATTGTGTTGGTATTGCCTGTAAGATTTTAAGTTAAGTGTACTTTATTATAAAATTATTATATCAATAAAAACAGTCTGAAAACAAAATGTGGATAGACAGAACACAAAAATACAATGTTCTAGCATTTTGCATTAGTAAAACTGTTTCTTTCTTTACTAAACTTAATATCTGAATCTTCTAGAATGTGTTCTTTATACACCTTTAATAAGAGGCAAAAATCATATAAAAATTCACGAATGATGTGGTGCCAAAATGATGCTCTACATAATGACCTCTAAGACTAACAAATAGAAATATTTCTCAGTGAAAATTACTAGCAAATTTCTATACTAAATCTAAATTGAAATAAAATGCAACAAAACTTGCAAATAATTGTAAAAATATATAATTCATATTTCTAAAGTATACAATGAATGTAAATTAAAACAATTTAACACATTATGCATGCATTCCGGTATTATATAGCTCTACACTCTTTAAAACTTAGAAAAAACCTTACAAACTAAAAAAACCAACAAAAAAAACAACTAATAATCATATGATATTTGAACAGCAAATACACAAATAAACAGCAAAATATCAAACCAAAAAAAGCAGTGAGTCAGAAAGCTATAGGTAAGCTTAAAACAGCTATACTTAAATTACTATGGATACTTTCTAAATGTTCAAGATATAGCTAAAACAGCATTTGAAACATTATGGTAATTTGAGAAACATTGTTATCCCATAAATTGGCATTGAAATGTACATATTCTATAAATATCAGGCTATATCATCACAGTCAAACTTTCTCAGCTCAAATAAAAGTTATTGTTAAAATAACAATGAAACCAATTTCAGTTTTTCAAACCTCTTTGATTTAATTTAGCGTTGAATAAAATTTCAACACTGAATGGAATCTAATGGGCCAACCAGGATTTAGAAGAAATTTAAAGTCACCACTGAATGAAAACAATTTCATTTGTTCAAACTTCTTTGATTTAATTTAAAATAAATACTGAATGGAATCTAATGGGCCAGCCAGAAACTAGAAGAAATTTAAAGAATCATCAGTGAATGAAAAGTTGCTATCATTACTTTTCAATTTGCATTAAAAACAAAACATGCTATATTGTAAATATTAGAATTTCTAAACCAAGAATTGGTTCTAGATTCTAAAGTACCTTTAAATACATAGACAAGAAAATATGCTAACTTTGAAATAATTCTATCATTCAACTAGGACAATTTTTCCCCTACAATTATATACTTTAGTCTGCATAAATGATGACTGCAAGTTTAGCTAGCAAAAACTTCAAGCCTAAGCTATAAGTAGCGTCCAATCAGAAGGCACGCACCACTCACCTGACCTCTGACTTAACTTGATCATTAATCCGTGCTGACGAACTTCCGTTCCTCCAAATAGGCGCGTATTACAAGACCTATCTTGATAATTCTCAATATTACAAACAAACAAGAGAAATGTAATGTGACTTGAATGTATAAGGAGTAACCAAATTTCATGTTTTGTTCCAAATGGAAAGCTCATGCGCAAAAAAATGCATAGAAAGAATAGAGTATCTTTAGCAACCCATATAGGAGTGTGGGGGGTCAAGTAGGTCAGATGCTCATCAGGTGAGCAAAGACAAACAGCATATCTTACCTCCCAACGTTGTTGAATATTTTCCATTGATTCAGTTAGAGCAGGTCGATCTTCTTCCTCAAGAACGACTAGAATATCCTGACATGCATGCAGATATTCCTGCAACATGCGATCATCCGCACGCCCAAAGAAACCCTTATGTTTACGTATAATACTCTCATAGTCATCTTCGGTGTCTTCCAGGACGGCCTGCGCCTGATCAAGCCACCCTTCAAGGGTATGCTGCTTTTGATGTAAAACTCGCCAAAGACGAGATAAATTATCCAACTTCTTTTCCCAGTCTTTAGCTTTTGTTACACACATCTGAAATGTTTTGGGCGTTTTTGTTTTTGTCTTCAAGAGTCATAAACAAAATAATTTAAAGACCAAAGAGACCACTACTTTTAAAGTTTTGTAAAATTATCCACTGCCAGTGTATAGACACCCATCGAGTGAATATCTACTACCTACCTCAGAACCAGTAATAGTAGTAATTACAGAAAGCTTTAATTTGATTGGTTAAAATCTAATCTACTATAAAAGAAGCAATAAAAGAATTAGCATAAACAAAACACAGCAGGTGTGATAGCAGTTAGGTTAACTTAAACGTGATTGGTCCAAACATTTCAATATAACGAGCACATTGTTGGCCTATATCTATAGTCTAAGAAGCAATGACGATACATTTCAAGTTGACAGTTGTAAACAAGACTTCCATCATATCATCACCATGCATCAAGCACTTTTATAATGTTGATTATCTACATGCATAGATGCAGTATGATTTGGATGATAGTTTATTGTAATACATTCAATGAGGGCTGTTTAAGAGTGGATGTCAAAAGTTTTCTCCAAAAATTAAGTCACAAAAAACAAGATGTGACTTTAATTAAAAAAAAATCTATATAATCACTCTTTTTAATAATTATGCCTTTATGTTGACAAATTTTTGTGAATCTATAGCTAGTTTAAATATTTGTGCAACCTTTACCATGTTGCATATGCAGTTTAAATCCTTAATATCTTATTTTTTCCATAGAAACAAAAATTAATTACAATAATTACAACACCCTTTTTTTAAAAGTTTTTTTTTATTTCTAATGCTTTTGCTCCAGACCAATCAAGGCAAAATAATATTAAGATCAATTTCATTCTTGCCATAAACAGCCCTCTTTAATCATATAATATGTAAGAAGCTATGATCAGGCACATGAAAACTTACCTGGAATCTTTGGTTCATCTCCTCAACAGGTTGGTCTATCACAGAAAAATCTACATTCTTTAATTTAGGTTTTGAAGTGTTCACCTTCTGGTACACCTTGTTTTTACTTTCTACTATAGATTTCTGGTATGTAATCTCAGAGAAGAAGGCCTGTCAATCAATGAAACACTTTCATTAATATCTCTTAATCGAATACTGTCCAAAACTGCCTATTAATAATTAGCAAAAATGAAGACAATCAAGTTGACAAAAGTAACAAACATGTTGCTTTGATACCTTAAACTCATTTACAATAGATACAGTAACTTTTACATATATTTTTCTTATAAATCATCAATAATAAAATGCTGCTGATTCAGTTTAAGAGTAATACTACAAAAGAAAAAAATCAAAGATTTTAAAAAGCCCAATTTGGTTTGTAGATATGCTATAAAATATTAATTTCAACTTTGCCTGACTTAAATTACCTTGTGTTTTTCCAGCCTCTGTTCTGTTTCCTCCTGGGTACCATCTAATTTATGAGCCTGTAATAAGGCTTCTCCATTGTCCAACCAGTTATTCAGATCTATAAGGCCTGTCTCTAGAGATTCTATATTTGGTAACACTGCTTTTATGTGTTTCACTCGGTCAGGAATTTCTTTGCGAAGTCTTACTAGCACCTCTTTTTGAATATTGAGCGACTGTAACATTTCTGTGACCACATCTTGTGAGCTCTCTTTCACCAGAGATTGAGCTGTTTTTGTTGTTACTTTGAAGTCATTTTCTATCGAGGGTATTTGAGCACCATATGTCTGAAAGATTCATGTAGAAATTTTGTCAGGTGATGTAACAACTGCGGATGTTTTTAGCAATTCTTCAGATTCAGATTAGAGAGTTAAAGTTCAAGATGTTGATTTCTGATTTAAAACACTACATGACTGCTATTTTACAATTTACATTCTTTAAAGTGAATTGGTTCATAATTGAGGATCAATAGTACCAAAAAATAATCATAATGATAGTATAAAGTATCATATGTGACAACAAAATATAATTTTTTTATTAAGATGTTGTTGGTGTGAGATATTACATATCTATATATAGCAAATAATACACTGTTCTAGCACAAAAATTTAGTATCCATCCTATAAATGTTCATACTAAATCACTAAGAACTCTTTCTACATTTTGTTTTTTCAAAAAATATTTTACAAAATTATTATTTTAATACATTTTTATGTTTTTATTAATATTTGAAATACTTATGGAAAACGACCTTATTGTAGACCAATCCACTTTAAATAATTCAGGTTCAGAATTTATTTGTGAACTTACATCAATTTCATTGAGATAGTCTTTCAGCACCGCATGTTTACATGGGACCTCTCTCGCAACAAGTTCCTCAGCTTCTCTCAGCCACTGAGTTAACCTTAGAAGACCATCATTGTATTCTTTCCTTGCCTTACCAACAACCTCTACCTGCTTGAAATGTTGGAACTGGTCAACAAGGTCTTTAAATCTCCGGTTGATCATCAGTAATGTTTGTTTTATCTCCACGGCAACTGGTTCCTCTGTTGTTTCAATAAGAAAGTTGCCAGACTCATTCAGGATTTTGTGTTTCTCTTCAAACTCAGCTAGGTCTGAGAAAAATTGCTGTAAAAAGAGACACTTATTTTATTCATAATAACGCATAGATTTTATTATTTTGAAAAATAGCATATTCACTTACACAAAAATGTTTCCAATGTAAAAATAAATTGATATTGAGATATTAAGTAAAGTAAGATCTTTTCTGTAATTGACCTCTAAAAGGGCTGTCAAGTTAGTATAATAAAGTCTTGTCATATTAAAAAATCTGCGAGTCTGTGGATGAGATCTACCAACAAAACTGACCTGTTTTTCCTCGGCAGATCTGGACATGACTCTCTCTCCATCGTTTAACCAGACTGTCAACACATCAACACAGGCATTGTACTTCCTCCAGCAATCTATAACCTCCTCTAACATTGACTGTACACTTTTAATCTCAACTGACACTTTCTTCCACCTCCCATTAACTTCATCAAAGTAATTTGATATTCTTTCTACTTCTTCTTTGTCTATCTTTGCTTTTCTATATGCATCAGCATTTTTCTTACAAGTTTCATATGTTCTGTCATAATTCTTGAATAAGTTTCCAGTCTGTACAAAATCCTAGAAAAACAATAGAAAAAGACTTTTCAACTCTCATTATATTCACATGTTATAGAAGACATGCTGATATCATTATTTTAAATTTTCACGTTTTATTTTCAGCACATCTATTATTAATGGTGTAGAATTAACTCTTTTAATTCAATAGAACATTCCCAAAACAATACTAAGTGACAATATAGCAAGTTTAAGATCAAGCTACTGTAACATGTAAATTGTCAATAAAATTTTAGAGCATTACATGATATCAAATCTAACTGCAGTTATAAGTGAAACAGATATAAGAATAAACCCTTACTTTATAATCAGCCAGTAGTTCCTCAACACTTTCTTGTCGGCCATATTTGACTGTCCAAATTTTCAATTTGTTTTCTGATGCAACAAGATATGCGAGGAGTTGATATTTCATTTCTTCATATTCCAGACGTCTTTCACGTTTTGGTGCCATGGTTGCTACAACCTGTATTCTCTGATGTAGGTTCTCTAGTTGTGGTGGCGGGATGAATTCTCCCTCGTATCGTCCAGCACGCTTCACTTGCATGAAAAATGTTTTTTGTGGCTCCAAGTCTTTGAAAAATCTCTAAAAAAAGAACATATGGCATTTAGTATTTGGAAAATTCCTACAAATAAAGAAAAATCAAAATCTGCAACATAAGAAGGAATAACGATTCTAAAAACCTATCTAAACTTTCTCACTACTTGTTGTCCTGCAAAGTCAAAATGATGTCAAAGAAAAATGACAAAGAAAAAAACCCATCTTTAATAACAATTACTCCTCTGAAAAAATGGTGTTCATCTTTTCTTTAAAAAGTTGTTCATAATTTTAAACATAGAAAACTCAGCTTTCATGATTATTCCAAATATTGCAAGTGTTTATGACATTATTACAGAATCTGGAAAAAAATTACAGTATGAATTTGGCCATTTTATTTAATGATGCAATATGCTTATAATAATACAATATTGATAATGTAAAATGATGGAGAACAAACTTTGCTGTGATGGTTAAATAACATTAAAATATTGGTTAATGATATGACACTGTAATGAAAACATGCAAAACTAAAAAATGTGCTGAAAAAAATATAAGGTACCCCTAGTTCAACAGTACCTACTAAGAGCTCTAACCTTTATTTATACAATAACCCTATCCTCTATCACATCTATAACATAGCTCATGCATGGATTTCAGATACATAAATTTATTCTTACAATCTTAATAAAGATGTTAAATGTTCATAAAGAAGTTTGATAACCCATCCTTTTATCCTACAATAATAATTCAAGTAGCCCTTCCATCAAATGTAGCATAAATTTGGCCACTTTTGCCACAAAAGTTTATTTGGAAAACAAAAAGTATGAAAAATTTATTTGTTGCCCCTGGTTACAGTTATGTCCATCTTTCTAGGGAACGGAAAGTGGCGAAATTTTTGCTGAGATGTTTTGGAGTTTATGATGAATGAATTAGAACAGTGATAAAAAACTAGAACTGAACAAAGTGAGAACAGCCATTGAACCATGATAAACTTCTACATGTCCTCACCTCATCATCATCTATACAAGCAAATGAATGCCCATTTGTATAGTATCCCCAATCACATGGCTAAAACATGATAGCATATCAATTCATTTCTAAACGATGAAATCATGATACCTTTATGTAAACAAACCAACGAAAATTGTCTGAATTCTGCATTATCATAAAACTTACTTTAAAATGATGTCAATATACATTATACAAGACTCATTCATATTTCAAAAAACTCTCTAAATTATTGTTTGTATAAAAGAATAAAATAATCATCAAACATCAACATCTCACTGTAATTCTTTAGTCCAGTTATCAGCAATGTGATAAATTGAGATCAAAATACCGAGGATTTTCTTATCTCCGTCAACTTGTAGACAAATTACCCCTGTGTTACAATAAACCCTAGACACATAATTAGACATTACAGAAAACGACAACTGAGATTTTTGTAGTGCAAGACTGACATTAGGATCCTGTAAAATGTAAGACTGACCTTATGTTCCTGTAAAATAGTTCCCAGCTGGGCTGCCATTTCTTCAGGGTTTTCCAGCAATTCTTCCTCCTGTTCAAGAATTTCCTCAGCTTGGTTCAACCAGTCACCGAATTTACCAAGTTTTCCTGGTAAACTTGAATCAAGTTTCCATAACCAAAGTCTTGTTTGCCGAACTACCTTCCGCCAAACCTCTTCAAGGGGTGCAAATTGGTCTGGTGTAATTCTCACAGCTTTTCCTGATTTCACTTTTTCTTCCAGTTTTTTATAAATAGTTCCTCTTCTATCAACTTCAGCTTTAAAAGCTAAGTAGTCCTAGAAAAGTGACAAAGAAACTCATACAGCTGCCAATCTTCCACAACTATAAAGTTAATCTTCTAAAACCATAAAGAAATTCTTTCAAAACATAAAGTAAATCTTCAATCTTGTTAAACATTTAGTAAATCTTCTAAAACATTAAACAATACCTTACAAACATAAAAGTGAATCTGTAACAACATTAAGCAAACATTAAGCTTCAGATGATTTTGTAGAAAAAAGTCTACTGTAACTCTTAGCCCTCTGGAGGCAACAGTTTAGTAAATCTACCCATACAACCAGAGCAAATCAAGATTAGCCAGCACATCTGTGCCATCTATCATGGTCTGTACTGTTCACTTAAAATTCAGCAACATTTTGAAAATTTTCCTACAAATGATGAATGACTTTCTTCAGAACTGAAAAATGGACACCAATGACTTTAGGGAGATTTCATTTGAAAGATGACATACCATATATTCTTGTTGTCTATCTGTGACCGGCTGTTCAACTATTTGTAACACTTCGTCAGCCTCTGTTGTACACCATGTCATCAAGTCTTGAAAATCTGCCATCTCCTGCTCTGCAGGTGTCTTTATCTTCTTTCGTAACTATAGTTACAAGAAAATACATAAAACAAATGCTTCAGGACAATCAATTCTTGCATTTGAAAACATAATATACTGTAAGGATCTACACCATTTGTACATGGTTATAAAGATCTTATAATAAATGCTGAAAATAGCCATGCTTACAGATAGTTCTTGACAAAGAAAACAAGTGAAGCTATGGTTAACTGGTAAAGGTCTATATCTGACAGCTCATTGTTTAAAGGTTTAAGCTCTTCTTGAATAACACAACAAGCACTGTATGGACCAGGGAGCATATTATTTAGTGATATACATGGAAACTTAAAGCTTTCTCCAGAATACAGTTAAAATATAAAGGTTTAAACATAATGCATTACAAATATTGATAAAAACAGTTAATAATTCTATAATGAGAACATCGATATGAAACTTACAGCAGGATCTTCCCCAGCTTCTGGATATGCTTTCAAAAATTGAGCAACATATGTCATAATGGATTTCTCGTCAGGTTTTGCTACATCAACATCTGCAATACAGAACCATAATTTTGAAGAAACAATAAACTAACTGGGATATTTCTAATACTGGAAGGAAAACACTTAAATCCAAGTAAGATATTAAATAGGACAGTGGTAAGTTTTAGTTAGTTAGTTAGTTTTAGTTAGTTTTATGCAAACACACAAGACTATTAAACAACTACAATGACCATGTAATGCTGCTTCTCTATATCAGAGTGTTATACATTATTTAACATTTTTCTACACACCTTTACCACTCAAGCCAATGCTAGGGGGCGTGAGGAATGTTCCACTTTATTATTATCCCTTATGTACAGACTCACTCAAACAGAGACTGCAATTTTCATGTAATTTTGATGTAATTTATGATCCCAAGGGATCACTTTTTTCCGGATTTTTATACATCTATTTACACAATGGATGCGATTAAACAAGTTAAACAGTGATATTACCTTCTGGGTCAATAAGTCGTGCAATGCCAAGGTGATTCTCAGCTGTAGAGAAAGCATTCTCAAGGTTAACTCGTGCACTTTGTTTCCTTACACTATCCATGTCCACTAGATCAGGTCTAATTGTATGTACAATAGCATTAAATGCTAAACCGTCTCGCCAACTCTTTCCAAAATCTCTAATTTCAATACCATAACGTCTAAAAATGATAAAGAAAATAATAGTAGAATTCAAAATAATTCATACCTTCTGCTGAAAGTTAAAATTTGAATTAATACAACACATATCATAAGTTTTCTTAATAGTGTACGAAAGTGTTGTCCATTGTTTTTCTAAGCACTGATAACAAAATACCAAGATCAGAATTTACTTGTGATACTTCATCTATTGGGTTCATAACAATACAGTTACAAAAGTTCTTTTGTTTTTATTGGAAAGAGGCCTAAGCCTTTTGATTTAAGGAAAAATCATAACCAAAATTGCTGCTTTGAGTAAGTAAAAGCTAGGTCAAGAATTTTTGAAATAACTGCCTGCTTCTATAGAAATTTATTTTGGAAAAAGGCCTTTTATAGGCTTCTGTTATATAAGATGGGAAAACCCTGTGTTATAGATAATTCTTACAGATATTGTTTAACAATGTATGACTGTACTCACTTTGTGATAGCATTTTCTGTCCAGGCTAGAAGGGCCTTCTTGGCATTCATACGGAATTTGTCGAGGGCAGACAGGGGCCTCTGTTCACCCTCAACATTCTGTGATGATTGTGCAACCATTGTCTCCTCAATCTATATGTCAGAAAAAAGAAAATATTTCAATATAATATAATAACTATTTATCATTATATTTCTACTTAAATAATTACTAGCTTCATTAATACTTATGGTGAAGTTATATATGTTCTGCACTTATTCTACTTAGAAATCTCCAATCCAGGAATAGTAAGAAAGGGAAATATCAATTGTTATTTTCATCACAAAATTTTTTCAAGTCACTTTCACCGAGGACAACAAAATTGTTAACCAACAACATACAATATAAGTATTTCTGGGTCACTGTTACATTATACATCTTTGCTACATTCTGGGGTATCTAAACCATATTATAAATACTTGTACATACTCATAATCAATACAAAATAATCCTTTAAAAAGAACAACATATATCTATCATGCTTTCAATATAAAACTTCTTTATAATCGTTCTCTGGTATAACATAACATGCAAGTAAATCACGTAATTCTGCTACTCGGACATAAAAAATCATAGAAATAATGAAACAATTAGCAACTACTTTTGAGCTTGTCTTTGACGACCTGTCATAGGTATTCATACCTGTATTGCTTAAAAATGTTTAAACTAAACACTTACAGCATTACTAATATCTACACTATAAAACATACATTTAAAGAAAACATTTTCTTTCCATCTAAATTAACAAGAGCGATCAGTAATCACATGTGTCGCCTCATAATGGCCAATTTCATGTTGGGACAAATTTTGTGACAGACGGACAGACAGACGGACAGTGCACAACTAGACTTGGTACTGATCAATCATGTAAAGTTTTGATAAAATTGCACCAGTAGCTTATGAGGAGTAGTCCGGACAAGCTTTTGCGTATCTGGCAACACACAGAAAAAAACACCTTTTTATCAAAGGGCCATAACTCAGCCAAAAATCATTCAACCGGAAAACCCGTGCAATATGCGCAAGGACTTGAGCTACAGATCAATCCTGTAAAGTTTCATTGAAATTGCATAAGTGGTATAAGAGAACTAGTCCGGACAAACTTTAAAAATAAAAATTATTAAAGGGCCATAACTCTGACAAAAATCATTGAAACGGACAATCCTGACAATATTCACAACAAGACTTGTTACTGATCATTCCTGTAAAGTTTGGATGAAATTGCACAAGCAGTTTATGAGGAGTAGTCCGGACAAGCTATTGTGTATCTGGCAACACACAGAAAAAACACCTTTTTATCAAAGGGCAATAACTCGGCCAAAAATCATTCAACCGAAAAACCCTTGCAATATGCTCAAGGACTTGAGCTACAGATCAATCCTGTAAAGTTTCATTGAAATTGCATTAGTGGTATAAGAGAAGTAGTCCGGACAAACTTTAAAATTAAAAATTATTAAAGGGCCATAACTCTGACAAAAATCATTGAACCGGAAAACGCTGACAATATGCACAACTAGACTTGATACTGATCATTCCTGTAAAGTTTGGATGAAATTGCACCAGTAGTTTATGAGGGGTAGTCCGGACAAGTTTTGTGACGGACGGACGGACGGACAGACAGACAGACAGACGGACAGACAGACGACGGAGAAGTGATCCCTATATGTCGCCACTACTCCGTAGAGGCGACACAAAAATGGTTCTTTTAACACTGTCTCAACATGCCAAAATAAAAATACCAATTGCAAAGAAAATCTTTTTCATTTATCGCTGGACTTATTCAACTTGACATCATGCATGTTAGTTTTGTATCATACAATTTCTTCAACAATAAAGTACACATTATCACATGCTGAATAGACTATTTGGACCAAGATGCTGTATAGTTTACCATTAAAACTCGATTCAAACTATCAAAGTACTCGGGAAGAGTCTGGATCTATAAAATTATAAAATTTGAAATCATATATGTACACATTGAGCTTCTGTGTAAGCCAGTATCATGCATTATTTGAGCAAATGATAAAATATAGAAGATAAATGCCATAGAAACATACTGATCTAGCATAAAGATGCTTCCAGCATACCCTTTCTCCTTTCTTAAATCAGTGTGCCAAATATTAAAGTTATACAGATTAAGATAATCCATTGTAGTGTAACTCTTCTCATAATAATTATTTCAAAATGAAGGATGCGCATTATAACAATCAATTTAATGATACATTTTACCAATTATTCCAGTAAATTTTCATCAGCATATGGGCAAAAAGAATATCAATATACTCACACGCCAGTTAATAATGTTAGAGTTTACATATTTTAGTGTAAGATTTCAAATTTTTTCATCTACAAATTCAATATGATGAAGTATAACACATTTGCAGAGATGCCTTGAAGAGTTTTCAACTGTGGTAATAGAGAATCCAGCTGTTTGATAAGAAGTTTAATATATTATGCCAGAAAAATGGAACAATGAAGAAGAGAATAAGCACAGATCTATTTGGTGTCACATGGTTATATTTTATATATAGTGTATAGACGAGATTTAGAATGAGGATGATAAAAGGTAACATATAATTAAAGTTATACCTGGAAATAGAGGATGATGGTCCATATCAGACCTAGAACAATGGAAGCTTTGCCGTCTGCAATGTCTGATACATTGATGTTTACAAGTTTGATCTGAAATATAAACAATGTCCAATAATAACAACATTCCAGGGACAGTGACAGTGTAACTTTATACAGAGCTGAGCCTTACAATTTATCAACTTTTGAGTAAAATGAAGCAAATTATACACATATTTGTGTAGAGTTTTATGTCCAAGGGTAGGACAAGAATTACAATTCTTAAGTGAACATTGAACCTACAGCAGTGAGGGACAAATGATTCAACATCAGCAACCTAATTAATTATATAGTTATACATGTATATGTAATACAGTAAATATACCAAGCCCTTATTTAAACATTGTTACAACTCATAGAACATAATAAACAAGTAAATAAACACTAGAACTATCACTAAATGTGATTAATACCCCCACAAGACTGCTTCAGAAATGAGGATGTTACTAGTAACAGAATACCTTGTAAAAGAATTAAAATATAGAGTTATGGTTGTGGGCAATTAAAGATAGTTGTGGTTCTTGTATGTTGCATTTCCTTCCAATGTAGTTGGCCACTGATGAAGTTTTATTGAATTACTCTGTAATAAGTCCAGAAAGACAAGCAAAAGAAACAAAGGGCAATAAATAACTCTATAAATACTGAAGATGGAGTTAAAGTTCTTGTGCACTGCACTTCCTCTTATTGTGCTTGACCATTGTATGAAGTTGTTTTGAATTCCAACCAGTATGTTTTAAGTTATGCTCCGGACAATGAAAAGTATCAAAGGGCAGTAACTCTGTATTTTGTCAAAATCGAGTTATGGTTCTTGTGCACTGCACTTCCTCTCAATGTGCTTGACAATTGTATGAAGTTATATTGAATTCCAACTATTAGTTATGCTCCGGACAAAAAAAGCAATGGAAAAGTAACAAAGGGCAATAACTCTGTAATTAGTCAAGATGGAGTTATAGTTCTTGTGCACTGCACTTCCCCTTATTGTGCTTGACCATTGTATGAAGTTGTTTTGAATTCCAACCAGTAGTTTTCAAGTCATGCTCTGGACAAGGAAAAGTAACAAAGGGCAGTAACTCTGTAATAAGTCAAGATGGAGTTATGGTTCTTGTGCACTGCACTTCCTCTCAATGTGCTTGACAATTGTATTAAGTTATAATGAATTCCAACAATTAGTCTTCAAGTTATGGTCCGGACAAAAGAAAGGAATGGAAAAGTAACAAAGGGCAATAACTCTGTAATTACTTTAAATAGAGTTATAGTTCTTGTGCACTGCACTTCCCCTTATTGTGTTTGACAATTGTATGAAGTTGTTTTGAATTCCATCCAGTAGTTTTCAAGTTATGCCCCGGACAAGGAAAATAAACAAAGGGCAATAACTCTGTAATTAGTCAAGATAGAGTTATGGTTCTTGTGCACTGCACTTCCTCTCAATGTGCTAGACCATTGTGTGTAGTTATATTGAATTCCAATCATTAGTTTTTAAGTTATGCTCCGGACAAGGAAAATGCAACGGACGTCTGGACCGACCGACCGACCGCCCGACCGACCAACCGACCGACCGACCGACCGACCGACCACCGGGTGACTCCTATATACCCCCCCAAACTTCGTTTTTGGGGGTATAATAAACACAATTTAGGTAATATGGCGCCAAAACAGGAAATATGATTTTGGACCACCTTAGGTGTTACAAACTTACAGCAACACCAGAGGTCAAAAACCATCTCACCTGCTGGAGCTAAGAGATCCATAGACTTAGTTATTAGAACCCATTTAGTCGCGTCTTACGTACACCCAGGAATAAACAATAGCGGCAATTCTGTTGCCTCAACCCTTAAAGGTAAACCCTCAGCCATACGGAGAGCTAACAGCAATGTTATATAAAAGTATCAGCTTAAAAAATTTGTTTATTCTTTTTCTATAATGTATTGAAATAACAAATACTTAAGTAAATCTACCTTAAATAAACCCAATTTTCCCCAACTACATGATTCACAACTACATGTTTCATGTTGTAAAGATATGATGACTGTACACCATATATGATATGATATATCAAAATATAATCCTACAAAACTTTACCTCTCTTGAATACCCAGATTTTTCACACTATCAAAATTAAATAATGGTTTTGAAAAATGACAAATTTTCTTACAGGCAAACATTCACAGGTAAATGTTTAAATCTATGATAAATGATAAAACAGTATACAATGTATACTACACGAAGAAATTCATGACCTTTGAAAAGCAACAAATCAAATCAAATCAAAAGGCATGGCCGAGTGGTTAACGCTTCGGACTAGTAATCTTATGATCACTAGCCACATGGGTTCAAACCCTGACAGGGGCAAGTCGTTGTTTCCTTGAGCAAGAAACTATACACTCATTGCTCAGTACTGTTTGGTTGTACTGGTTGGTTCCAGGAACGGATTCGAAAGTGTGTTTATAAGCTAATAGCTTCCTACACAATCGAACTAAAATAAATTCTGTATAAACCAAATGTATAAATGTTTTGTATATGTCAATGTTCTCAATGTTCCTTAACAAGTTAACATTACAGAAATGTTTATTATCAATTTCTGGTAATTAATTAATTATTCAAGTTACCTTTTTACTTTCTAAGAATTTCAAGGCTGTTGACAAGTTACTGACATAGTGGACTCGCTTCAACTTCCCTCGTTCCATTGGCTGTAATCAAAGAAGAAAAAACATTACACTATCTATATAACATTAAAGCTTAGACTCCCAGCCCCGGTCAAGCTGTAAATTTTACTCATTATGTGACAAATGCTTATTTGGCTGCTTGGCCGAGAGGTTAACACATCAGACTAGTAATCTAAGGATTGATGGTCGCGTGGGTTCAAACCCTGTCAGGGGCAAGCCGTTGTTTCCTTCAGCAAGAAACTTTACACTTATTGCTTAGTACTGGTTGGTTCTAGGAACAGATTCAGAAGTGTTTCAATAAGAATGTAGCTTCTAATACAATCAAACTAAAATAAATTTGTATAAACTAACAAACTAAATGCTTATTTTCATCATATTTTCATTACATTCATTCATAGTTTTAGTATATATTTGATATCTTTGCATATTTTTACAATGTGTATGTGTTTCTACAACAACATATTGTATGTGTTTCTCTTACAAGAAAATGTATGTGTTTCTCTAACAAGATAATGTATGTTTTTCTCTGACAAGATAATGTATGCTTTTCTCTGACAAGATAATGTATGCTTTTCTCTGACAAGATAATATATGTTTTTCTCTGACAAGATAATGTATGTGTTTCTCTAATAAGATAATGTATAATTATGTTTCTCTGACAAGATAATGTTTGATTTTCTCTGACAATATAATGTGTTTTACAAACAAGATAATGTATGTGTTTCTCTAACAATATAATGTATGATTTTCTCTGACAATATAATGTATGTGTTTCTCTAACAAGATATTGTATATGTTTCTCTGACAAGATAATGTATGCTTTTCTCTGACAAGATAATGTATGTTTTTCTCTGACAAGATAATGTATGCTTTTCTCTGACAAGATAATATATGTTTTTCTATGACAAGATAATGTATGTGTTTCTCTAATAAGATAATGTATAATTATGTTTCTCTGACAAGATAATGTTTGATTTTCTCTGACAATATAAATGTGTTTTACAAAAAAAGATAATGTATGTGTTTACTCTACACTATAATGTATGATTTTCCTGACAATATAGTGTATGTGTTTCTCTAAACAAGATATTGTAAATGTCTCTGAACAAGATTAATGTTGCTTTCTCTGACAAGATAATGTATGTTTTTCCCCCGACAAGACTATGTATATGTTTCTCTGACAAGATAATGTATGATTTTCTCTGACAATATAATGTATGTGTTTCTCTGACAAGATAATGTATGATTTTCTCTGACAATATAATGTATGTGTTTCTCTAACAAGATATTGTATATGTTTCTCTGACAAGATAATGTATGCTTTTCTCTGACAAGATAATATATGTTTTTCCCTGACAAGATAATGTGTATGTTTCTCTGACAAGATAATGTATGATTTTCTCTGACAATATAATGTATGTGTTTCTCTGACAAGATAATGTATGTGTTTCTCTGACAAGATACTGTATGATTTTCTCTGATAAAATAATGTGTTTTTCTAACAAGCTCTATGTACTAAAGGTTGCTTGCTATTTCCTGAAAATATATCTCTTGTGTGAAGGGCTCTTCAGCTGAAGTACTACAACCCCCAGTTGCCAATAAAACCATCAAAAACACCCAGTAGTCTGCAAACCCTTGATCCTATTTATTACATCAAGTGACATTCTAGTGTCCTTTGGTATGTTTAAAAATACCTTTACAGGTAGAACAGTATTATCAGCAAAAATCATGTAAAATCTTGGATGCCATCCAAATACTACATTGAAATGTGCTGATCTTGGAATGTGAAACTTTTATCATTACCGTTACTATATAAGTTCATCGTGATATGGCATACCTATTGAGGGATTAAGATACAGTCAAAAGATGAAATATTAAAATTATACTTCGTGAACAATTAGCAGTTAGGCATTTTGTCTACATAAAATTGGTCAATTTAAGCATTAATGACAAGTTGTGACAGGTACTGGGTTTTGGAGGGATATGTAAAATTTATTGCATAGATTGGCAATGGCTTTATAATAGGATTTAATGTTTGATCTTCATATCTGACCTGTATAATTTAATCTTTCTCAACATTTATACACATTACTTACAAGATTAAATGATGAAATAATTGTTGCCTGTTCCATTACAGTATTCAAACATAAAATTGTTTATTTTACAAATACATGTACAAGTGATAAAAGTGTAAATAAACATAAAAGTGTAAATAAACAGACATTTCGAAAAATTATAACACAAACTTTAACCGAGATTGAAAAAATTATGAAGCTTGACCATTAGCCTGCTGGCCCATGCAGCCAGTGCTGACCAAGATCAGCCTGCTGCCCTATTTATATTTGAGTTATTCAGCATGTTAATGGTAAAATACCAAATATTGGACATTACTGAGTGTCTCTATATGTATTGTCTTTGCATATTGTTGTATAGAATTCAATGCAAATATAATCATATCATTCACAAATTCTATATTTAAATAGGAGCTATGAAAAAATTCTCAACACAAGCTTAATTTACTTCTAAACTGTATCTAACATTTACTAATTGAAAAACAGGCAGAAAAAGGCTTGAATGATTATTCTGAATTTCAAATTTATTTTAATAATGCTTTGATTTTTTTTTCTCCTGCAAAGATTTTCTGTTTGTATTTAAAGTGTCAATATTTACTTTGACAATGTACATTATGAAGACCATCATTTCAGTTCATTAAATTACTGCCGATTGTTATTTCTTCACATGACACAGGCACTATTCAAATATTTGTCCATCACTCAAACAATCTTACATGGTGCCCTTTATGTAAAACAGATCAGTTATCTATATTTAAGTAACTATATAAGTTTTTGTTGCATAAGGTTGTGCTTACATAAGGTGAAATGCAAACAATCTTACACTATGCACTTGAAAGGCTGATCAGATGAAATCTGGTGAGCAAATATGCCCTTGTTTCAAAATGAGAGATCTTTTTATTGAAATCTGTCTTGACATCTGTTTGTCAGGCACTAAATTATACAGCCACAGAAGCTTGGTGGACTATGTCTCTGACTTATGTATTAATCAATTTTAGTAATAAATTATCAACCATTAATTTCCTCAATTTGAGGGATGGCCTTGCCTTATTCTCTAACTTGGAATTGTCCATTGTTAATTTAAAGGATATTAAAGTATGTAAAACAGTTAAGTTAGGTCAAGCTGCACAAGCTTGCAAATTATGGTACAGTTATGGCTGTGTTACCTCCAGCATACAAAGTTAATACATGCTTCTCACTAATTTTATATATAGAAATAGATTCAATCATTCCCAATTACATGACCTTGAGACTTACTAGAATAATTCAAGAGTACAATCTGTTTACATGAAAGATTTACCAGTTTTATAAATCTCTGCCAATCTTTTCTTAAATATTTACCTCAGCTAAGCTCAAAGGTCAATAAGAAATCACTGACCAGTTAATGACTAAACATTACATGAGAAAAGTCAATACACTATATTCAATTAATGGAGGAATACCAGACATTTCCACAGCTTTTAATACATAATTATATGCTCCTTGTAATTAAATTATTAATTTTTAATTTAAGGTTTTTCAGTTTGTTTTTGATTAGCTTTGGGGGAAAGTCTGACAAAGTTATGTTTTCTGATTTTAGCTTTGGGGGTTTCTGAAAAGTTAAGTTTTCTGATTAACTTTTTATTTCAAATTATATTATTGTGATTTCTGATATACTTTTGGTGTTTTCTGTTATACTTGGGTGTTTTCTGATTATTGGTGGGTAATCTGACAAGCTTTATAGCTGGTGTATTTCTGACAGAGTATATTTCTCTTACAAGAATCTTAAGGTTGTTTTTTTGATCCTAATTATAATTAATAATGACTTTTGCAAGCTTTTAAGTATCTTATATATTTTTTATCTGTCATGAAAATTTACGACTGATTACTCATTGTTAAAATACTTACAAGTTTTTCTCCGGAAAGGACCTCAAGAAGTGATAGTAATACCACGCCATCTTTTATGTCTTCAAACAGATTCTCAACTTTTAAAGGAGGATTTTTCTGAAATAAATAAACAATACAATAACTATAATAATTTAAGTATTGAAACTATTAACTGGCATGTAACAATTTCATTATCTTCTAGCTGAAAAGTTGACAGTCTCTATCTGTAGCAGTAATATTAAAATGCTCAAAATTAAAAGGATTAAGTGAAATATCACACCTTTATACCCTGCACAGTTATATTTCATTGAAAACTTGATTGACCAATCCTGGGAAAGTTCAATTCAAATGCTTCAGATGAATTTAATTATATTATCTCAAGAAACTTGCTTAATAAATTTATCCCGAAAACTTTTTTTATGTAAATGGCTGTAAGGGGGGGTGAGTTTAAATAAGAAATGCCACAAACATTTAAGTTGTAAATGCAGACAAATTAAGATATAATATAGTTAAGATGACCTATGGTTGTGCTTGGTCAACAAGGACCATATACAGACAGTGTAAGGTAAGAGTTTAATGAAAGATAACCAATGACTGTGTTTGGTCAATAATGACCGCCTACAGTGTTATATACAACACTTTCAATGACATTTTAATACTTCAACACCTTTGATCTGCTTACACCTTTATTGCCAACAGGCAACATTAAATGTATAAAATTAGAGATAAAATCTCTCCCAATTCATCCCAAAAAACATCTAAATTTTATGGAGACATAAACCCAAATAACTATTTTTATATAGGGGTCACCCATTTTTTATATCATTATTGCGGGAAAATTGATAAAAAATGAAATTGTTTGAAAATTAAAACCCAAAAAAAAAAATTTAGAAAGTGATTGGTTTCAATTATTTTGGTTGGTAAAAATGGCAGTTTTAATTAAACTTTTTTAATCGGGCTTTTCATTTTTTCTTAATATTAAAAATTAAAATTTGCACTATAATTTTATCCCTTAAAAAAACCCACATTTTTCAGGGGAAAATTAAAAACTGTCGCTGTTGCAAATTTTATTTTCCTCGTCACTTTTAAAATCATTTTAAAATAAAAACATGAGAAGTTTATTAAAGAAAATGCGAACATAAAATCTATTAAATATTTAAAACCTTGAGCATTTTTAAAGCCCCAAAATTTTAAAAAAACTTTGAAGATGCCCTGGAGCATTATATTTCTAAATTTGGGTGTCATGCCTTACTGCCCTCATCTAAAAATAAATCTTTTAAAGCTCATAAAAACCAAAGTTTGCCCGTAAAAACAGCGCGCCCGATTTTTTTTATTGTTTGGGCCAAAAAAAAAAAATTTTTTTGCAGTAAAAGGCAAACAAGAATTTTCTGTTTTTTTTTAAAAAGTGAACTAGTTTTTGATCCCCTTTGGAATTTTAAGAAATTTTTTTATATGAAAAATTTATGGAAAAAGTGGAACAAGGGGGATAGGAAAATAAAATTTTTTTAGTTTTTTTAAGTTTTTTTAGTGTTTGGGCCTAAAAATACAAAACATTGACTTTAAAGGGCCATAATTCAAAAAAAATTTTTTTGACAAAAATTAAACCTTCCCCCGGACATTTTTGGGGAATAATGATTTTTAAAACAAGTTTTTCCAATTTTAAAAATTAATATCTCAAACATTTCAGTCAAAAAGTGGACTGGTACTAAAAACTTAACCAAGATTCTAAGTCGATAAAAGGCCTTAATTTTTAAAACAAATCCTTGACAGAGTTACCTTCTCTTGCGTACAGATGGGGGTAATGATGTGAAATAGCATTAAAAGTTTCAAGCAATATCTCAAAGGGTTAAGGCAATAAGTGGATTTTACCCATATTCAATGTATTTTCTAAGTCAAAAAGGGCATAATTCTGTCAAAAACCTTGACAGAGTTATGTCCTCTTGTCTGTTGATGAAGGTCGTGATGGTAAACAAGTATGGTCAGTTTCAAAGCAATACCTCCAATGGTTTTTGAAATAAAGTTGAGGTGGTACAAAAAACTTAACCAAGCTCAATACACTTTCTAAGTCAAAAAAGGGCCATAATTCTGTCAAAAACCTTGACAGAGTTATGTACTCTTGTCTGTAGATGGAGGTTATGATGGTGAACAAGTATGGTAAGTTTCAAAGCCATACTTGTAATACTTCTGAAATAAAGTGGGGTGGTACGAAAAACTTAACCAAGGTGTGACGCCAACGCCGACGCCGACGCTAACGCCGACGCCGACGCCGACGCCGGGGCGAGTAGGATAGCTCCCCTTTTCATAGAAAAGTCGAGCTAAAAATCATCATAAATAATAAGTTTATTACAGTAAACATCAATAAATTTAAGCAAGTTTCATGGAGAAACATACCTTATACTATTAAAAAAAAATTCTAGTAAATTATCATTTTCTTTAAAATGTTTATTAGAAACTTTAATGAAACATAATGTTTTATATATTAAACAGCTCAAATTTACCATCTGGTGAAAATGAAAGTAGCATGGGGCTGATTATATTTGATGGGCTTATCAAGCTTTACACACTTCCTTCATTATAACAGCCAGATTTTCTCATTTTATTATCTTAACAACTACCTGCATGTTATAAAACTGAAGAAGGTGCTTCTGTTAAATATCTTCTTAAAAATAAAGTCCAATTCAAAGACATTCTTCACAGAAAAGGTCACAATCTCTCAGTGCAAAAATTCTTTTGTGCCAATGAAATTTGGGGCTATATAATTAGCAAGGCTATACAGTGCTAAATTAGTTGTCTTAACTGTGCTGAAATCACCAATTAAAATACATTCAATATTAAAATCACCAATTACAATACACTCAATATTGAAATCGCCAATTAAAATACATTCAACATTGGTAACTTCAGGCATACTGATACAAAAGCATGGTTATCAGACCCATTTTTTCAACAGTATTAAAGATTGGGATGCTATATTTACAAAGCCTGGGAAGGATCTGATTATATTAAATAGCCTGGTGTTTGGCCTCCTAATCACAGCACACCAACAAAGTTGTTCTTGCTTACCTGTTTTAGATATGTGTTCATCCAATTTGTAAATGTCTTTTTCTGTACTCTTTCTTGTTCATCTGAAAATAATCAAAATATACAACATATTACATCAAATTCTGCATTAAATGATGATCTAGGAACAATGGAACTTGATGGTTCATCTATATAAGGTAAATGCTGGGAATCATGCCAATTTTTCAATTAACATTTGCTGTTAATTGACTGATCATATATGGGCTAGTAATGGCAGAATAATTTACATTATAGAAGGAAGTGTTTCCAGTAAATGATCAAAGGATAGATGTTACAGTAGCTATTTTATCATACTTTAATCAGAATTCCCTCTGTGTGTGTCATGTTGCCATGACAACTGTCTCTGATCTGTCATTTCTGATCTGTTGTTTTTGCATTGATTATTTTTCTCTCAGGCAATTACATAATTAATATTATAAAGTCCTGCAATATACAGCATGAGACACTGTTTTTTACAAGTACATCATTTCGGAAAGGGTTATATTCAGTTTCTATATTACTCAGCATTGGCAGCATTGTAAATGACACTGTGAATCACCATTTCTATTTCATGTCAAAGGTGATTTTATCATTCAATTAGTAGAAATCTTACAGTCTTAAAAATGTTCACTATCAATAACATAAACATCACCAGATAAGTTAGGAATATTTCCATGTTGAATCTTCTCATAGATAAAGTTCTAGATTTAATATTTAAGTTTTTCTCATACAAACAACCCATCAATGCTGTCATTACCTGACAACAGAACTATTATAACCCTTTGATCCTTATAGCAATATCATGAAAGTTCTGAGAAATATCAAACATAAAACTGATTTTAAGACAACCTAAGACCTTGATGTATAACATATGAAGACTGGCCACCCAATCTAGCATTGATATAAACAATGTTATGACCTCAGGTAGACCATATAACCTGTAATGTTATATTGTTTAAATATGAGACCCAACGGTAATTAACAACTGATCAGAGAAAAACCTTTTGGTGAGTATTCTTGCATCTAGAGGTTGAAGGAAAATCATATAAACATGTGGGAACTTCCAACTTATTATCATTCACATTCTTCTATGAAATAGTCAATATATAATGGTCAAGCCACAAGATACTTCAAATTAAATATACAGGACACACTACACAAACTTAGCAATTTCATATTCATATTCTGTTCACCAAAAATTTTGGTACAAATGAATGAAGCATTTTGTTTCAGTTTTCATGCTCTGTCATAAGCTGACTGATGAAATTTATATCACCAATTAATCATTTTAATATTTAACAGCATAATATGATGTTCTGGAAAGATATAAATTAATGGAACAGTGACCTTCTGACTTAAGTCACAATAGTGACTCAGTCCCAGAAAAAAAACACAGTAAAACAACATAAGATTATCCATTAAGAGAGAATATCAAGGCCATAGCTGCAAGAAAAAAGTTCAATATGCTGAGAACAGTGACCTTGGAATCAAATAATGTATTGAAATCAATGAAGTCAAGTTGAATGACAGTTTATGGGCTAGTTGAAGTGGCTACAGCTTTATTGTGTCAGGAGGCACAGATCCTGTCATGAAATCTTGTTAATCTGCTGGTCAATAAACCTTCTCTGATCTAATTGCATTTTCAAAGTAAAACAAGCTACAAAATCACTGAAGCTTGATAATAACAAATGAACAAATTTTCTACAAGATCATTTCCCAGAGGTGTATGTTTAAGTACATTATTGCATGATGTATAGTTACATGTACAAACAACACAGTCATGTCAAAACAACCTGATGTTTTCTGTTCTGTTCTGATGGTATCTTAAAACCCCTTATACAGCAGGTGTTGCTGTAAGAAGATTCAATCAAATGTTTCACAATACTTTTGGTCATGAATAGATAATATACACCATAGAAAATTCTGCCTCGTCAGCTTTGTTTAATCCTACACAACTATATCATTAAATATTAAATTGATTCATTTCAAATTGACTACAAACATTAAATTACAATATCTACAGCTATTGTTAATTGAGTATAATTTCAGTTATCATTGTTTACCATTTGCTTGTAAGTCTTATGTGTCTTGTATTTTTTGTTTTTTATTTTATTATTTCAAGCTGTCAATATCACAGAAGCGTTGTTTAAAATCAATTATGAAAGTGTTCATGCAAGGAGAAATAACGGAAGCCTGTTATTAATATTTAACTGCTTACATTGTTATTTTAACCATACAAAACATATATCTGCAATTGGACATTTTCATAGAAATTCATTAAATTATTCACTATTAAATTATTCACTACATCTAATGGTAAATTGAAAACCATGTCCTAACAAATTACTTAGAGTGCTTTGTTTCTTTATTGTCGGCATTTTAGGCCCATTAGCTACAAATAATGGCTCCATTTGAATTTTTTTCAAGATAATTATCTCTAGGGTTTATTATTCTTATTTTCAGTTTTCTTTGAAAATGACAGAAAAACTTTACTGGTATGTTTATATAGACTTTATAGGTTAGGCAAAGAGGTTTAAAGAGGAACTGTGTTACTAAATGTTCCCATCTTTTTTGACACCGGAATTCTTCAAAATGTAAGGCATGCTGTAAAATATGACTGATATTACAAAAACAGGTAAAATAAATAAATCCTTTAATTCAAACACCAGAGATTCATAAAAAACCCTCACAGCATATAGCATAGAGGTCTTTTCATGCATATTTTAATATTTCCGGATTAGTAATGAAACCAATACAATATAAAATATCCTTTTTGCATTTAAATAAAATTATGACAACTAGTTGATAGTAGTGCTGCAATTGCAGCTTTACGAGACAAAATATATCTAAATATCATAGAGTTTTGAACATTTTAAACATCTTTCCTCCTTTATACATTATCTATAACACCTGCCTTTTTAAGTATATATGTAGCATCCTAATTGCCTCCTATATGTATAGCTACAAAACATTGCCTTCTTAATGCATATCTGTAACACCTTGCCTTCTTTTGCATATCTAAGACCACTTGCCTTCTTTATGCATATCTAAGACCACTTGCCTTCTTTATGCATATCTAAGACCACTTGCCTTCTTTATGCATATCTAAACACCATGCCTTCTTTATGCATATCTAAACACCCTGCCTTCTTTATGCATATCTAAGACATCTTGCCTTCTTTATGTATACCTTACATGCCTTCTTTATGCATATCTTAGACCACTTGTCTTCTTTATGCATATCTAAGACATCCTGCCTTCTTTATGCATATCTAAAACACCCTGCCTTCTTTAAGAATGGGCATATCAAGATGCATAAAAACTGATACAGTATGACTGACTGATCATACATAACTGCCCAGATATTTTATTACCTCTAATTAGCTATAAAAACTGGACAACATCTTATTAACTTCACAAGGCATGTCAATTTTATACTTTCAATAATGATGTATGTATGATTAACTCCCAATCAGTGTCAAAACGAATTCTGACTGGAGGTAAATAATTTACAGTCTTATACTTTTATAATGTCGAAATGACAGGGTTTTCAAAATAAATTATTCCTTTATAGTGGATACTTTGTAAGTTCAATAAATTAACAATGGTACTAAATGCAATAATACTCCTCAAATAAATTTAGCTCAATGTAAATGAAACATTGATGGTATTAAAAGATGCTGCTAAAAAGAGGAGATAAAAGGATAGCTCATGGAGATATCCATAAAGTTTCACATGACAATAACGAGCCGCGTCACAACAAAACCAACATAGTGCGTTTGCGACCAGCATGGATCCAGACCTATGTTGGTTTTGTCGTGACACAGCTCATATTTACCATGTATAAGAAGAAACATAGCTGGATTTGAAAAAAGTAAATACACATGGACTGGCAGGATTTCTGCAGATTTAGGTAAAGCTCAAACAGTTTTACATCGCCATGAACAAATTCTACTTGCACAGACATGAACATAAAATAAAAATCTCAGCATAGGATAGAACCTTCATTGACCAACTTTTCCATGTAGATAATACAAAAAAAAGATCATTAATTATTCAGATGCCAATCATTCTGATCAGAGATCAATATTTGCTAAGGTCCAATAATACAAGTATAACACCCCTGTAAGGACAGATAGATATAAATGTCTTTGATGAACCCTCGAGATTCCATGGTTTCTATGGACTATTTCATATGGTTTTATGTACAATCAAACAATTTAGCCACTTGAAATATTGCTGAAGATGGACAATTTAATCATCCACTTATGACTGAACCACTTGTTACCCTCTTCAATCTAACATTATTTTTCAGTAATTACATTTTAATCAGACCTTCACAAGTCTACCTTTAATTTATTGATTGATAAATCTATTCTACATTTAACCTAAATAATAATTTCCGAAAAAATATAACCACTACCTTTTCTTTCTGAAAACCACACTTGATACAAATCTTTGTTTTTCTTCTAAATCAATAATTTTTTTCATACTTTATTTGACACAACAGATATATTTTCCATATTTAAACATTTTATCTGATACTTAAGCCTACTTTACCTGCAGAGATTTTTGTTTAATACTGATTAAAGTTAAAAGGTATAGATAATTATTGGACGACTAAAACAATAACAAATTTACACACCCCAATGTCTAAATGTAATTACTGAAAATTTACATACATTATGATAATTATAATGACTTTAAGTTCATGATTAAAATAATGTACAGAAACTAATAAAAGATTACTTACATCGTTTCTTTGAGTATATCATTTCATTGAAAAATGAAAAATAATGAAAAATAATCCATATCTATTATGTCACAGTAATAACTGGTCCTACTATATGACCAAATTGAAGGTGATAATTTGTTATTGCTCCCTGCAGACCACAACATTAAAATCCAAAGGCTTATCAGTCAATACTGAGTTGCTAGGTGTTCTAGAATTCTACAGTAACAGACTACAAGCTGGGAAGAACATAATTACATAGTTTAGGTCTAGGTAAACAAGAAACAGCCCCAGAAAAAGTCTTGATCAAATCTTCTTACTTTCCCTTCCAAA